TTTTATTTTAAAAAAATTCAAAATTTCATTGTCTCACGTGGAATTGCCCTAATGTATTTTTTGGTTATTCAGTTTTGATGGTTTTTGGCATGACAGTGATGCCGTAAGTTTGACAGACCGTTAGGGATAAAATGTGATCGGAAAGGTTAAGTGGAGAAATGATAAAAAACAGTTCCATTATCCAACAAAGTCTCATCTCATACAGAAAATTGTTTTATACAAAAGTAGTTAGTAAATGGCCCATTGATGTTGGCACCTTATCCAATGAACCTGTATCATAACAAGAATTCGAAATTTGGGGAAAATGAGTTAAATAAGTGGGGATGAATAATATTATTTTGTAAATTGCAAAATTGTTTTCTTTGTTATTCTATTACTTTTGTAGCATATCAATGATAGGGATAGTATCTCAGGGAATTGTTTTCTGTTCCACTCATCCATTTGATGGACACTTGTCCAATGTTGAAAATTCACTTGGCCATTAAATGTTGAAAAATCCAAGGATATACGATACAACAGCAGCCACTGTACACTAAGTCATGATACAGTATTGCTTGGTTTTGCAATGGTTTCTTTGCTGAAGCAAAACTTTTTCATATTTTTTGTACAGGGATTTTGATAATATAAGAAAAACAATCATCTTGACAACGATTAACTGTTCAATATTTTATTCTATGCAGGCTATCAACTTCTTGCAAAGTTGAAAGAAGTACGTACAGTACACTTAACGTGTCTATTCAGACAATTGCTTCACAAGTTTAAGTATTCCCAGAGAAAAAACAACTTATTTTTTCAGATGGTTGTTTTTTTTACAGTACTTAACGTTATGCTTCAAAATAGTAATAATAATATTTATAGAGGGAGCCCAACTCGCCAAGGCGGTTTTCAGTGGGGCCCTTTTCATTAGTTGTATCACCATCAGTTACTTGTTTGTCTCACCTCAGCGGACTTGTTACTTTTACCAATGCACTGGAATAATGAGGGATTTTAAGGGACAAAGCAGACTACAAACAGCGTATTTCAATGGAGGTAGTTTGTCCTGATGAAAATCACAAATCCTGTCTTTATCATTGTCTCAGCCCAGTAGTTATGCATTAAATAATACAAATTTGTAAGACAGTAATACAAGCACAGTCAAACTTCCTTAACATAGACCCAAATGGACCAAGCCAGAGGTCTGCATTGCAGATGTGGCAGGCTTATTATAGAGGTACAGAATGTGTTGAGCTTGGTATCTTTGGGGTAGACTGCTTGCAGTCCGTCTTTTCTCTTAAAATGCGTCTAGTTCTTATCTCATCCAGCGCGATTGCAAACCACGACGTTATTATTACAATTGAGATGAGACGAGAAAAGACGGACTGCTGACTCTGTACAGTACCGCAAATGATCCCCAACCGCAAATGATCCCGAGACCGAAAGTGAACCCCAAAATGGACCGCAAATGATCCTCGACCGCAAGTGATCCCCAAACTCGACCGCAAATGATCCCGAAAGAAAAATAGGAATGACTTGGACTCAAGTTAGCGGATCATCGTGTGGATTTTATTATTATTACAATAAGTCAGATTAAAAGCTAAATTTTACTTCTCAAATAAATATATGAATAAAAACTAAATGAAAACAAATCATTCAAGTGTAAAAACGAAGTCGGTAGGCAACATACGAGTTTTACCTCATGCTAAAATGCTGCTTGTTCCAATGACTTTTTTCCGGCTCTAACGGGTAGATTATACCTCTGAAGAAAACGTTTTGACTGAGCAAATGTGATTTTTGCCGCTTATTTCATACTGAGAGGTCATGACACGCATTTTCTTCTGATTAATTTCACGCTTTCAAAAAGATTAGTAAAGTCAATAAAGCTCTTGTTATGTAGAGGGTGCCCGGCTATGTATTCCTCAGTAGACAAGTTGAGCTTCTAGGCGTTAAAATAATAGAGTTTTTTCTACGTAACGTCCCGCCTGTTGTAAATTTTTCAAAAGAAGAAACATTCTTGAAATAGAATTGAAGCAATCGACAAAGGAAGAAGTATACGGTTAATACCATACCTTTTCAGATTTATTCCATTTTTTTTTTCGCCTTGTATAAATTGACCTGAGATGTAGCGTCCTCCTTCCCTTTTTCTTTAAAAGGCGAGAGAAAAAGGTTTCTTTTTTATAATCAGTCTTTCCTGTAATCAGTCCCATAAATTCCATTCCATTCCTCAAGTTTTCACGGGATCATTTGCGGTCGACTTTAGGGATCGCTTGCGGTCGAGGATCATTTGCGATCCACTTTGGGGATCATTTGCGGTCTCGGGATCATTTGCGGTTGGGGATCATTTGCGGTACTGTACAACTCTTTTGTAGTAAACAAACCCTCCGTCACCCCAGAAACGGAGTAACCGATTGGTTAATTGCACAGCTGTTGACAGATCATTAACTTGTCTGTGGTGAGATTGCAAGCAATAAAAATAGTCATGCGTCACAACCAACTGCAGAAAATAGCGAACCAAGCAGTAATCTCAGTAACAAAACTTTTAAGGATATCTTACAGAAGGAAACTGCTGTGAATTTCCTCAAGGGAAACGAGTTCAAGGCAATCCTACCGGATTAAAGAAAGTGTAATTTTTTTCTATTGTTTATGTTCCATTTATAAATCGGTTCAAGTTGTCCCCAGACAGAACAAAAGAGTCAGCAGTCTCTTATTTTTTATTCTCAGGCTTACGCCCTCGTTTCTCGCGGCTCGCGTCTTCGCTGCTCGCTCGCAGTAACTTACGAAAGAAAAATAAGAGACTGCTCGCAGTCTATCTTTGGGGCCAAGATAATTTTTCATAATAGAGGCATGTCAGAGGTCCCTTCCAGAAATACTTGAGGTAAAATAAACCATGCTGGCAGTTACAGAAAGCTCCCACTTTATGCTTCTTGAATGCTTCACTGTTGGTGCTTTGCTTCTCACACTTGCAGTTTGGCCATTGATAATCTCTGGCACCAAAGGTATCTCTACTGCTGTTACAGCTGTATTAGGTGTCTCTAAGGGGGTTTGACCATTTGTTTTTTATTTAAGTAGACTATGTGTGCTTTTAAAAACTACTATTTTTGCCAAACGAATAAAATTGTGAACACGTGAAATATTTGAGGATGTTTTTTTTTTTTGCTTCATGACCAGTCGCAAAAATATCAGAAGACAAGTGCAATCCACACGCTTCAAACAACAAATTTTTTCATTAAATAAATATCACTTGTTACAGGATTTGTACGCATCTTGAAAACCCTTGAATTTTTAGAGTCGTGGTGCAAGGCCTTGAAAGTCCTTGAAATTCTCTTCCATTCATTTTGGTCCTTTAAAGTCCTTATTTGAATTGAGGAACATTTTCACACCTCCAAAAAACTTGGGTAAATACCAGTTTGAAAATTGACAGCGAGGAAATGAAGGTCAGGTGTGGACGGCCTGTGATGCGAAAGGCAGAGGTCTAGAATGATTACAAGCCATCTTATACCTTGATTTGTCCTGTACTGCAGGGTCTAGGGGGTTCTGGGCGAAATTGGTCCCCCAGAAAATTTTTGGACTTTAGGATTTCGAAAATGCATAGTTATTAGAGGAGACTGGTTATGAAAAGCGGCAAACATCAATGATAAAAACAACAGTGCTGCAGTTTATGTTGGAGCACCCTGAAAGTGCACAATCCTTTGTTTTCTGTTGGCAAATTGTTACGGAATAAATTAATGGTTGCAAAAATAACCAGTTATGTTAGTTTTACTATCCTTAAGAAAACTTACAACACGTGAAAGTCCAGGTGTTTTTGTATATTGTTTCCTCAGACTGCCCTTTCATAACCATTCCACTCAATTAACTATGGAAAATGGAATCTCTAGCGTTTTCCACAGGACACTTTTGGTAAATAAAAATGAACAAAAAGACCGTAATTATTTGGGTGTTTTTTTTTGTACCTGTCTCTGGTGTTATCGGTAAGGTACAGTGTTAATGAAAAAACGAAAAACAGTGATGTCATCAAGGAGTTTACAAACAAAGGGCGAGACATGTACCCTTCAGAGCGGGGAAACGCTGTGATAACGCCATCTATGTCAATTAATGTCCTTGTGCTTGTGTCGTTCAGAATTGCAAGAGTTCAATCTCTGTCATGGTGCATCGTAGAGCTGTTTTCAGTCTCTTCATAATGCTGAAGTTAAACTTAGCTGGGCTTGTTGACACAGGATAAGTCAACAACGTTAGTAGAGCTACATATACTCCGGGATTGAATTGGGGGTTGAGGTGGCCAAAAGTATCAACTGAGATTCAGATCCATTTCACTCCACTTAATAAAAAATATAAAGGAAATACTAACACGAAGACACCAATGAAATGCAAAACATTTATCAGTCATCCCGATTCAATGATAAATGAAAATACTTTCAGGAAATTTTAAAATAGATTTTTTTTCCAGATTTCAGCTGTACATATGGGGGCATATGTGCATACATGGACGCTATGGCCCTGATACTGGTTGGTCAAGGGGACTGAACAAAGACTAGGCACTAGGGTGGATAAGCGCTCACAAACGAATGTTAACAAAAAAATGATTGCCCTTAAGAACAAAAGCCTGTTATTCTCGGAATATTTTCATAGTTTATTTGGAACCTGTGTAATAAAGTAGGTCCCTGAAATTCCATGAGTTTTACCTTAAAAGAGCTATACGAACCCTTGTTATCTGAGTGTATTTTTAAGTGATTGTTGGATTCAGGCGCTATTCACCATTTTAGAAAGGAGAAGGGAGCAAGAGCCCAAATGTGTCCTGCAATAAATATTGTTTCTGGAATCATTATTGGGGACAGGCCAGTCAGCTGTTGGCCAATTTTTTATCCAGTCTTGGGTAAGTCTCCGCCCCCCCCCCCCCAAGTTTTGCATAAGCCTTGTCTTTTATTTCTCTTGGGACCACTGTACTACACAGGATAAATAAAAAGAAAGGTTCCATGCAAAGATTTGGGGGGTAAACAAGTAGGTGTATTATGGGAGACGTGAAAAACGGCAAATACAGGTCAAACACAAATGTATTTACAAATGAAGTGACTGAATGACCCCAGAAAAGGTAGTGCAATAGCAAGGTCATGTCCGGGGCACCCCATTGGTATAGTGCCCCAGAGAGCTTGATAGCTGCAGGCTACAGAAAAGTTCACAACCTTACAAAGTTACCACTTTCTAAGAGTCATCAGTTTTAGACAGTTTCAATTGTGGATCATGTTTTTAATGATAAGGTTTTATTGATCTCTTTTTCCCCCCAGGAAAAAAAGAAAACCACTAAAAAATGTGACAAATATTTTAAATTTGTTTGAAAAAAAAATTAATGATAAAAACTAAAAACTTAAACTCTTCAATTTCATACCATTCTCACTTATGACTTACTCCTACTTTCTCTGGGATATCTTTTTGCTGTTTTAATTTACATATTAATGTGTAACTAACTATAAACTACCTCTGATTGATAGCCTACCTTTTCTCTAAAACTTTTTTTCAAAATTTTGCCTTAAATTCATGAATAATATCCTTCACATAAAAAAATCACATATGAGGCCGACCACCATGAAAAACAAACAAATAAACAAAAGACATTTCAAGGCATCAATTCAAAGACTAATTTGAATTTGGAAGAGAATGTACGAAAATGTACCAAATACCAGTACGTCCTAAATTTCATTTTCTGACAAAAATAGAAATAAAAAGTATTCATCTTGTGTTTTTGTTTTGTCATTTACTGTCTCTTATTTGCCTCTAGATCCATTTGGAGTACAACTCAAAATCTTAAACATTCCAAAATTGAATTTAGGATGTACTTTGTTTATTTTCATACATTCTCTTATAAATTCAAAGTCTAAGGAAGTCCAACAGAGTCTGGGCTGCCTGTGATAAAATGTGCAAGTTTTCAGTCAGTGATAGTAATGATGTATGTACCTCCTCATTACCGTGCAGTGAAAAGGGAGTTTACTATGGCTCTTAGTCTTTGTAGTCACAAGTCAATGGATATCCCAGCATCAGTTTGTACACCTCACAGGGGCAGATCCAGAAAATTCAGAAAGGGGTGGCCGGGGCACTTGCCAGTCATGTAGATACTATATATTTTAGTAAGAATCAATTAACAATAATACAAAATTTTACAAAAAAAGGGGTGACTGTGGTCCACTCGGCCCACCCCTAAATCCACCCATGGCTCATGTTATCTCCTGCCAAGACAACCATTCATTAGGCAAAATAAACATCAGCCCATTTTTAATATACAAGGAAATGAGTTGAGTATAGCTCAGGTTAGGCACTGAAATACAACGATTAAGTTACATATAGGCACTGTTTTAAAAACGGTTATCTAGTTTTTAAATAATGTAAGAAGCAATGCAATGTAAAGTACGTTAAAAAAAAAGAAAATACTTGAATAAGCAGTTATTAGATCATAAATAAACTTGGGCCCTCTTTTCTTCCTTCTTTTATTACAAATGTAATTTATAAGACTTTTTTTTTGTATTTTAAGTAAAGGTATCCATGGGTGGATCAAGGGGTGGTCCGACTGGACCATTTCCTGCCTCCTTTTCTGTTTTTATTATTTTATTGGATTGTCTATGAAATAAATAGTATCTAAGTATATAGCTGGCAAGTGTCCTGCCCCATGCCCTTTCTGAATTTTCTGGATCCACTCCTGGTATCTATTGTGGTGGTCACAACCTCTTAGACTCACGTCATGTTAGTTTAATTAGACCCAAACATAATAATTAGTGAAACTGTAGTGGAGAATGTTTCCTATGTGATTTCCAAGCTTTGAATGTGGGAACAAGACAGGAAAGATAAACAATTTTATTTCTGAGTGCCCAGGCCAAATAAAGCTGATATTTTGTATCTCCCTCCTCCATTTCTACTGTCTGCTACTGGGTTATAATTTATTGTCCTTAACTTTTTTTTCACCGTTATTGCATTGATTGGCAAGACTTAAAAAACAAATATGTTTTAGACTTTTCGAAGACACCCATTTTTAGCATGATCCTTACTAGGTAAGCCAGTTTAAGACCAATAATTATCATTGGCTCAAAAGCCATGTTACTCTTTGTTGTTCTTAATGACGATTTCTATTCAAGAGTCATTAGTACCGGTATTCATATTTTTGATTTCTGGACTATTCATCATGGTCCTAAGAGTTTGGATAATATTCCACTGTCTAAGGCTAGCCAGATTATTCAATTTTATAGTCATATTGTTCCACAGCTTCAATATTAAACTCCATGTGAAGCTTGCTTTCTTGGCTTCTTGGCTAAAAGAATAAGGTATACGTGCACGAGTAACGCCCTTGTTTCTGCTCATGGCTTTAAGACTCCTGAAAAGTTCTCACTACATTGTGGAACTTTCTGGCTTGGAATGATCTTACCATGAAACAAAGTCACCGAATGCTTATAAATTACTAGAAAATTGTCTAGTTTAGGTTATGTCATGTCTTTTATAGCGTCTGATTTAATTCCCTGCATCACAGTATTAAATATTAGCATGATTACTCCTCCAGCACCAACTAACAGAAGAATCAAGAGCTTCTGGCAAACATAGTTATAATCTTGCCTCTGGTGTACGCATGCTTCCACTGTGTTCAATGATTATTACAGAATAACACCATTTTGCCGTAACATTCCAACACATTATAATTTCATCTGATAATCCTCATTGCAATGAATCATAACTTTGATAGCTCCTCCTGCACCGGTTCGAGAAGTTTCAAAAGCTTCAAGTGACTGCTCAAGTTTAAAGTGATGAGTGACAAGAGGTTTAACATTCACCGCTCCAGAGGCAACCAGGGCCAAAGCTTTGGGGTAACTACAACAAAGAAAGAAAGCAAAAAAAACTAGCTCTAGCAGGGCCCTTCATGTACTCAAGCTCAAAAAGAGAGCCTTCTTGCCCACTTATTATTTAAGCCTTTACTCCATGATCAGCATCGCGCAAGTTTATGCTATTACAGTAAATCCTCTGTTAAGCCCGCAGGGGACTAATTTATTTCAAGCACATTTTAGGGGGCCTAATAGGGAGGGGAGGACTTACTTGAGAGGGGGAGTTTATTCAACTTAGTGAACATGATAGGTATCAATTCTCCATAAAAACTAGACAGTAAGGTGTGAAGGCTTAGGTACATGAAGTTGGAGGTCAGGCAGCTGGTGATCAAAAACAAAACCGAGCTTCCAGCACATGATATACCAGGTCAGTCCACATAAAGTGTTACAGTTGAGATTATTAAAGTCTATCATTTAAAATCAAAGTGGGGGGGGGGGGAGGGGGGGGGGATAACTTTCTTTTGCTGAGAAGGGGGGCTTATTAGAGAGGGCGGCTTGATAGAGGAACAGTAAACGACCTTATCACTTTGGGTGTCAAAATTCTGGAACTGTCTACCCAAGCCTTGACTTCATTTCAGTGTGTATGTTCACTGGAGCAGAATGTGAGAGAGGTCTGCAGGATTTCAAAATTTGGGGAAGGAGAAGGACCCTGTCTTCGAATTTTCAACAGTTTCTAACTCACCAGTTCACGTATCTAAATATGCCTCTGATATCCACCTCTCTGACCAGTGCATCTACAATAGGAAACTTCACTTCAGGTTTACCCATCCCTACAACCACTAAAGTACCTCCTGATTTAGTAGCCTGAAAAAAACAATAATGTAGTGGTGAGAGCACTTGCCTCCCACCAATATAATGTGGCCCGGGCTCAAATCTAAGCGTAGATGCCATATGTGGGTTGAGAAGCAGTTTGTTTTAATGGTTCTCTCCTTTGATCCGAGAAGCTTTCTCCGCGTACTTCATGTTTCCATGCGCCTCTCCTCATAGACCAACGCTACCAAGTTCTGATTCAATCTGGAACACATGGACACAAGTTCTTAAGAAATCCTTAGGTAATGAGGTCCTTCTAAGTGTTGAATTTTGACTCTGTTCCATCCTTGCTCAAGTTATCATTTTTCTTGGGTCAATGAAAAAGCATTAACTCTAAGACCTTGAAACTATTCTAGTACTGAAGGAATGCATAAGTGCTGGGAGAACAGATCCTAGCAAGGACAAAATTTTTTAATTGCCATCTTGTGTGGACTAGGAACACCTTGAATGTTCATTTCTACATTGACCCACTTGAAGATGTTCCACTTCAATTCAACTTACATGAATTGCAGTGTGAAAGCTTGCTTCTGCCCCACTACACTCAATACTTTGATCAGCTGGTCCCATGCAGTCTTTTACTCTATTGGCCAAGTCCTTGCTGTCTTTACTTGGATCCACTTTGATAATGTAGTCAGCACCAAGCTCCTTGGCTTTATTAAGTCTCCCCTCATCAATGTCTAAAGCAATTTATTACCATAAAATCAAATACAGATATTTGGAGGCAGCGTGGTTGAGTGACCAGCGTGTATGGCCTCGCACTCTGGTGGTACCAGGTTCAAGTCCTAGGCTGTTCTGACCACTTGCTGGATTTGTTCTCAGCTGTTCTGAAATTATTCAAATCCTCACCCATGCTTGTAGATAGCCAACTGGTTGACGTTTTTTTTTTATCCTGATATTTTCTAGTTTATTGGATTATTTTTTCTAATTAATTGAGTGGAATGCTTGTAAACTAGCTGGATGAGCTAAGTGCACTTTTCACTATAAACCTTTATATTATAAAAATTGGCCAGAATATACCATTTTTGTCTCGGTGATGACGTGCTGGCATTTTCAATGTGAGATGTACAGTGTACAGGTCGGAATAAGAAAGGCATACTGTTCTCATAATACCACCTTTTTTCTAATATTTCTCCTTATGACACCTCTAAAAATTAACTATCTATTTTCATTGTCCTTATTCAATTTTTCTTGTTTTATTGGCAGAGAAGTAAAATGCATTTACATGTAATCAACTGTAGTCAGTTTGTGCCTTGTCCTGGAATAGGAGAATTGAGACTTCAACTACAACCTTGTACAAGACTACATGACTGTGTACTTGCACGAAAATGACACTTGGAATTTATAATACCTTCCACAGCAATTGGTGGGGAGGAGGTCACTTTCACAAGATCGATGTAAAATTTATGGAGGTGACATTTCTAAGAAGCTAGGGTGAAGTGGGAAGCTTTCTCAAAATAGCTGCCCCCCCCCCAACCCCACAGGTAATAAACGACCAGCCTCTAACTTGTTATATAATTACCTGTGATCGTGACTGTAGTGGCTCCACAAGCTTTGGCAGTCATAAGGTTGACTAAACCAATGGGACCTAAAGGATTGTGAAGTTATATCAGTACAGTCAACTCTTGCCTTATGGACACTTCATTATTGTAGGCAACCTGATGATACTGTTACAATCCGTAATAGTATAACAAATAAAATATACTGCAATAATGATTTCCACTGTTTTTACTCCAATCACTTCACTCTTCACACACTTGACAGATCCGCTCTCGTTATCTCACATGCCCTAATATGGGAGAACCATATTTGGAACACAGCATGCAGCATCACACTACACCACGTCACACAATGACCGGTTACAATATACCAAAATAGTGGCAAAATCCCTTGCCTGGATAATATACGTAAATATATGTTATCTCTCTAAAATTTTGTCAGGAAATTCTGTTCTCACCCCACTATTACAGACTGTCCCTTGAGTGATTACAGACTGGCAGTAACTCACAGTCCTGAATGCATCCACAGTAACAGGAGTTAAGAATAATGAACAGTTAGTTTAAGTTAATAAATTTTGAGTACATTATATTAACCGTATGAAATGAACAGAAAAGTGTTCGGATGTCGAAAAATCCACTCACCAGCTCCACAAACCAGCACTTTACTTCCCATGGTAATTCCAGCCCTGTTACAAGCATGCACTGCAACAGAGAGGGGTTCAAGAAGAGCACCTTCCTCAAATGACACATGATTAGGAAGTCTGTAGAAGGTAAAAATGTGACACAAGTCAAGCATTGGTTAAAATAAGATTTGTAGCTAATTTTGCTGATGTTATATCGTTAAAGACAGGAAGTTGAAAAAGAAGGCCAAATTCACCTTGCAATTGGGGAGTGTCACTGGAAATAACTGTAAGGCAGAGAGAATTATTTCCATAAGCAAGGAAAGTTAGCCGCGGTAGAAGAAAAGTGGAATTGTTATAGCAGTGGGTGACTCAGAGACTCAACCTTAGGGAGTGTCCCCTACAGTGTACATGGCACAGTGCACAAATGATGTGAGATTGACTAATTTGTAAAAAGACAATGGTCAGAGAAAGATAACATTTTGGAGACCAGAGGAAAAAAAGAGAGGAATTCCGTAATGTTAATTTAATTTTTTTAATCTGAGTTTCATGAGTTATATAAATAGTGACTGTGTAGTGCTATTGATGATAAAGTGCTATTGTAACCTCACAAGTTTGAACATCGTGGTGTATATTCTCAACAATCATCAAACAGACACAGGAAGTACATCAAAATATTAATGTAATTACAGCTGTCAAATACATCTCTGGATAATTTTGGGTTTTTCTTCAACGTCAATCAAAATCTGAAGGCTTGGTGCCTTATCTTAGCACACCATTTAGGAAACAGAAATTTACTTCAATGGGTTCAAAGGTTATAGTTTGTGATTTGTGATTGCTGGATTTTGATTCATTTTGAGTTTCTGTTTTTCAAGGTTCGTTGCTTTTGAACTTCAGAGTTCACGTGGTTTCAGTTTTTAGCTCTCAAGTTGTTTTACCTACTTACTGATACAAGACAAGTTTAGATTCCCAAGCTGACATTGTTCCTGTAAAGCTTCCAAGTCCAGACAAAACACATACGGGAGGGTGAAAATGCATCTGTACATTTCCCGCCAACTTTGAACTTTTCAGCTACTGTTTGTTATTGCCACCTTTATTTGACAAGCAAGGATTGGATGCTATGGTAACAGTTTGATTGACGTCAAAGAAAAACCCAAAATCCTGAAATGTTTTTGACAATGCAGGTTAGGTTACATGTGTTATCTGTAACAGCTGTACTTAAGTGATTATTATTAACTCCTGTTACGTACTTGAAACAGAAGTCTGCTGGGTGAACATAGTATCTGCAGAGAGAGCCATCGTACGGAGGAGTGGCAGCAAATTTCATGTCTGGACACAGATTGTAACGACCTTCCTTACAAAAGCTGCATGTGCGACAAGAATATCCAGGTTCAATGGCAACTCTGTCACCTAGCACGAAAAAAAATATATATATATAAAAATAAAAACAAGAAGAGGTGGCAGTTTGCATGGCATGTAAACCACTGTATGCTCGATTTCTGCCACTCTCTCGAGTCCACCCTTTGAAGAGATGGCTTCAGGGGAGGAGCGCAAGCTCGTTCCCTGAAAACAGCAGATGGAAATCGAGCCTAAAGCCACTAATGCTTGCATAAAATTGACCAATTCACTGTATGCTCTCTTATAAGAAAATTGCTGATCCAGTCTCTACAGATTAAAGCTTTTGAAATGAGTCATAGAGCTACACGTTCTTAAATCCAGCCTTACTTTTTTTCTAAATTTCTGTATAAAGGGGTCACGGTGTCTCACCAAGTGACAGATTTTTCCCATTCAACATTCCTCAAACATAAGTCAAAACCCCCATTAAACAGAAACCCATGAAGGAATTCAGGGAAAAAACTTCTTCCTGGGATATTAGTGAGGCCCTCTTAGAGTAATTATCCTGACATGCCCTTGAAACAGTTATGCAGTCAAACCTCTGCTAATGGCCAACAGTCTACGGCTGCCACTTAAAAGCCACACATTGACTCTTGTTTAAAACCTATCCTCAACCGCCACCTCTTTACAACGGCCACTTTCTTCTGTCCCCAAGGTGGCCATTGAAGAGAGTTTCAACTCTATAGGACAGATGAAATGGCAACAAACAACACAAGGATGGGTTGAACTGCAACAGCCACAGACAAAGACAAGTGCAAATAAAAAAGTAAAATACCAACATCTGCGAAAATTACTTCTTAATTCTCAATAAGTGTTAGAAATTATAACTAACCAACTTTCAGGTCTGTAACTCCTTCACCAACAGCAGACACTGTACCACTGGATTCATGACCAACAACCATTGGTGCCTTGAGAATAAAGTCTCCAATCCTTCCCTTCTTCCAGTAATGTACATCTGATCCACAAATTCCAACAGCATACATGGCAATTTGGACCTCTGTGAGGAAGTAATAGACACATTTAACACATTAACATACATAAAGAAGCAAATTACATCTACTCTTATTAAAAAATAAAACGGAGAGAGAGAATTCATCATGTTTATAGTATTATACAGTTGACGGTCTCCTCGCGACCACACTCGTAAGTGACCAGCTCTAGTTACGATCACCTTTGTGAAACCCTGTTTGATTTGTGACTTAACTTGGTGATGGAAAGCTCCCATACGGGACCGTACGCTCATTATAAGCGACCATTTTTGCAGTTTTCTATTTAAAGGGAGAGTTGGTGTCGACAACATCCTGGACAAAATTCCCTAGATTCTATTCTTCAAAATTAATCATCCTTGACTAGAATAAATTCCTTGCACAAGCTCGAAATATGACTATTGGCATTGTTGTATAACGTTCGAAATATAAGGATTTGTATGGGAGAAAAAACTAATAATTATTATTATTTTTTCTGTAGCCTACAAATGTAAAAGGATTTAAATAACAATTGGCTAACCTTGCCTAAGTTGCGTGTTTTATCTTTCCTGAGTGGTTTCCAAGCCGATTTATGGCCATTTAATGAGTGTTACTGCCTGCATAGAGCTGGCCGGCTGTACCAAGCAGGGTCAGTTTATGCATGAACTATTTCAATGTACAAATTTTCTTTGAGTCTAAAGTTGTGTATAAAAAGGCAGACCAGCCCACTTTCCGTGTGATTTTGGCTGCTCAATTTGAGATCTTGACATAGAACAATGTTTTGTCACCCACCCCAAGGGTGAGTAACTTGAACTATCTTCAACCATTTACGTAACATGGAGTTCAAATGAAGCTTCTGTCAATGGCTCCAAACAGGACTGGTTGCAAAGATTAGCAACCTTTAATTCGTTCTTTTCACAAATGCCACTTGAAAAAAGATCACAAATGGATGCAGAACTATCCTCTGGGATATAGGCGGAAATGGAGGTGATTGGAGCCTTAGGAGTGAATTTATGACTGTTTTCCTTTAGCAGATCTGAATGACTGCTTTGCTCCAGAACCCAGCCTTGGGAATCTATTATAGAGAGAGCAAATGGGTTCCAATAAAACCCATTAAATGGCCATAAATCAGCTCGGAAACCACACAGGAAAGAAAAAACACACAACTGAAGCAAGGTTAGCTGATTTTTGTTTAAATCCTTTTACATTCGTAGGCTACAGAAACAATTGTTTCTTCTCCCATACAAATCCTTATATCTTGAATGTTACACAGCAGTGCCGATGGCCATATTTCATGCTTGTGCCACCTGTGATGCCACCAATGGTCTTCCCACGAAACTACCCTATGAGAAATGAGCAGAGAAATTCCATACTGATGACACATCATCACCAACCAGATCTGAGTAGTGCTTCTGATTGGGTAAAGTAAATTTTCAGCACACCAAGCCTCTATCCACCAGATACCAGTAAATCTCTCTCCAGTGGAGAGTACAATAATTATTATTTTTCCTACTACTAATCTGCTGGATAGTGATTTATCCGGTGGATAGCACTATCCAACTACTCAGATCTGAGTAGTGCTTCTGATTGGGTGAGGTAAATTTTCAGCACACCAAGCCTCTATCCACCAGATACCAGTAAATCTCTATCCGGTGGACAGTACAATTATTTTCCCTAATACTAATCTGCTGGATAGTGATTTATCCGGTGGACAGGGCTATCCAATGCTTAAACAACTGGGGCCAGAAGCAGTACCCAGATCGGGTTGGTAACATGTCATCAGTATGGAATCAGACATCATTTCGCAAGGAAACCAGTGGTGGAGTCGCCAAAAGTCAGCTGTTTTCTCACGCTAAACTTGATGTGAATCCTCACATTAGGTTGAAGAGTTCAAAAGGCTCTCTCTCCCTGGGATTTGGAGAATGAAAACTTTATTTATTGTCCTTATCCCAGCATTAAAGAACAAATTTGTTTATTCCTTGAAATCTAATTCTAGGATTCTAGTTTGGGAAATTTTTGCGTGACTCGCGTCGCGGGAGATGAGAACATGCATAGTTTATAGCGTGTACTGAAAAAACAATCCACTTCAGACCAAAATATATTCATTTTTGAGAGAAAAACACAGCAACAAATATGTTGTAATAATAAGAACAAAGTGCGTGAGTTTTTAACGACTGATCAAAGTAAGGAAATAGTAAAAACTTGAGTTAAAACACTCACCGCCCTTTCCAGGTCGCGGGACAGGGCGTTCTTCCTGCAAAACGAATGTATTATTGGCTACTCTACCACTTAAATATGCTTAAACACATGACAAGTGCGTTAAATAGAATGCAGGAATATGCAGAATTTTATCTTACCAAGCATAAGTCGTCCACTTTACGGAGAACAGCAGAGAGGTTACTTTTCGCCATAGTTTCGACTGCTGAGAGGCGAGAGTGCTGAATGACGGCAGTCTTCAGAAAAAGACTGGGTACTACTGTTACTCGCAAGCGTGACGCAAAGTTGACGCAAAGACGCAACGATACCTGAAGGAAACAGCACCTTAACATCACGTTACCTGCTCAATGTCAATAATTTGAAAACCGCATATATATTTTTGTCACGAATCAGCCTTCCGTCCACACGAAACCAATGAATCGACTCATTCATCCGCGGCCTATTCATGATAAAAAAATATGCGGTTTAAAAAATATCCGATTTAGACACGGCTTCAGTTCTCTTTTGGGCAAACCCCTTTATTTTTGTCGTGTTAGGTAAATAATGGCAAAAGAAAGTTTTTCTATGAGGAAAGTGTTCAATCCTTAAAGGAGTTTTTGGTGCACCAAATGTCTACCGTTTCACATTTCCGTAGACCAATACGGCCACTGTGACATAATAAAACAATCTATACAGAAGTCTTTTACAGGGCCAGAGGAGGGGTGGAAACCGCAATACAGTCAACTCCCTCTTGATGGACACCTCTATTCTTCGTTTTCACTGTCACACAATAAACACGGCACATAAAAATAAATAATTGGAAACCATCCGATGGAAGAAGCCAAGAAAATATGTTATAAAAGACTAGTATATAAAGAATTAATTTTGTCCAAATCTCAGGTCTTTGTGAGGCCTTCCAAGGGGTAAAAGCGACATGCGACACGGCCCTGAAAACTGGCGACATGGGAATTTTTAAAAAGCGAGAAGTGACATGCCTACGCTGCTAAAATGCGACAGCGACATACTAAACAGTGAAAAACGACGGTGACATTGGAAAGTTGTGCATTTTATCAATAAAAGTGACTCAGAATACAGGAAATTACATTTCTGAGGGTTCAGATTTTCCAAATTTTCCCGCGGGAGCCAACCCTTAAAGAAGAAGAAGAAGCGTTCATCCTTCGCCGCTCACGAAATTTTGCCAACTGACCACCATGAAAATCCTGTTATAGCCCTGTTGCGAAACAGTTTCTCGCAAAACAAAAATGACTGGTACAGTTACGTACACTTCAAAAAACGACAGCGACATTTGCAGCTGTAGATTAGGCGACAACGGTCTCCTAAAGCAAGCGACATTGCGACACAGCTACCCCCCTTGGAAGGCCTCCTTTGTGGCTCACAGTTTGTGAGTTATGACCCAAAACATTTCACACACCTTTGTAGAGCTTCATATGGAGACGACGCCATATTGGTGGACAGTTTTGGTCCACCAATATGGCCACCGAAAATAAAAAAAAACATCTGGAGTTCACTTTTCGATGCAGATATTCAAATTTCAGAGACGTAGTTGCAAACTTTCCTTCCTCCCCCACCCCTGCTGCCAGAGCACCCCAGAGAGCTTACTCCAGGCTATGCCGGTCCCAAAGGCATCTGTTTTAGAGAGAGAGTTGACTGTGATTTAATGTCTCTTGAGCCATTATTAAGCTATTTAAAGGCAAGGTTTCCTAAACACTCTTAACTTAGATTAATTAACGTCCTTTTAACAAGCACCAGATCTTGTCAATAAGCATCAACTACTTTGGTTTTTCCCTGTGCATTCAACCAAGGAAAAGATTCTTTCAAACCTTGTTGATACAGTCTACCCAACTCAAACCAGCTGCACATCCACAAATTTTATTCACACCCAGGATTAAGATATTCCCTGATTGTCTAATATTGTAAAAGGAAAAAGAAAGTAACCATGCGCCACCTGGCACTGCTACAGCAGAGACCCTGTTGATTTGAACAAAAACTGCACATCTTTGACATAGGTAAAAAAATACTAATTTATTAGTCATGACAATATTATTCATGCTTCATTTTTTCTAGTGATAGCAATCACTTATCAGCAAAAAAATCAAATCTTTTGAGGCCTAATCTTAATCTTGCACTTCTATTCCAATCCAAAATATGCTTCTTTTCATTATTATTACAAGGCAATTCATATTGCATTAGTGCCAGACAGTTACTGCTCTTCAAAGGAATTGTTCAAATCTTCATTCTCAACTTCATCATCTTCTGTCTCATCATCCTCAGCAACCATATCAAAGAGTCGTACATGCCGTCGTGTTAAAGACAATACACAAGCAACCTTGCGAGTTCCACTAACAGCCAAAGACTTTGCCCTCATTGCAGTCAATTTCCGATAATGGGTAATTCTTGGTCCAACATCAATGGCTGGAGGTTCTGGCAGATCACTTAGACACATCTGTCCGAGTTGAGTGACATCAAGAAAATCCTTCTGTTCAAGCCATTGAAGAGGAACTTGGGCCAATATTGAAATGCTTTTGTCCTGCTTGTCATCATCCTCTTGTTTGTCCACCCTTTGTTTCTCAAGAAGGACTGACAAATATTCTGAGTCATAAAACATCACATCAGAAAAAGAGTATTTAACTGGTTCACAATCATAAGGAAGATGGTCAACAAAAACTCTGGTAAAAGATAACTTAGGACAATTTGGTTCAAAAGAAAGAATACACAACTTTTCATTCTCCGGAAAAACCACAAGGGAACACTTGGGTGTACCCATTGAGGAATGAGCAAAACAGAGGGAAGAAAGGTCACCCTCCATTATCTCACATAGAGAGAAAGAATTCCAAAATGAAACTGATTTGCTAACTGCAGTTATTGGACCTGCAAAGGCTTTTCTGATGTGCTCATGAAGCTGTGTAGAGAGGCTGACCAGAGATTCAAATGCATTATCCGGAATCAGCAAAGGACTGGACTTCAAGGTGGGATGACTTTCCACAAACTTTGTCCAGTCATTGTTACCAAATGAAGGTTTTACGGATAATGGCTTTGGATCAAAATATTGACCAACTCTTTCAAGTGTAAACTTTCCTTGACTGTTGACTACAAGTTGATCTTGAATAAAACCGGACACTAACATTATGTCCTGCTGGCTCCTTTGTTTTAAGAAGTCTGGAATTTCAGCATCAGAAAGGCTCAAGATGATGTAATAAAGCCACTGAAAAAATGCTTTAAAGCTTTTCAGGTTTGATTCAATAACATGGACAAGCTCTTGGGTTTTCAACATGATTGAACCAAGGCCTTTCACAGCTGTTTGTAGATCAAACTCTGACAGACCCAGTACACCAAACTTCTCGTACCAAAGGGACATGCCATGAATTTCAGTCACATGGTACATTAGAGACTGAGTCACACACTGTAAGTGCTTTAATGCCAGAGTTTGAATGCTTGCATATGAGTTCTCAATGCTGTTCCCTAGCTTTTTTAACCCTTTCTCTGTGAGATCATGAATAAGAAAGGACTGCAGCTCCGGACTTGTAACACCACGGGTGAGTAAGGTTAGAAATTCACTGCTTACACTTGATCCAGCTGTCAGGCGTTCTGCGGCAAACTCTGTCAACTTTGTGCCCATCTCAAGGAGTATGTCTTCCCAAGCATCTGACATGGACTGCAATGTACTATCAAAATACTCCAACAAGCAAGTAACTAAGCCCATTTTCTTAGCCACAACTGCAAGTTCATTGCATCTTGCAGAAAGAAGTCCGGTATCATATAGTAACAAAGACACAGCTTTCTTATCTGATTCATACATATTTGATTTGACAATCACAGAGAGCACCTTTAGATCATTTGACACCATTGCACTGATAACTTGGGATTCACAATGAAGCTTCTGCATAGAATCTGATGTATCTACAACAACACAGACGAAAATTCCATAAAGGAACAAATGCACTTTGCCACCGCTATCGCCAACCACCAGTACACTCAAATTCTCGGGCAAGGTCTTTAGCTTCTTTGGGTCATCTGATTCTTCTTGTGAAGCTTCCTTGGAAAACAAAGCTCCGGTAGATTTTGGCAAATGCAAAAGTGAGGGAAGATAGAGCTCTGATTTTTCTTCAAAGATGATACTGTTTAGGAACGTTTCTTCGCCTGTACTGTTCTTGGCTTCTTCCATCCACTCTGTAAAAGTTGGCGTCATTTCAATCTTGGTCTCATGAACGCACTCAGCATTTTCGATATTGAATAGTTTAACTTTACCATTGTTGAATGCCACGGCTAAAACCTTGCCATCGGGCCGCCATGCAACAGACAGCGCTCGTTCATCAGCTTCTGAGGCTGAAATTGACCACACTCTCTTCCAAGACAGCCTCTGTAACCACACTTCCCCCTCGACTGTAACAAGTGCAAGCAAATCCATTTTTGGTGACCATTTCTGACAAAGGATTTCCGCAGAACATGGCTTGTCTTCAAGTTGCCGAAATGATCCACATGATCCCGCCATTTTAGAAATTCGAAGTTCGAACGGCAAGCCGCTGACCTTATCAGTCCAGCACTGTTGGAACAAGACCAACCCGAAATCACACGAAATTATTTTCGTTGGCTATTCGTTTTATGATTGGTTATGAGGAATCGGAAGGTATTTCGGAAATCTTTACGAAGACTCGCCGAACCGACATCCTGAACTGGTGGGATCGAGGCTACGCTCCGCGCGAGAACGAGTCTCTCTAGTCGCTCATCAAGGCGTTCTTAGGAACGTTGTAACCGAGGACAAGTGGAAAATGTTGGGGTTAGAAGTTGTTCAACGATGTGCTCATTGTTGTTTTTACCACCTAACGATTTAAGAATGTAGCACAAATTCTCTCAGTGAATAATGGACCCACCTCGGTCGCGTAAATCGCGCAAAGGGGACAAGGCTTCCAGCCGTCCGTTTTATGAGACGGACGGTCCGACAAGTGCAAACATCGTCTCGGAGGCCAGATCCTCTCTTCGTTCCCTGGACACAAAAAGGCCTTTTACACCGGTCGAATCAAACAGGACGCTCTTTGGAGGCAGCTCGTCTAAGCCTTATGAAGGAAGACCTCCTTCTGCGTTCAGGTATCGTCATCTTAATATTCTTTGACAGGCATGCAATTATTGTTTACTGTTATTTGCCAAATGTCAGCAGAAACTTTTAAAATTCGATTATTGCCATGTTTATTATCAACACTGCAAAGCGCAAGGACTTTTATCGTATTTTGATAAGACCACCTGATTTATACAACAGTCCATTTTGGTTATGGACACCTGACACGAACTTAATTATGTTAACCTTGTACCGCACTATTGCTGAGGGGATGTTAAAAGTTATGCACTTTGCCCGCTAGTGCAAAATTATTTTTATCTACCAGCTAATCTTTTGTACAGTTTCTTTTTTCGGATCATTTTATTTCTTTGATATGAAAATTTTCGCACACGCAGAGAGTGTTTTTGTGAATGAGCATGTACATATTGTGAATTGGATGTGTGGAGATGTTCTTATGATCTGGATACTATTTCATTGGGAATAGCATTTACACTATCTTGTTGGGATTTTTAAAATCATTATGGAAGTGCTTAAAACTCATACTGTAGAGCTTCAAAAGTAGCGACCCCATTACTTTTGGAGACGGCAACTTATGGGTGATTACTACTTTCGTATAGTTGTTACTTTTGAGTAGCTAAAATATGTCTTTTTTTTATTAAACAAAATTGACCTCGACCCTTCAGTAAGTATAATGTTGCTTAAATCCTCGGTGAAAACTCTCTGCTTCATAAAATTTATTATTCTTCAACTTTCAGGATCATGTACAGTTTATCTCAACTGAAAACATGTTCCATCTGTGTGAGGCTTGAGAGAAGGGGATTTCTCTGTCAATGCAGGGTGCAAAGAAAGTCCGTTTTATAGCTTGCCATTTGGGCTAGCTGTAGCTACAACCAGTTACAAAAATGAACTCTGTGAGGGTGCCCTTTTGCTGGAAAGAACGAAGTTTAGCGAGGACCAGTGTCCAGACATTTTATATTATGACTGGAGGGAGGAGGGAGGTTAAGTTTCAACATCCTCCAAGTTTTGAGTATGGTCTTTGATTGCTAGCAACTTTGATAAGGGGTGGAGGGGGGATCACAAGCACAAAATCATGGGCAGGCCATTTATGCCAAAATACGGTACAGTGTCTCAGGTACTTTTGCAACTGGTTGTAGCAGGTACTAGCCCAAAGATCACTTTAACTAGCCTCAAAAGTTTTTTTATGAGCAGGTTTGATTACACAGTTTTTCTGTAATTTGAATTCTCAAAAGACTTCACTTGCCCATCGGGCAAGCTAAGAACAAAATTCACTAGCCCGATAGCAAAATGCTCTAGCCCCAGGCTAATGGACAGTACTTTCTTTGCACGCTGCAATGTTTTCTTCAGCTGCATCTGTTCTTTTCCGAAGAAGACGTTGTACATGCAAACAATTTCTGAATCAATTCGAAGCTGCTAATTTGAATTGGATCTTCACACACCTGCCTCGGGCATGAATAACAGTTGGCAAGTGGCATTAATTTAGATGCCAAACTAACCAAGTAAAAAAAATTATGTATATTTTATTGTCATGCAATGTACATTTTCACCTTTTGAATTTAGTTTGGCTGAAATAATGATCAGAATCTGAATCAATTCAGGCTGCATAAATTAATTTTGGTTGTTCTAAATTCATATTCGTTTCCGCAAGAGTGCTGTACAACATCTGAACTGGCTCATAAATTTGAACATTAACCAAGATAATAGCAAATGGTCCACACATAGTGTATCACACAAAGATGAAAATTTGTCATGATCAGCATTAATAGTTACACAGTATGTCATAGCAATGTTACAACTTCTTAGCTGTTTTACTAGCAGTCATATTTCTTTGGCACTGGGAGGTTATTTTTTCCAAAATCAATCATTTGTTCTTGTTCCTCCAATAGCTGCCTCAATGTTGTAAAGCTTGACCATATTTAGATCTATGTGAGAGTTATCAACTATTAAGGATGAACTTTTAGATCTTAAAATACAGCAAAAACTGAACAACCTCAATGATTGGCAGATATCTCTAAAAAAAGGGCTGTAGAAATGCAGTTTCACCTCATAGTAGTTGCATTCTATTTGAAAACTTGTGTGAAAAGTTCTTGAGGATAGCTTTAGGGGTGGTGTTGTGAAAGTAAAAAATCTTTATTTGGGAAGATGAATAATAAATAGAATTCAGGGCTCTAAATTAATGGTAACTTGTTAACCAACGGTTAGTAGTTTCCAAAGTTTGTTACTAAAATTGAGCCTTAGTAATCTGACATGGTTAGTAAAAATTTCTGTTATGGAAAAGCTTTTAACATGTGTTTGTTTTTGCATTTTTATAAGCTTGTGTTTTATCTCAACAATTTATTGTTCTAAAAGATATGCTTAAAGCATATAAATCAACCAATATGAAAACTGTGCATTTCACAGAACTCTAGGTAACCAGGCTTTTGTTGGATGGTGAGATCTGGACACAGCTTTAAGATGTCTCTGCCATCTTGCTTGTTTCTGTGTTTGTTTTGTTTTCTTTCGAAAGTGGATCATGTGTGTACCTATTTATTATGTAGATCAAATGCAGAAGTCCTTGGATAGTTTTTTCAGAAGAAGGTCGCTGCCCGAAATTTGTGTAGAAGAAATGGAAAATTGAGAAAAACAACAAAGAAGAAGTGTAATTTCAAACACCACAGAGGGTTTCTAGAGGGTGTGTGAAAAAGAATGAAAGATGAGTCTAACAAACAACCTTGTGCAGTGTTTATTACCTGTCCTCATGTAACGTAATTGAAAGGAAAATCTAAATGAGCTTTAAATCGTCTATATTTAGCTTAATTTGAACCAATCCATCCATACATTAGTTTGCCCCATTTATTAGCACTATTTTCAATAGTTAAAATATTGTTAGTTCAAGAACAGATTCTAGGAAAATAAACTCTATCATTTTATTGTCTGGAACAGCAGCTTTTCAATAAGGTTTTAAAGGGGCTGTGTCACAGCAGTCCAGTTCATTTTGTTTAATTTTGCCAATTACTAGCCCTCAATTGCTATGGAACTTAAAGTAAGCAAAGAGATTACATGTAAATGATAAAATCAGAGATCCGAGACAAACGAATATGTCTCCTGAGCATTATTTTTGAAGTTGCAAGCAGCTGCCGCCAGGGATCAACCTTGAAAAACTGTTAGGCTGAACAGTTTTCAAAAACCCTAATTTCAATCCGTTTCAGTCTTTTTCAGTTTTGCCCATCCGTGGCATCTGTTGTTTCTGTTATGTTATTTTAACCTTCCTTTATAGTTTTAGGCCGTTATTTTTATGTACCAGTGGTTGTTTCAGTGCCTGTTTTAAATCGTGTTATTTGTAAAAACCAAGGAAAAGAAAAGAAGGCGGAGTGTTCATGTTAAATAGCCGGCTGCCAGCTCTTATTGAAAACCCTGAACAACACTACAGAGTAAATGTGACCACAATTCACTTTTGGCAGTATGATTTTGGGGTGGTCATTTGGCGAGGTTCCACCCTATAATGGCAAAAAGGGAATTAATTTTAATTGTCCTTTGTTGCAGCCTAGGCAGCTACCAGTCTGAGGGGGAATCCTCTCGTCCTCCATCAGGAAGAAGACTGACACCCATAGATAATGCTCCCCAGATAGCTGTTGCTGATTCAGTCATACCTTCCCCGCCTTCTGGTCCGGTAAGTTTAAAACTCTTTTTTTTATGATAGTGACATCTCAACACTCAGAACTGTTGCCGGTGTGACCATATGATGATTGACCCTTTGACCTTTTTAGTGGGCAATTTTAAGTTAAAATTCACCAAAAAATCCTAAAAAAGTGCTTGAGTCTTATGTAGTTCTATGAAAAAGGTTCAGAGTTGTTTTCTGTGGTGTGGCTATAATAATGTTATATTATTGCAATGTATGTATTACATGCAGAACTCAGAAAATACTAAGAGTAAAGAACAGGATGATTAGAAAAGGTTTTGCGTGGCTATATTTTTCCTTTCTCTTGTTATAAGTACTTTTGTCTAAAGGGTAATCTTATTCTAGAGTGCATAATAATTTATACATGCCTTGGGTGAATATGCTAGCATCATTATTATTATGATAATGTCAAAAATAATGTCTATGGAAAGTTAAGGAAAGTTTTCTGAAAGAACTAAATGTAAATAAAAGTCATGCACTAGAAGTAAGCCTATTATAAGTACTGTACTGTTCGTTAAGTAATGCTGTTGTTCCTTACAGCCCTCAGGAAAAAACAGGAGACCTTTGAGAACATCTCTATCATGTCCATCTGAGGAGTTAAATGCTGAGAAACTCAATCAGAAACTACGTAATGCTGTCATTGGTCAGCAGGAAAAAGACTCTCAAATGGAACTTTGTCCCTCTCCACCCAAAAGAGGATCTCCTTCAAGAACCTCACCTGTTGGCGATCCTTTTCGTCGCCATTCTACAGATACTTTTCCTGTACCCCCTGCCATTCCCAGGGATGTTGTTGGAGCAAGGAGAGTCAGGAGTGGGCCAAAGGAACGTAGCCCACCAGTTGTCGATTCCGTCACACGTGTTAAGAGTGGTCCTCTGGAGCGTGGGGATCCTTTTGTAACTTCAAATGATGTGTCAGTGGAGCAGACATCGTCAGCCACGGGGAGGGGAAAGAAAGGATCTGAGAGAAGTGGAAGTGGGGACAAACGGAAAAAGACTAAAGGAACTCAGCAGGAGGATGATAAACCAAGGGATGAACTAGTTATGTATTATGAGGAAAATGTCAAGCCTCTATTATCACAAATGGAACAGAGATTTGCAGAGAGAAATGTTAAGGACCTTTGTCAAGATTGTTTGAAACTTTGGAATGCACTTGAAAAAAGAGGCCTTATTGGAAAGGCCAGTGGGAGTTTCTCGGCAAGGAGGAGAGGGGAGATTTTACGGACAGTCTTCAAGTTTTTGGATCTCAGTGATCCAAGGTTATTGCTAAGACTTGGCAAGTTAATTCTTTCGGTAAGTACTGCGTGAGAAAAAACTGATGTAACTATCAGGATGGGTAATCTTTATGAAAAATGAAATTGCCGTACACGATGTATTTAGTGGATTTGGGACCCTTCCTTTCGGGGAAACTGTAGAAAAACTGCAAAAAACATATAGTATGAGAGTTGCTTAAGGTAAAAAGGCAAAAATAACTATTAAATTAATGGTAACTAATATAATTATTTCAATCATCTATTTATTATTTGTTAATTGAATATTTGTTTAATAATTATTAATTTAGAGAAATCTAGGCATTAGGTCTCCTGGAGATAGGAAACTAAGGTTGTGCACTAAGAAAAACAACTATTGTAGTGATACCGAAAGCTCTTGATGTTGAATGAATCCAGGATGCCAATCATTGAATTTTTCAACTAGAATTTCCTTGTCTCTGAGAAGGAAAGGGAATTTCTTGGGGTCACCAACATTGCCAGAGCTTTTCCCTGCAAACCTGCGTTTGTTTCAAACAGTCAGTCACTAAACTTAGGGAGTGTTCAATTGACCACATTCTTTAATAAATGGAATATACTCTAGAAATCATTTGTTTTGGCATTCATTGCATTGCAGTATATTGAAGTCTGCTTGAAATAATTTATTCCAATGTTTGTAGCATTTAGATGGTCCAAAAGTCACAGTACAAGAGATTTGTAACAAAACTTTTGCGTGTTCTTATTCCAGAACATGATCAATTGCGTGCACCCTAAGTTTCCAATTTCATTTATTTGACATTTTAGAACATACCAGTACAACATGTGTTACCAAATTAATTTTTTCTGCAACAAAGCGCGGAGTACAACGTAGATGTAAATAACAGTCAGTTTTCATGATATGTTAATCAAAGTTTTTTGTATGTCATCTATATTACAGATGAAAGTCACTGGAAACAACTTAACAAACATATGTATGGTTGTGTACAGAGTAGCAAAAACAGAAAAGAATGATCAGCTGTTTCTTGAAGAGGATATTTTAAGTGAGTAAGGTGGACTCCTCTGATAGATGAACAGACTGTTAATGCAGGTCCCCAATTTTGATCATTGAGTTATAACCTTAGTACAAGTGACACAGTTATCTAAATTATGGAAAATGTGCTATTTATTATCAAAGAAAAAAAAACGTAATTGTTAAATTTTAAATTTTTGTTGTTGTCTTTTGGACTCAAAGTGCAGGTGCAATTTATAGATAATACTTCTTTGATACATTTTGCACATTTTTACTAGGTTCTAAAACATGGCACAAAATGATTTTTATCAATAACAGGGCTCTCAATACGATTTCAAGTTGCCGGGTAAATACAACAAGTAGCTAGGCAGTGAATCAAACTTCTAGGGAGTTCTTTTGGTTTTATTTTTATTCCATTTTCCTATGAAAGAAGCCAGGGAACCATGTTCATAGTAGCTGGGGGAAATTCTCCGGCCCCCTGCACTTACTGACAGCCCTAAATCAAAGTGGTTGACAGTAAAAATAGGTCCAAGTTTATACTATGTTACCTTGCACACAGGTGAAAACCTATAGATTTTGTATAAAGAGATTTTTTGATGTTAATCAATGATTAAATTGTTGGGTCAATTTTATTATCTCTGATTGTCGCTTATGAAATCTCAGCCAATTCCTAGCACTCCTACAACGTCGTTATTAATTACCACTGATAGTTGCCTTAATTTCGGGGTTGTGCAGTTGAACTTTTTTGTTGTAATTTCTTCTTTGCGTTGCCCTTCTTTAGAATGTTTGGTAGACACCATAAAGAGCTGTGAGATAGGCAGCCATCACGATGCACTTGTATACACAGCAGGAGCCATGAAACATCTCTCTAGCAACAATCCCACAACTCAAAAGGAACTGGTTTCTCTTGAGGCAATAGAGGGTTTGGCAGACATTCTTGATGCCATCAGTAAAGATGTAAGAGCGTCTATGGACTTAACTGACAGCTTAATCATTATTAATGTGAAACTTGTTCTTCAACACCAACTAACTTATTGTTATAAATAAATGTTTCAGGTGCTGATGACTATGAAGGGAAATTCACAGTTCACCAGTTTGCTTGTTCAGGTGAGACAAAATTTTCATTAATTACTTCTTTTCATGCCTACTCTCTAACAGGATATTATGTTTACCATAATTTATTTCTTTTTTGTATTATTATTATTAGTTCTTAAATCAATATTGCTGCTCTTAACTTAAACATCACACTCACTGCAACAAGAGTTATGTTATGGCTGATCTCACTGTCTTGATGTTATAGGTGATCAAAGTGGCATGCTAAAGATAAAACTTTAAATTTTTTTGTGTGATTTTTTGTGTGGTTAAATTATTATTTCCTACAGCTGATTCAAAACTTAATGACAGCCTGGAGATTTGATATAAAATGGGGCTGATTTAAAGATCTTCTGAGTTATGTATGCAGTTGACAAAAAAAGGGGAAACAAAATCAAGCTTGGATGCAATAGGATTTGAACTCATGACCCTGCAATACAGGTCCAGTGCTCTTACTGAGCTATCAGGCCAACTGGAAGGTGCTCACTTTGTGAGTTTTATGTGCAGTATACCTGTAGAGAAGAAAATATGAAGTGAGGTGATTAGATGGCTGAGGGTGGCTTACCATACTAGCCAGTGATTTTGGCTGGCCACTTTTTGGGCTAATATGAATGTGCAGTTATTGTGGTGTAAACGTCAAGTTATTTCTTCCCCTGCAGGTAACTGGGGCTCTAAGGAATCTTGCTGATGTGACAGGTGCTGTGGAGACGTTCATCAACACTGGTGTTGTAAGAAACTTGTCCATTGTCCTTGGACCGTACTCATCCGATAGTGACGTGGTGTGGAATGTGTGCAGAGCTTTAAGGTACAAAATATATGATGTGTCTTTGTGTGGTTTTAGGCAATACCTGCTTCACCCCTTCAAAGGTGAAATTCTTGGAAGTGGGATCTCCCTGCATGTTTCTGTTGGGAATTTATACTTCTGAAAGTCAGAACCTTAGTCACAGAATCTTATCGTTTTTGCTGTAGTGAGTGAACTACATTGTTGCATGACTTGTTCTTTTAATTTTTATTTCAGTAAGTTAACGCTGTACACTGAATGCTGCATTGAACTGTCAGAGTCCTGCACTTGGCTTCAAGCTCTGCGGAAGATCTTAGCAGATTACGAAAAGAAGCAAGTAAGTTTGAAGCGTTGGCATTGGTTTGCAAGCTGTTTGACTATTCCATCGTATTATTTCGGTTACTGCATAATTAATCACTGTTGTCTGATCTTACTGCTTTTGATGAAATGCTTTTGTCACTGAGAGCATTATTTGGAATTCTACAGGCCTGAGTTGTTCTAAAGGTGGATAAGTAAATGCGATACACTGGATAATGCAATAATGGTTTCCTTAATACTTATCCAATTGGATAGTGATTTGTCCGCTGGATAGGGCTAACCAAGGTTTGAACGACTCAGGGCTTCTGACATTTCGCGCGGTCGCGGACCCGCGAAATTCAGGTATTTCCGCGAAATACCGCGAAATTCCCCCAAAAACGCGAAATACCGCAAAATCCGCCAGAAATATTTCCAAATACATGCGGGCAAAACATATTTAATACTTATCTTGGCTATTAGACCTGTTTTATTCACCCCAAACGTCCAAATTTATCCGGAAACTTCGTCACTGCAACGAGTAAACAACATCCCAAAACTACCAGGTGTTCTTAGATTAATGTTGCGAAAAACTGGGCACTAACCATAATGTTAATAGCTTTAGCATTCGCTCATTTCTTGAGCGAACTGTTGTTGAAAGAGCAAATGATTATCCCTGTTAAAAAAAACGTTTAGAATGCTGGTCATATCAACGCAAAATTGATCGATTTTAGCGAAATTTGCCAAAAAAAAACCAAGCGAAATTGGCTGCTTTTTACTGATTGTTTCTTGGCGAAGTTTCCCCCCGAGATTTCCCGTGAAATCGGCCGATTTTTCTAAGAATTTGCCCCTGAAAATCCTTCGAAATTTGATTTTTTTCCCCTAAAATCCCGCGAAATTGGCCAATTTTTCTGCGAATTTGCCCGTGAAAATCCTTCGAAATTTGATTTTTTTCTGCTAAAATCCCGCGAAATTGGCCAATTTTTCTGCGAATTTTGACTTTTCTCCCGCGAAAATCCTGCGAAATCGGCCAATTTTTCCGCGAATTTGCCCGTGAAAATCCCGCAAAATTTTGCTTTTTTTTTCCGCGAAATATCAGAAGCCCTGACGACTGGGGCCAGATGTATAGCTAATCTGATGCAGTGCTCCATAATATTTGTTTCTTTTATTATTATTTTGCAGGAGTTAGTCGTCCGAGTCTGTTTTATTTTGGGGAACTTGGCATCCAAGAGTGAGGATGTTAGAGATGCAATTTTCTTTGATGATTCCTTCTTAGAAGTGATACTATCTGTGATGCAGACATACTTCAACTTTGAAATGGAGGTTAGGCATCTTAATTCATTCGACATACATATTTGTTTTAAAAATTATGTTATTGTCCTCTCCTGTAAGGAGCTTTTTGGGGTAATCAATGCAACCATTACAAACAAGTATTTATAATGAAACATATATGTAACAAGTTTATTCCAAGGTTCTATTAAACTGGCATGTATGAAGGAGGTAGATAAGCTGGTTATTGTGCAGTTCAGCAAGTGAACTGGAGCCTTTTGAGAAATGACAACTACATTTTTTGAGGGAGGAACTGAAGAAGTTGGGAAGTCTTGTGCCCTGATTCTGACTCTCTTATATTTAATGTTAAGTAGATTTGTCCGTGTTACAGCCAGCTAAACATCCTTGACTTATGTGACAGGTCATATTTCCTTTGTCTTCTATGGCTTGGAGACAAAGGAAATTGAGAATCAACCTATTAAGGTAGTAAATTAACCTGAAATAATCAAATTTGACCTGTAACATGTATTATTGTAAAGTCAGCATGTAAGTTAGATTAAGTGTTGTAACTAGTTATTATAATAGAGCGGTTTTCATTTGAGTGTCGAAAAGTAATTGGTTTTGCACTTTCTACACGATGCGATTGGCTTAAAAGATTCGCGCCACCTTTTCATCCAATCAGAAGTAAAACCAAAGCCAATTGTAATTTTCCCGCGCTTTGCGTCAGCCACGTGTAATTACTTCGAGTTTTGATTGGTTCAATGTATTGTCTGTGTCCTATGTGATTGGCCAGAGTAATTACTTTGGTTTTGGTTTTACGACACTCAAACGAAAACCACTCTAAATAATGTAATATAATCATTGTTCCTGAAAAGCCCGTTTGTATGTATGTATGCATGTATGTATGTTCACTGAATTCCCAGAGACAACTACATTGGGAAGTGTTTGTGGTCAATATTGGCTCGATGTATTTATTTATTTTTTAATTAATTAATTAATTTGTTTTTAAACTACCAAAGGAGTTAAAAAATGGACCATCATCTGAGCAAAAACAACTAAATGGAGAAAACAAAGGTCCCAGCAGAAATGAGGATGTTCTCATCAAGGTGGCTATTACTTAGTATTTTCTTTCCTCTCATTTTCTTTCAATTAACATAAATTCATCTAAATTTTGTTCTACCTTTTCTTTCTGCAATATGTTTTTTGTTCAAAACGAAGGAATTGAATGAGAACAATCTTTGTAAACTACGTTTGGTATAACTGTGAAAGTTTGAACCCAGAAAAGAAAGCTGGTTTACTAACTTAGAACAAACCCCACTGAATCGTAGTCAACAGTTACTGGCACTGCAGGGCTGTCAAAAAGTTTTTAAAGAGCAGGCTGAAAATGAATAGTAGGCGGTTTTGGAACTCAAACCAAAGGCACAAGTTCTTGAGGGCCGAGGCATCTAGGGACATTCTGAAGATTAGAGTCTCGGAAATGGCGTTTCCAGAGGTTTTCAAGAGGTATTTTTAACTGCGAACACCATCGTGTTTCGTCAGAATACACAAAAGACTGGGAACAATGCCATCGAAATGTCCAAGGCATACCAAGACATCGCATGCTTCGAACGTTTTACAGATCTAAGCCTGTTAGAATATACGTTCAATGTCATTCAAAACTGGGAAATGGATGCTGTACAATTTTTTTTCAATGGTGCTTATTTTTTGTTAGCATTATGGTAGATAAGGAGATGAAAGTAGCTGGCTAAAGAGCGCTAACTAGCCGGCAGTTTTGGCCGGCCACTGGCCCTTATTCAGGGTTGTCATTAAGAGCCGGGGGCCGGGGATTTTCCCCGGCTACTAAGAGAGTGGCCCCCGGCTACTTTTATTGGAAAATAGAAGAAAAATAGAACCAAAAGAGATCCCTAGCCGTTTGATTCCCCACCTACTTGTTGTATTTACCCGGCAACTTGAAATCTTAGTGACAACCCTGCTTATTGACAGCCCTTTACTGTACAAACAACTTATTGATTGAATCAAAATTAAGTGTGAGAGAATGACTGGACAACTGACAATTTGACTAAGAATAAACAACTGGTTACCATGACAATAGGTGGATCGAAGTGCACTAATGACATTATGAGGCTTCATAGCCTATAACATCATGGCTTACCTGACAGGCGCCTAGTAACTTTGCGACTTAATCGACCATTAGGTCAATAATCAATAACCAGAGTTCAATACCATCAACTGACGTGATACAACTCATTTTGACTACCTCACAGGTTGTTGAAATGTCATTCACTGTCAACAACAGTCCCACGTTCAGGACTACGTTCACCCAGACGATCATACTCAACCTACTTATGATATGTTTGGTATATGTGTTACTTTCAGGCTGTCAGAGTTATTGCAAACTTGTCCATCAGTCCAGAGGCAGGAGCTGGTTTGGCTGCCAGTGAACACTTAGTTGATCTTCTAATTCATATACTTGGTACGTAGAATGGCATTAAACATTAACTTTGATTATTAAACTGGTCAACTGTTCATGATGTAGTTGTGTAACTGTTAATCATAGTTTTGAAAGTTAATTCAATTTTGTCACTGGGTGGGTGAACAATGTTTCCCCATTTGGCTTTCTGAATAAAGTGTTAGGAGAAGATAGTGTGTTAAGAAGGGGCTGGTAGAGTAATAAGGAATTTACTTTGAGAGAGAATGAGAGAAAGTGAAAGGTTCTCCAGGTATAAGCCAACATAAACACTTTTTGGATAACTCAGAGTCACTTCCTTCAGCCTCGATGACAACAATCCCCGAATACTGAAGTTCATGAGATTTTTATGAAGCATGTTTTCACAGGGATGTGATCTTGACAATAACCTGTTTGGTGTATCATTTTTTATTGAATATTTCAGAGGTGAAGGAAGCATCCCACAGTGAGGAGCTTGTTCTTAATACAGTATCAACTCTCAACAACCTGTCATTTTACAATGATGCTGAAAGTATTGTGCAACAGAGACAAGTACAGATTACTGAAAGTAACCCTACTATTTCTATCTTTGTTTTAAAGAATAATTGTCTCTATTCTTGATTGTTTACTGAGTGGTTAGCCTGAGGAAATGGCCAACATTAATTTTTGCAACAGCACCACTGGCTTTCCCTGTAATATAACGTCTGAGGAGCAAGCGCAGAAATTCCATACTGATGACTTGTCCCTGCCCTGATGCCGATTGGTTGAAGCAATTTTTTCAACTAATCAGAAGCACTACCTAGATCATGGTAGTGACGTGCCATCAGTAAGGAATTTCTGCGCTTCTTTCGTTTCTCACTCGTCATCTTATAGAGAAACCAGTGGTGGTGTTTTGAAATGTCAGATGTTTTGTCAGGCTGCTGGGTGGTGTGCCATATTCTTTTTTAGAAAAAGTTTGCAATATAGCATAACAACCTGTTAGCAATTTTTTTCCATCTCTTCGGTGGGGAATGTGAGACCAGTTTTGTTCAGAAATGTTTTATTTCCTTTTCTATCTTGTTTTAGTGCTTATTTCTTTGCTGATGCCAGAGAATATGGATGCCATGGTGGAAGCCAGTCGAGTATTTGGTAATTTCTCACGATCCAAGGAAGTCAGAACTTTGCTTGCTGAACATAAAGGTAGAATATTAATGGTCTAGACCCTATAATTTAACTCAAAATATTATTTATAAATACATAATTATATAAAGCATTGTTTCATAAAATTATAAAGTGATGCATAACATATATGTTTGTGGGGCAAGGGTGGTACAGTTGGTTAGTGTGCAGCCTATGGTACGCAAGGTCCCGAGTTTAATCCCCGATGACAGCACATCCTTATTTCAACTTCTTTCCTTTCTGAGAATTTTTAAAAACTATCTTTAAATGCCCTTAAAAAGGAGCATTGATGGAGAGAAGGGGTAAAATGAGTGCACCATTGACCTCATGTCTATCAGTTGAATTACTGTCACAAGTTATTGATATAAAATATGGTCGCTTTACCTTTTTCCCCATTAAGAGAAACATTGCAAATATTGTTACCCTATTGTAAGCAGGAAACCCCAAAACACGTCTTTATTGGGCAGAATATACACTATGCAGATCAATTAAGGTTACTGGGAAACTGCCCACCTACCCCTCCCCTGAGCCAACATTAACACCTCTCACTTAGAGAAAATCTTAGCTTAGGGGAGAGGTAGGTGAACAGTTTCCCAGAAACCTAAAGTGATCACACTAGACATACCCCACATAACGGTAGGTATTTGAGGGCGTACCCAAAAGATCAAGACGTTTTACAATGTGGGTTGATTTGTGCATGTTTTTTGCTGTTGGTGTAGTTGATGAGATCATGATAGCTTTGCTGGATGCTGGTGAAAGAGAAACTGTGTTTACTGCATGTGGTGTACTCATCAACCTCATGATCGATGAAGAAATAAAACCCAAGTTAAAACAAGAAGATGGAATAAAAAAGTAAGTATGATTATGTATCCAAACTACTTCAGGAGCATCACTTTAGTCAGTGCTGTCAGGGCTGTCACTACGATTTCAAGTTGCTAGGTAAATACAGGGAAATAAGCAGTTAGGGATTTCTTTTAGTTCTATGTTTCTTCTATTTTCCTATGGAAGTAGTCGAGGTAGCCTGCGTAGCAGGCGCTTGGAAGTAGTGGGCACAAGAAAAAACGGGCGTGCGAGAAGGAGACACGTGTGTCTCCCTCGCGCGCGCCCGTTCTCTCTTTCGCCCACTACTTTCATGCACCTGCTACGCAGGCTATAGTCAAGGGTTATATTCATGGAAGCCGAGGAAATCCCTGGCCCCTGGCCCCTGGCCCATAATGACAGCCCTGACTTCTGTACTATCATTAGCAGTGTATCAGCACCACAACTAAGTGATTTGAAATTCATAAAGTAATCTTTTTGTCCTTTCAGATTGGTGGATGTGTTGCGTGATTTTGGCAAGCATGATTGGCAGCTGTCAAGCATGGTTTGTCAGATCCTGTGGAACTATAGGTGAGGTCATTTAAGGCCGACCATGTGTGAAACATTCATCGCTGTAGAGATGAAATTGTTAGAAAATGTCAAAATTTCAGCCATCGCTCTGGTTATTACACATTGTAGATGATTATGTAACATTCAACTTGCATTACAGCCACTTGGGGTGTTTCATCAATGTGAGCATCTGCTCTGAATCAAATACGATATACCAAAAATTGGCTTTCACTGTTGAATTTGATGTACTAATCATTGTCACTGCTTCTTAATGAGGTTTTTCTTATTTCGTCTAGTGACAAGATAACCAGTTCTTCAGAAACGTTCGGTGAACAAGAGGCAGTAGAGCTGATGGATATTCTTACACAGTATCTTGGTATGTCAGGTGACGTTGATATAATACTTACCATTAAGCCCTTGAAACTCAACACCGTTTGTCCTCTCAACAGCCTTCAGGCTTTGGTTGTTACCAAAAGCTAAAAAGCAAAAGTCATACCCCTTGACATTCGTATACACTTTATTTGGTAAGATGTTTGCTGACACCAAGTTTTAGTTGTTTCCTTTTTTTTGCAAAGAAATTTGCTAGACAAATTTGCAGGAGGGTGCCCCCGAGACCCACCAAGAGAACAAGCTTTCCCCGGAATCGCTTTTCAATGCTCTCTGATTATATTCCTGGCTGAAACTGTGCCTTCATCATACAAGCTAGTAGGGACCTATAAGATCCGACACAGCAACGCTTTTTTTGTTCATTTCTTTGTCGTCACAGCACGACTACAACGTGAAAATGGTTAATTTCACATTTTAGAGAGGACGTAAACAAGCCACGACGAAATTATCTTTCTCTTTCTGAATTTGTATATGATTCTTAGGCATTCACCTGCAGAAGAAACGGCCTAAATTTGTCAAAGTGAGTTGGAATGATCCCGATAAAGAACGCACATTCAGTTTTTTATGAGACGTTTTCTCTGCCGTCGCCTTCCTCGGATTTTAAGGTCTCTAATATTTCATCAGCACCTGTCCCTTAGATTGTTTGAGAAAATAGGATTGAATGATTTTAGTAGCTAGTTATAGAGGAGGATCGTGCTTCTTCGCTATCGATTGTGCAAATCACAGTTAATACTAGGAGCGGACTCATCATGAAAACCTTTAATGGTCGTCCTAGGATTCTGCATTGTTTTGAATATTGTTTTTATTTCAGATGAGGACATCGTTCATGATTCCAGTGAATTAGAAGCTGCAGAATCAACTATTCCGGATATGCTACGAGACATGTGGGAGAGCCAGTTTGTGCCTGTCGGTCAACATCTGCTGCAGCGCGTAAAGTCTCATCACACAGACCTTGTGCCTTTAGATGCACCCAGCTAGCATACGTGTAAACAAATCTTAAGGGAAAATCCTCAGAAAGGATACCTTGTTCTACACACACGTTATCTTGGAGAAAAAAGTCCGTTCAACAGACCCGCTATCACAACTGAGAGTCTGTTTTAGTGAGGCTTTCTAAGCTAAAAGCTGGGTAGCTGGGTGGAGATGGTCCTTTGTTTCTGAAATCAAAATCCACGTCCCGTACAGATCTCTTCTGTTGACAGAGGGTCGAGAGGGATGAGACGAAAGCAAGTGTCAAAAAAGAAGATTAATAGACTACTTAAGGCTATTGCTTCCATCTTTCATGTTCTACTATCATCTGCAGTCACTTCACTAATAAGCAGATTTTCTGTCCAAGAGCAGAAATTGTCCTTAAGGCATTTTTAGAGTAGACAACCTTTTGACGTCGTTGTAGGAAATTCAAAAAATGAACGCCACTATATATTATATCAAACCAAAAGCTAAAAGAAGTACGCTAAAAAACTACAGTCATCCTCGTTTATGATTCAAGCCTGTTGTAATGGTTGCTTCCCCCAGCTGACCAAAGGTTAGCCGCTTATACGCACACCAAAGCAACTGTCACTGTATTTCCGCATAACTCAGTCGTCCATTTTTCAGATGTAGAGTTTGTTTGGTATCTCGAGTCCTGATAACACTTGAAAATAACAGTAACGGGTTGGAAGCATAAGTGTCCTTTGTCAAATCTCGAGCTGCACCTTGCTGTCTCGGTGTGCTTATCTTCGGTTTGACTTTGTCAAGTAGTCTTTTTTTGTACACGCTATTGTTTTCATTTGCGTGGTGTATGGTTTTGGTTTATTATAAGTGTGGAGATTTATCCCATGCAAGTAACGTGGGATCCATTAAGGGGATATTATAGGTATCCTTTTCACCGGGGAACTTCTCGTGGACACCCCGATAACTTTTGAGGGATGAAATCAGATTAAGAATACTGTAAATTGTGGTATAGGCTTAAACTCACGAGCCAGTTGAATATACTGCATATTAACATCAAGTTTTCGTGCAAATATCGCACCCATGATAATGCTTTGGGGTTCAAAAAGTTACTGGGATCATTGAAAAACGCACTTCTGCTCAGAACATCCCTTTTAGAGAATGTAAAAATTTGACAAACGATGGTTATACTCCTTTCCAGTGCAAATACACTGGTTACGATACAGAGATGTATCTTAACTTTTAACTTGCAGTTGGTTTTCCTATACGAGCTTGTAAATAAAAACATTGTCCTTGAAAGTGCTGCGAAAGGTCCTTGGTTACGCACTGTGTAATGTTTTATCTATTACTAACTATAAATTCATTTTTATTTATTATCTTTGAAAGAGTGTCAAAATAGAAAGAAGAAATTTTAATAAAATAAAAAAACTCTGCCGATGTGTTACTTATGTTTTTGTTTAATTTCCACTAATCCTTAAAGAGTATCCTGAGGTAGATCGTAACAGCAATAGTTGCAAGACGTACATAGTCGCATATGTTTAAGGGATACCAAACCTATCGTGCGTTAGGGATCGCTGTTGTCTTTCTCGCACGTTTTTCGTTTGAATTTCTTGTGCCCTCCTGTTCACAGGGTTGCCTTCATTAGAAGCGTTATCTTACCCAGTTGGTTCTGGAACGAAGGCGCCATGGGCCGTCGAGAGTGGGGTGTGCCGTTGGGTCTTAACGAGCACCTTTTGGATTTGAGGATCTGGCCAAAGGCTTAACATGTAATACAACGAACGGTACTTGGGTGAAACAGGTTGTACTACAAAATCTTTTGGTGCAACAATTGACGACAAACTCAGTCTGTTCCAGGCGTTCAGATAGAGAGCGCGGTGTTCAGATGGTGGGGAGCGAACTAAATCGTTCGCGAAAAACTCAGTTGGAATTGCCACATCGACAAACTGACCAACAAGAGAACCTTGCATGTTGTTTTACCAAGATTTAATACAACCTAACGTCGACTACTGTATTGCAGTTTGGGAACACTTCGGGGTAACTCCTCAAGACAAGCTGCAAAAGTCGCACTGGGGCAAGACCAACAAAAGGCATACATAATTTTTTTTTTTTTTTTTAATTTTTTTATTTCCACAACAAGTATTGACATACATTGTAGTAGTACATATAGTAATATTAAAATCACAAAAAAGTCATACAAGATATTTGATTTCAAGTCAAGGGATTCTACATTTTACAAAGCAATCGAAAAACGTGGACATGTTTCGAGTATGCAACTAATTTGTATGACTAAAAAAAAAAACAAATATTGTCACAAAAACAGAAAGGTACGAGACTAAAATAAACAAATAAATAAATCAAGCAAAAAGTATATACATATAGTAAAATAAAATCACACAAAAGGTCATACAACAAATTTGGCTTCAAGTTAAGGGATTCTACGTTTTACGCTTCTTATATATTGTTAATGCAACAGATTTTGTGAGAGGTTATTTTTAAAGCGAGACCATTTCCGTACAAAGACGTTTGAGTCGTTATTGTGGAATGCAATATGCTTTTCAATTTCTATCGAGTTCATAAGTACCTGTATATACACCTGCAGCTTAGGAAGCTTGTTCCCAAGTCTGCAGGTGTATATGTAATGTCTAGCTATAAGGAGTAGGTGATGAAAGAAAAGGTCTTTTACGTCGTCAATGAGACCGAAACAGAGAGACAAGGAGGGAGAGACGTTTTCTAAATCTTTGAAATTTTGAGACATCCATGACGAACCTTCCCTCTGGATCGGAAAAGGATTTTAAAATTTGAAAGTTGAAATTATTATTAAAAAGCACACATACTCCCGCGCTGGCGCTAGAGAAGCTGCTGAATATGGCGGAATACCCCCACTCCGCGGACCATATGTGCTCTTTGTCTTTTGTACAATGAACTTCTTGTAAAAAATAAACGGCATATTTCTTCATCTTAAGCCAACGGAAGGTCTCACGCCTTTTCATGATGTTCGACAAACCTCTCACGTTTAATGAGCAAATTACTAATTCGGCGTTGTATGGGATAGTTTGTGGATGCTTATAAACAAAGCAATTGAAAAACGTCGATATGTTTCGAGTATGCAACTAATTTGTATGACTAAACAAGGAAAATAAATATTGCCACCAAAAACAGAAGGGTACGAGGCTAAAAGAAACAAATAAATCAAGCAAAACATTAAAAGTCCGTTGGTTGGGTCCATAAGGAGTCTCATAATTTTAAATGGTAATTTCCTTTGTTTGTCTTGTCCCAGTGCGACGTTTGCGTCCCAGTATGGCGGTTTTGTACCACAAAAATGGCAAGCTGCCAAGGGCCTAGCCTGAATTTCATCTCAGTTGCTGAGAGGAGAAAACGACTCGAAGCAATCGGATGAAATTCAGGCTAGAAAGGGCCTATAGACCTTGTCACGGTTTTCGACGCCATCTTGACGAGTAGGCACATTGTATGAGAATCTAATGTCGAATAATTTCTGTAGAACGGTAGTCTGCTACACAGCCACTTGTGGGGAGGAGCTTTGCGTGACGACGCTAAAAATGGCTGTGTAGCAGACTAGTAGAACGGCTGTTCTGAAAAAAATATGATTTGTAAACTAAAGCTTCACTCCTAAGGATTCTCCTGAAAAAAATTAAGGGCGGTACATGCACTAGAAGACCTAGAACCACCTTTCCAAAATTTCCTATGAATTTGTCTGTGAGAAAGTTCCGGGAAAATTGCAGACAAATATATGGAAAATCTAAAGCAAGCCTATGGGGAAATTTAAGCACAGGTACGCCCCCAAATTTTTTTAGGATAATCCTTTGCTGTGTAGCTTTAGTTTACAATTGATATTTTTCTCAGAACAACCGTTTTAAGGAAATTATTCGACATTAGATTCTCATACAAACACTGTAATTTCTTACACGTTTGCGTCGAAAACCATGCCAAGGTCTATTGTCCGATGGTCGCCGATGCTGATATTTCGAGCTTGGGCGACCTGTGACAGCACAGTTTCCAAGACTCGACCATAGGGTCAGATACATACATTATGCCGGCATAATTTTGAGCATAATACTATGGATGGAGCATACAACATGGTCTAGTCGACCATGTTTGCTACCTGCCCGCAGTACATGATCAGCGGATGCTTTGTTGCTACGAAATCTTCGTGACAATCCGCCAATTTGCTCAATGTATAGCATTTTGGTGCTGGGTTTTTGCCTACAGATAATGAAAAAACATGCCTTTTTATGGCTAGATAGTACTATTTAATATCAATTTTCGCCATGTTTACAAAACTGAGTCGCGAAGAGGCGCGCAAGATTCTAGGCAGTGTTGACTTGCCAGGTAACTTTCAGCGATTACATTGATTGTGAAGTGACTTCTTGCAACATTGTTAGTTGCTGCTATCAAGTTTATTTATTAATAATGAGACTCTGTTTCCCTTAAATATTAATGAATTTGAGTTTAAAGCCGGAGCGTCTACAAAGCACAAAATTTCGACCCGATTTTTCTGAAATGGAATTGGAGAAAAAGAAGCTTACATACAGGGCGTCTGCATTGTCAGATTTGTTACAGACAAAGCGTCGAGAACCAAATTTACTGGCTTTCTTTTTTCTTTCTTTCTTTCTTTCACACTTGGTATTCCTACTAACTCATTGCAGGATCTACAGCAACGAATTTAAAACTTGCTCTCGCCACAAAAGCCGACAGACAGGTAAGTTTTATCTTGGTTGAAACCTAAAACTGGACAAGATATCAGTGGACAATAACATGGAAATTGGGAAGAGGGCGCTGGTAGTTAAGAAAATTGTTTGCTAAGTCATGTTTGTGAGTTTGAATACTCTTTCCTTCCATCTACTTGCATTGACGGCTTAAAAAGTTATATGTAGCTGTGACTCATCCATAATTAAGACAGTCACTGTCTGTCTGTTGTTATGCAGGGACATATGGTTTTCCTAGGGGTATGCCAATTTTCCAAATTCACCCTTACCCTTATGTTCCCAATAAGTTTGGGGATTTTCCAACCCCGGGGCCATCCCAGGTTTTCACATGCACATGATTCCCACTTTGATTGTTTATTAGTATTTTTTCTGGATTTTCTGCATTTCTTTATCGCTTATTAAGCTAGAGTTGTTACAGCAACATCACAAGCCATCACTGTACGAGTCAATTTATAGAGTATTTCTGGGTGTTATAAAACAACTTTCGCTTTGTGGTGTGGGTATATATAATGCAGTGTCTTGAGATATGTCATTTGGTGATCGCACTTATCCACAACACAAAGAAACTACTGAAGTTTTTTTGTTTTAGATCAGTCTTAGGTTGATCAAGGATTTGAACAAAATATGGTTGCCACAAATATTCAGAATAGCTGACTTAACAGTTGACTCTTTAATTACAATTAGTTTTACTAATCAGTTATTTTAAACAAGATAAACAACAATTGTAATGAAGAGAGAATCACGAACAGCATTTATGTTGTTGTTGATGTCTTTATTGACATGGTTAGTGCTATAACAAACAGTTTAAGAAAGGAGCAACAGACCTACAGAAATGAAAAATTGCACTTTAAAAATGCTGAAAGTGGTACTTCTCTACTCTGCAGTGAATGTCAACTGCTGTTAGTAGTACAGTGATTGCGGAAGCTTCTGGGCGGGGCATTTGCCTTTCTATTTTTGTCCCCGCCATGGGGTATTAGGCTGTTTTAGTGTCCCTGCCCTCAGGATCTAGTAATTTGCCATCCAGGAAGAAAAATTATTTGCATTTGCAAAAACAGGGTCTTGAAAGTTGTTATTGTGATGGAAAAATGAAAAATCAAGGAATTTTCTCCTCCAAAGTTTGGCTCATAATTTCAGATCTCTTTTTATGGTCCTACAGGAGTTAATTGCCTCAAGGAGAGATGAGCAGGAAGCAAGAATTGCTGCAGTAACTGAAATTCAACGTGTTTGGAGAGGGTACTTCACACGGTAAATGTACTTACTTAAGAGCTAAACATGTAACATTTAGGTGTGACTGGTAATGTTTTACTTTTTTAGGTTCTAAAACAGGAATGCTTGTTAAAGTTATTAAGATTAATCAGCTCCTTGTGGACATTGACTGATCTCATGTTTAATTTATCATCACAATAACAATATTCATCATAACAATAATCTTTATCATTACAGATGTAAGTTGTTTGGGATTCTTCATCCAAATGCAAGCGTCATGTCTACAGCTCTTGGCAGTAGATTCATTCAAACTCCATCACGGCTTAGTGATGTAAGGACAATTACACCAATAGTTCCCCACTCTACTCCACAGCCCTCATCAAAGGTAAGGCTTGTGGTAGCTGTTGTTGGTTTTGTTCATTTTTCCCTCACCACTCCTTTCTCTGATAGCCATCATTTTCCTTTCATCAACTTCTATTCCTCCACAGCCCCTTGAGATTGTTTTTCATTGAGCCATTTATTTATGTATTTAACCGCCGCCCGGTTAGTTCAGTTGGATAAACGCCAGTCTGCCGAGTGGGAGGCCACTGGTTCAAGTCCTGGCCGGACCAACACTCGGGGTCTTTAAATGGCTGAGGAGAAAGTGCTGCCTTTGTAAGGACATCTGCAAATGGTTAAACTTTCTAGTCTTCTCGGATAAGGCAATAAACTGTAGGCCCTGTCTCACAACCCTTGCATATATAAATTCTGTGGGACGTTAAAGAACCCACACACTGTTTGTAAAGAGTAGGGGACGTAGTCCCCGGTGTGGTGGTCTATCTCTCATGGGGGAAGGGACTGTTACAGGCCCGCAGTAATTGGCGTCATGCTGTTGCGGTGACCCTGCCAATAATTGGCGAATCTAACAAAATAAAATAAAAAATGTTTTCATCCTCTGTTTTCTATGAGTTTTTGTTTGTTCCTGATGTATGAAAAGAAAAGATAAACAGTCAAACAACAACAACAAAGAAAATTAACACCCAAAGGATTTAAATGATAATAGGACAATGTTTGTTGTTGAAACAAAAGTCACATGCAAAAATTCAGAAACAGAATAACATTTACGTGCTGCACATAATGCAGACAGAATAAACAGTCATGATATTGCTTATGTTTGTGTTTAGTACTGAGGATATAATAATTTTAAATGTATTTAACCATGGCTTATGGTATTGTTCTCAAAACACTACAGGGGCGTTCAGTGCCTGCTTATGCCTTGCCTAGAACAAAGAAGAGATATAAAGAGTATTGTGAGCGTGTTGTTGCAGAACAAGGACCATCATGTAAGCTGATGACGTACACAGAATTCTGTGCTCTACTTATACAAGAATGGTGGCGTTCAGTATTATTAAAGCCAGACATGCCCAGGCCTCCTCCACCAACTACAGATGGGGGAGTGTCAGTATCAGGAGCTGTGAGTGAGCGTGTGGACACAGCTGGAACTGAGGGGTCCGAAAAAAGACAAATCATTAACAGAGAAGAAGCAGCAAAGATTATTCAGAGATCTTGGAGACAACATATTGTAAGACTAAGAAGATTTATTTGGACTAATTTTTAGTGTAGACTCATTAGTATCTTTCTGTTGTACCTTGAAAATTGCTTTCTGCCTCAATCTTCCAGGGTCCGTCTGCTCAGACAAATTGAAAAAGGCAATTATTGCTAACCCTGGATTAACTTTTAATCTAGGTTCCTTTTTCTCATGTTAAAGTTAGTTGTTTTAGAGAATCTGGGAAAATACAACTCTAGGCTTAAAAAATTTACAATAATTTATCTAAAAGTGAGAGTGAAATTAAGTCTTGCCATGTTAACATAGACTAGGAGTGAAAGGGGTTTAAGGTATAGAGGAACCTTGATTCAATGAACCTCTACATAACGAAGTCCTCGATATAACGAATGATATTGATCCTAGCCCCAGTAATAGTAAAATATATGAAAAAGGTTTACCTCGATAAAATGAAACCTCATTATGAAGAACATATTTTGTTAGTCCCTTGGCCCTTTGTTCTGTTAAGGTTCCACTGTAGCTTACAGCCTGGGATGAAAAAAACTGTCTCTGTATTATTTTGCTTTTTAGGATGTTCAGGTATACAGGTACTACAGAGACTTAATCAACTTTAAAAGCCGCGGAGACCCTTCTTCAATGCTTAAATGTATCAATCCAAGAGAGGTATTTTCATTTTGAAATGTGGTATATTTTATTTTTATTTTATATTTTTATCTCTTGCGCTTTGTTCAGTTTAAAATTCTGATCATCTGCCTGACCACTTAATCCCTAGTGTCCTTAATAAAATCATTGGTAAACAGCTCAGTGTGTACTATTGAGTTATGGTTGCATGAGGGAGGTTGTAGTTTTGTCATGAATATAAAAACCCCTTCAGTCCATTATGAAGTTTTGCTAAATTTAATTACATGTATTAAACTGAACTAACTTTCCAAGAAGAGGTACTTGAAGCTCCTCCTAAAAACAATCTTCTGCCAAAATGTTTAAAACCCATTGTTGAGGCCCTCTTAGCAGGGGAAATTTCATATACATGTACAGTCATTTCTCATTTTGAGGAGAATGCCTTGTTCTTGTTGGTATTGAATCTATCTTTATGTTTTATATCACCATTTCACCCAGTCTTTTGTTGCTGTTTCAAGGCCATGTTGCTTGTTGGAAAATTATTCAACCCAACAGGGCCTCATTGTTAAAACCTATTCGACCTGCAGTTCCCTCCCAGATGCCAAAAATGTATATTTTTAAGAAATGTTATTTTTGGGATCTTGTTAATGAATTTTTTTCACATTATTTTCCCTATAGGCTGAACTCTTAGATGCTGCTGCTGGAGTCCATATAAAGTTTAGGCTGGCAGGAGTGAGTACCCCCAGATACATAAATCAATGGATTGATTGATCAATCACTCAATCAATCGATAAATACATGAGTAAAAAAATAACAATTTAAAGGTAGCACATCCACTTAGTGGTTCTTAATCTACCTGATTCCTAGTCAAATTGGAAATTAGAAATGTTTGGTTTTTGAGGAGAAGGGAAAACCAGAGTAACTGGAAAAAAAACGTTTCCGACGAAAGGAGAGAACCAGAAACAAAACCCCTGGGTGTTCTAAAAAGGAAGTTTAAGACTCAGGGCTGTTACTAAGGGTCAGGACTGGGGATTCCCCCTCCCCTTCTCCCAGTTACTATGAGTGTGAACCCAGCTACTTTCATCCTGCTAGCTGTCATTTCCTTGCCTACTTATTGCATATATCCTGCAACTTGAAATATATTAAGTGGAAATCCCTTTTTGTTGGCTTTGACGCAGTCTGGGGGAGAAACATATGTGTGATGTTTACTGACCTAGTCATATGTATTAAATTCAGTGTATTACAGTCAAAGCTTGTTAATAGTGAACTTACGCAAAGGGATGGCAGAGGATAGAAGACGGCAACCCTTGTGTGACAAGCGTGACAATAATTCTGTTTGAAAATAATTTCCGCCAAACTTCACCTTCCTTTTAAAAGATCTTTTTGTTGAAGATCAAAACACAGTTATATTAATAACAACAAACACACAGGTAATAGGCCTGTCACATTTGTCACACACATTTGTCACATTCGTGTCCCCAATTAGCATCAGCTAAATACATCGACACATGAATAAAGTTCATCATCATCATCATCATAACATCATCATCATCACAAGCGTTTTGCCGTCTTCTTCTTTGTGCCTTCCTAATGAGTAAGCTCACTAATATGGCTATGAAGGGGGCCATAGAAAGTGTCCATATTAAAGAGGCATCCGTTTTAAGCGGCTGGAATTTCAAGAAATAAAGCAAACTGTCCGTAATAATGAGGTGTCCATATTAAGAGGGGTTTGACTGTAATGTTACAGTATCTTATTATTGACAGCTGTCAACTTCTATATTTTTGGACCTATTGCAGTGGCTTCAAGTACATGGTCTTTATTGAGTTGGGTTTTGGCAATTTTTTTTGAAATTTTTTTCCAGGAAAAGTTCCCTCCCAATATCTATTACAAGATTTTTACTCATCGCAACATTGTAGACTTGTGTGCTAATGCCCCAAGAGATTACACACAAGCAACAACAAAACGGCTTCCTGTGGAATTTATACACAACAAAGGAATTAATGCTGAAGAGGGTGGGTACATAAAGACATACGTAGACTGTGAGCAGTCTCTCTTTTTCTTCAGATTTAGTGAAGGGGAGTGCACGAGTGCACGAGTGTCGAGCCGAGAGACGTGATTTGCTTGACGGACCAAGAAAAAAGTAGACTACTCATAGTCTGAGACATACATATAGACGTCATTACATTAGGGATGGTAATGAGAACCTCAAAAATAAGAATTAATAACCAAAACAACAACTTTGCATGTGTATCACAATTTTTTGTACATTTTGTGTGGTTCATAGCATAGCGTCTGGCCCAGAGAGATCACTGCCTGCAGAGTACAAACCCAGCTACTGCAAGAACCTAATGGGGTCATGACTAGTTATATTTAGGAAGTTTTGGATTAGAAATTTAGGGAGTATTTTAACATTTGGGCTCAAAGAATGAGGTTACAAGGTGCTCGAAGAAAGGGCCTAGTTTAAGGCGATGCTCCTTTGAATTTTGCACTGCCCAAACCTAATTGATATATATTACATTTAGCACAGCCGTTTTCATGATTGAAGCGGCCATCACATTACACATAGTCTTCGATAGAACGGAAAATACATGTAGTAAGCGTGTGGTGCTATCCTATCAATAAACTTTAACAAGTACTAAAACTCTCCTTGTTTTGTAGTTAACAGAACCGGCTGGTATCAAAGATGGGAGAACAATGGCTGGAGACTGGTGTCTGACCGAATAATGAAACAAGTTGATCAGGATCCTGTGGTTTATGAGTCAGCTCTTAAAAAAGAACAGTTCAGTTATAATAAGGTACTGTGTGGGTTCTTTCTGTTTACACAAACCAACAGGAAAAAAAATGTTAGGCTATGTTTTTACCGATACGGCGGCCATATTGAATTTATTAGATTTAAGGAGTATTATGGGATGCCCATGGGCATTCGCTCAGTATTTACGCGCGCTTTTCGGTCAAAAAGAGAACTTCAATGTATATTTCTCGGGAAAAAGGCGATCATTATTACATCCAAATACGGCACAGCGATCTTTTTTCCCATTACAATCTTTTTCTAGAAAACTTAAAGAAAAAGTGGCACGAAAAGCGCGCGTAAATACTGATGCGAGTACATCGGATCGTGCTCATGCCCCACTGGGCATCCCATAACATTTCTTAAATCCAATTAATTCAATATGGCCGCCGTATCAGTAAAAAGGTCTATTCGGCGCGATTTCTGTAATGGTGCGGAGCTGCGCCGTGTTGATCTTTCTGCGTGGACGTTTTTGTTCAGTGTGAACAGATATTCGGACCGTAGCGGAAGTGAATAAGTAGGAGCAAGGACTGGAATTCACTGAGACGGAAGTAAATATTCAGGAGTGAGGACTGCTAGTTAACCAGACTCTCTTAGCCAACCGAGCCGGCACAGTGCTCTGATGTTCGGTTTGTGTGAACGACTTGTTACAGTTCTGTGCCGTTGCCGTACAGTGTAAACAAGCCTTAGGCGTAAACATTCATATTATATTTTGTTAAAGCTCCCCCCCCTGGAATCTGCAAACTATTTGATTTCTAAGATGAATTTATTTTGTGCAGGTTACTAGAAAACAGGACCTCGAGAGAAAACGGAAAAGGAAGAAAGTGGAGTGGATGAAGAAAATGTAATTATTGCATTCTGAGTATTTTTACCACCTAATTTCCGGTCAGACCTCGCTCGTGCTTTCCAGTAAAGCATATTCATGACCATTGACCGCGGCAGGGTTAGCTCAGTTGGTAGAGCGTGTAACTGAAGAGCGGGAGGTCGTGGGTTCGATTCCCGGGACCGGGACCAACACTCATAGTCTTAAAATGACTGAGAAATGAAGGTATTTCTTTGCTCTGGAAATGGCTGGACCTACGCGTGGCTCGGATGACCACGTAAAATGACGGTTCCGTCTTCAGTAGGAGACGTAAAAATAGTGTCCCCAATTAGTACTTTGGTGCATTTCCTCGGTGACTAAACGACGACTCCACGTTTTTACTTTTTTAAATTATTGGCTGATAGAAGAAACAAACGAGCAAAAAACTCATACAATGACAACAACAATCAAACAACAACGACAACAACAACAAGAAAAATGAACTATTGGGAAACCACTTTGGCATGATCTTGCTAGCAGTTTTTTTAAAGTAGTCCATGAAAAATTTTCAAGGATGTCTTTGTCTAAGGATAGATAGGAAGGAAGAAAAGCCAAAACTGTTTTATGTAGTCTCCTGTTTTCTTTGCTTGAGACGTCCTCATGCAAACCTTCACCGCGGTCAGATAAGAGAAATTTGCAAAAGCTCGGCAAAGTACTTCAAAGATTAGGTTGTTACTTTATCTGTTGAAAGTTGAATGTATTTCCAACAGGCTTTTAATTTACTAAACTTTTTGAAAGTTTACCTAAAACGTTCCAAGTGTATAAAAACCAAAAAAGTGTGTTACTGCTGGACTTTCCTTTGCGCGAAGCTCATTATTAGTTAAAAATTGCAAAGATTGTCAAATTAACTTATTCTTTGACCGCGGTGGAACGCACTGTCTTTTAAATATGTATAAATCACCAAACCAGAAGGTTCTCTCGACTTTTTCACACCCAGAAAGTGCATGTGTTAGCCCTTTTGGACCTTTATACCGACCGAAATGACAAATTTCCCTACCATTGAACATTGCCACGGGTAAGGAAATGGTCAGGGGAAAAAAATTTGTTCAAGGTCAGGGAATTGTCAGGGAATTTCAATTTTTTAGTGAGGGAATATTAAAGTCTTCGAACGCAGTCAGGGAAAAGCGAAATGTTAAGAGTGCATATTTAGTCTTTTTCCGCTACTTTTATTGTTTTCTACTGTTTTATTTTTTTTGGTACATTTAACTGACATGAATCTTGTTGTATTGGTAGAATATTGGTCATCAGAGAATTTGAATGACAAGCTCATTTTGGGTTTTCAAGAAAACCAATCCTTTTTGCATGTCCTATGTAAATATTAAGGAACTATCAATTCGTGTACACTGCACGTGACTTGCTGAAAGCATGAATAAACGGGTAAAGATGATGCTGTGGGCGGAGAGTTGAGTCCATTATCAGGGCTTATTTGTGAAATTGTTAATTCAGCTGGTCAGGGAGATTTTACATTTGCCAGGAAAAAGGCAGGGAATTTCAGAAACCTCTGGCTTTGGCAACCATGCCTACCCTTTATATACATCAACTGGTGAAATCTCTACCCTTTGTATACTTTAAGCCTCAAAAAGGTACCCCTTCCGGGCGGAGCCTCCCAGTATAGGCCATTAAAGGGAGTACCCCCCCGCCCCCCCCAGGGGGGGGGGGGGCTGAAACCCCACCAGTTACACAGACTAACCCACTCTACCTTGTGCACAGGTACAAGGAAGGCATGTTGAGGGCCAGGCAGGGAGATCCGAAAACTGAGCAAGTGGTACAGTCAGTAGCTGAAGGAATGCTTACTATCACAGACACACGGGGGCAGGATGCTGTGGAAGATTGGGAAGTGGATGAACTGCTGGAATGGACAAACGGATTGAACTTTGACCAGTATGTAAAAGCACTTTTGTTACCGCGATTTTTGGTTTGTCCGGTGGATATGGTAATTTTTCCAAAACTCCTTCCAACACCAATATCTGCTAATGTTTCTAGGAAATTTATCACCCGAATTAATTTAACTATGCAAGAGAGAGTCAAGTTGTGTTGCATGTAAGTCTGAGGTAGCAGATAGACGCTTGAAAGGAAAATGGGCTCAAGAAAAACCGGGCGCGCGCGTTTCCTCATTAGAAAAATCGTTACTGCTTCTGCTGTGGACTGTTCACAGTCCCCTGTTTCATCGTAACATCGTCAGGATCGAGCGCTAAAAGGTATGGGCGGCCATCTTGGTTTCATATGTACCTAGGGGGGCGGGCGTCGGGGTTTAAAGCGGTAGGGGGAGGGAGGTAGTTTTGACACTCATCCAAGATGGCTGCCCGTAACGCAAAGCGCTCGATCTGGACGATCTTGCAGAAAAATAGGAGACTGTGATCAGTCTAATTCTGCTGCCACCAAAATTGTCTTTAAAAAGCGTCAGTCCTCGCAGATATTGCTTGTCATTACCATATGAAAGGCCTTTAGGGAATTTTTTACAAAAGTGTGATTAATCTATTTCACCTTTTTTAGATATCTTTATGACTGGAAAGAAGTTGCTACAAGTGCAGGCTCAGAGTATTTATCAGGTCAGTTTCAGAAAGACATAAGCCTGGCAACAACTAAGTTAATAGACTATTTTCAATTGTCTGCCGTAAAGCAAAACCATTATATTTATACCAGTCAATGAGAAAAGGCACAACCTAGACAGTCCGTATTTTTTGCGTAGTCAAGAAAGCGCGAACGAAATGTCTGAGGCGAGGCTAAAAACGGAGAGTGGTCATGTGAGGCTCGTGCGCAGCCAGCGCTTCGCGCCTTTAAAACCGCTTTTGAAACAGAAAAACACCGACTGTTCTGCACTCTAGCCACAACGTGGCAATGTAACCAAGAGAGCGATTTTCCTACGACCTTGAAGTGTAAACACGCGAATAACGATTTGATTGGTTTATCGGACGGACACGAACGCGCGTGGCCTTTGGTTGGTTAAGCGAACGCTCGGGTGAAAAAACTTCATGCCCGAAGAACTTTCTAGAAATCAATCGATACTTCGCTTTGACGAGCAAGGGTGGCGCAGTGGTGAGAGCACTCGCCTCCCACCAATGTGGCCCGGGTTCAAATCCCGGCGTTGACACCATACGTGGGCTGAGCTTGTTTTTGGCTCTCTCCCTTGCTCCGAGAGGTTTTTTTCCGGAGATTCCGGTTTTCCCCTCTCCTCAAAAACCAACACTTCCAAATTCCAATTCGATCTGGAACGCACGGAGAAGTTTAAACGAGTTTATATGGGTAAAAAAGCAATTTACAATTATTTTTACGTCATACTGCAACACGATTTTTCAATCGAGCAATGTCTTCTCCATATTAGGGGTTTTTTTTGGCGGGAAAACGAAAAGTCCATGTTTCGATCTTTTCATCCATTGGCTGATAAAACAAATAGCGAACACTTACCAAAACCATTTTTCAAGGTCATACGAAAATCGCTCTAAGCTCTTGGAACAAGTACATGTGACCTGCGCGAAGGGCGGGAAAGTCGTGAAGTTTCTTTTGATGTTAATTATGATCGGCCGATTGAGTGTCGGCCGACCGCGAAACTTGCTAGTCAGGGGAATGAGATGTTTTTGAGTTCCCTGAACGGGCTCAAGCTCGTTAAAACATTATCTTTGAAATTTTGTAACGGTGGCCAATTCTCCTTGTGAACTTGTCAACAAAACCATTTCCTTGTCCACCGCGATTCTTCTCTTATCAAAAGCAATATGTATTTAATCTGGTTTTGTTGTTGTTGTTGTTGTTGGAGGATCTTCAGTAAATTATTATTTAATGATACTCTTTGTTTTTCCAGAGCAAACCAAGTTTCTGCCTGATGACCCCTTTTCGCTGACGTTGATGTCCAGATAGCAGCGGTTTTGGCTTTTTTTTTGTATCGTGTTAATTTGTATTTCAAGTGTGCGTGTGTGTATGTTTTTCTTAAATATTATTATTATTATATAAAACCGTTTTTCAGATTCCACTGTAAATAAATATCATACAAAGATAGACTAATAAATTGTTTGGATGGCTTTTATCTCTATATTTCGTAACGCGAAACAGCAGCTACTTGCAAATGAGTGCAGAGTCCTAGCCAGGGGAAAATTCTTACCGATGCACTGTAAGAATTAAAGACATATTAACCATGTATTTTGTAGTAAGGACTAACACCATTGACACCATTGTATTATACTTCAATTTGTTTTACGTGGCAAGTGCCTCGTTTTGGAAAAAGTATTACTTAAAGTAAGTAATCTTTATTTATGCACGGTTGTACAGATTCATCAGGCGTGAAATATGAAAAATTTAAAAAACCTTCATTACATTTACTGGGTTTCGCTAAAGAGAGTATTAGAATTGTTCAATTAAGCATATACGAAAAAAAAGCCTGTTTTCTATGAATGCCGCGCCTTACTTTCGTCGCCCTAAGCAAAACTTTTCGGGTTTAAATAGGATCCCAGATCCCGGGTTCGACCCTGAGGTGCGATTTCCCCTCTTTCTAATAGAAACACCCTCAATAACATATATATAATGGCAGTGACCGTTTACGTAAGGGACAATTACAGCGGCGAGATATATCTGGTCCTTCCAACGTCCTTTATTCGCCCTTGTGGTCTTTGAGACCAGTACGTGGCGTGTCTTAATCCGAGAACTCGAGTGCTTTCTTAAATTCGATGTAATGTGAATTTAATGAATGAATTCAATTTCTTTTCAACTTGAAAACTAGGCACGTATCAACGCATTATTTTACTGCACCATTTATGGCTACTAGGTGGTAAACGTTTTGAGATTTTATCTTAATTCAAACAAATGACATTTAAAATTCTACACACGTTATTTTTTAATTTGTTGTGAAATAACCATCTTGTTTCTTCGATCGAAATATTGTAACGAACCGAACTTGCAATTCAAGATGACAAAAGTATGTAGAGTTTTTTTTTTAAGTCTAAAAATTGTGTTGTGTTATTTTTTGTAATCATTGAACTTGTCATCTAATGTCCGCTAAGAAGATTGAAAATTTGGAAGGCAGACCGTGAAGCAAGATGTTTTTTGAAATATGAAACGAACGCAGCAAAAATGTTTAGACCCTTCTTGAATTAATTGCTATTGCTGTTGCAAATCCCTTTAATGGTCAAGCGGTAATTTTTAAGCAGAACATGTTTAAAAATTGGAGGCCTTGAAAACATCTATGAATGCAGAGAGCGTATCGTGTGCCACAATCAGTATGTGTGTCACGACCTCGCCCACATTACTGGGATTCTAGGCATGAGATATCTAGGCTCGCTCAACTGTAATACATTGGTACTCTTAAGTTGGACGTGCTTTCGTGCACAACACTGAGCTAACAAGAACCATCAGCTGCGTTTTTTGTTTCGTTGGCTAAAGAGGACTCAGCATGAATAAAGCCAGGGGATATGGACTCTCTGCCGAATTAGAACGTAAGGTAAGGAAGGATCAAAACACCTGCAAAAATTTCACTGAATTAAAGTTGTGGATGTATAAGGAAAGGAATGCCTCACTTCAAGCACGTATGGCTGATCAATCGTGTCCCCATTGTCGATCGTGTCCCCAACTTTTTCGACTTATTTTTTGCGGGGAAGTAATTCATATCAGGGGAATGTCTGCGTCAGTATTCCTCTTTTTCTTTTCACAAAATGTACTTTCAAGGGCAGAAATCATGTTTGACTTAAAAGTTTGATTTTGTTACTGTCCCAGTTTTCCATTGAGCGATGAGGAAATGAAATATCTGGAGCTGTTTTTTCATGAACGCGCACTAGCATCTTTATGTTTTTCGTTGCAAACTATCGTCATTGTTCACTTTTGTGTTACTAAAATGTTTGTTTGTGTTTTGGGCTTCAAGGATTTTTCGTGTTCAAAACAGATTCTATCACGGTGTGCTGTTGTTATAAAACAATCTCCTCGGTCAGTATGGAAAAGAAAAACTATTAAACTGATGCAAACCTTCTAATTTGTTTACGTTAAGACTCATACTTATTTTTAATCCATCGAAAACGTTATGAAAGTCAAACGTGTTATTTTAATTTGCTTGGACTCCACCTTGAATACTCGATTTCATGAAAAAAAAAAATAGAGTCTCGCTCTTTTTAATGCAATCAACACGTTATCGGGTCACAGAAAAGATATTTCATGTTTTGCCGTTTGTGTGGTCAAAGTTGCATTACCATTGCACATAAATCTGGCTGTTCTATAACAATCCAAATGGTCGTTTTGGAAGCTCCTTGGAACCCCACCCATATGTGTGACGATCTTGTGAAGATGTGTGACAGATAAAAGACTGGTCTCAAGTCTATCCCAGTTTCCCACGTTATTTCAAAATGGTGCTGCAGAAGAGACTTCCGCTACATGTACTGCTGCTTTTGTTGCCGTAAAGTATGTTCATAAATAACGTAACTGTTTGGATATAAACTTAACCAAAAAGAAAAAAAAAGATTATGCAAGTCTTAAGGTTAGTGTAGTGTGACAGCCTTACCGCTACTAACTTCAAAAAGAAACTAAAACTTCACTTTTTGAACTAGCGCAGGATTCTTATAGCTTATTGTTAGTTTATTTGTCACTAGTTATGGACTGTTATAGGACTGAATGCATGAAAACTTATTTAATCTCAGTTTTGTATCTTGTTTTACTTTTTTAGTTTAGCCTACAGTCCAATAAAATAATAATAAATAATTTCTGTCATTCTGACCACAGGCCGTATAAGCCACCGGCTTTGGCTTTACTGAGTTTGTACTATATGAGCGATGGAATAATAAAGTTAAGTTAAGTTAAGTTAATTTTATAAGATGTGAAAATCTGGTTTTTAATGCTAGTGCTTTGTACACTGCGGTTTTATACGTTCAGGGCTTATATAGTAACAAATCGATGGAGATGAATTACCGAAAACCCAATCGATTTATCGATACGCGATGGTGTGTTCGTCGATTTTTTTATGTTTTTTGATTGACTAGTTATGATATTTTGACAGGGCTGTCAACCATCTTCAAATATTAGGCTGATTTAGCAACAGAACGGGAACGTCATTTGACGACGGGAAAGCACGCGGAAGGGACTAAATTCGACTTCCGCTGTGCAATTTGCAGCTCTGCCATTGGTCAAGCCAGTTGTTTGATTTGCCCGCGCAGTCATCAACTGATGTTCCTGTTCTGTTGCTAAATCAGCCTATTGAGAAATGATAGGGAAGGGATGATAGATGACGTCATAATGCTCGGCACGTGACGTCATTTGTGAAAAAAGAGCGTGCAAAAAAGATGATGTTGGAATTGTAACATTTGACCTAATTGGTTTCCTTCCCACTAATCACGTTATTACAATGGCATACTGGAGTTTGTGAGGAAACGGTTTGATGTTAACAGCACGATAGCTCAAACGACACAAAATATTTTAAATTCCATGGTCAGAAAGTCAAATCTACAAGAAATGGCGATTATCCAGGAGATTTCAGACTCTAATCTGGAGACTGGGAGAAACAGTTCAAAATCTGGAGTCTCCTGGATTATCTGGGAGAGTTTGACAGCCCTGTTTTGATAAAATAAGTTACATCAGCGTTATCTTTCACATTTTATAAGAGAAAAAATCAAGGTCAAATTAATAATTATATGAAACCATGTATTACGCAGTACACTGGCTGGTTGTGCCTGGCTGGTTGCTAAAGTTAAATCTATGTAGAAAGAGCATTTATTTAATATGATATGCCTAATTCTGCCATAACAAGAATAAATGAATAATGGTAGCTTTGTTATTTTACAGAAAGAAGCAAAATACAATTCAGATGAAGAAGCTGATGCAATTGCTTGGGTTGAAGCTGTTCTTGGAAGAGATGTCTTTGGGGGGAAAAGTGGGCCAGATAATGTGTATGCTTGCTTGGCTGATGGCAGAGTCCTTTGCGAGTAAGACTTATTAGCAAGCTTATAAAGCAATGATGATGGCAACAACAACAGCAGAAAGGCATTAGGTTAAGATTGGGGAAACAACAACTTTGCATGTGCATCGTGCTTTTTTGTACCTTTTTTTGCCGTCAATGCTCGACTACAATTTGAAGCTTCCTATTTTCACATTTTGTAGAGGACATGAACAGAAGACAATGATTTTCTTTTTTGTGTTGTGAAATTAGATACAGTCCTCTAGAATTCAACTCCTGAAAAAATCCCAACATTTGACAATGGAATAACAGTAATGAAGTTTGAAACAGCACAAATTCACTTTTTGGGTGACATTTTCGCTGCCGTTGCCATTCTGTTGCCTTAATATTATACATTTCAGGTAATTCTAGATCTGAGGATATTAGGCTGGCCTGTGATAGACTCCCTAGGGGCTGGTTGTTTATTAAGCAAACTTAAGCAAAGACGTTTTTGAGTAACTCCCATCTACCAGACATTTTGCATCCTTGGGAAATGTTTTGGCCCAAATATTTGCGTATATTGTCTCTATAACAGTAATGAAAAAATAGCTGGACACATTTGTTAGCGTCAAGACATATTAAAAGGGAAGGAAACGGCCTCATTTTCTGTGACGGTTTCGTGATGGCTCAGAACTGGGGACACCCATTTTGCTGGGGGTTCATTTTCAAAATCTTGATTGGTTTTGGGGGGTCATTTTTAGATAAGAGAGCATGACCTGGGGGGTCATTTAAATTTCATGAAATTAGTACAAAGCGGTATTAATGATTATGAAGACTGGAGACTGAAGATAAATTACAAGGTGACAAAGCATGAAAAATGGTGAGTGAAATGAGCTTGATCTCAAGGTAGTAGCATGAAGGTGGGAGAGCCAATGGACAAATGGAAATTCCACCTTGTTTAAGAAGATGTAAACTTTTCAGGTTTTTTTTTTTGTTTTTTGATTTTCATGACCTGACCCGAGTTTCATGTTCATCAAATAAAATACTGTGCTCAAGGAAGTTATGTGCTGTGAATACCAGTCTGTACGTCTAGGAAGCAGCGCCAATAGGCCCCCAATAGACTCAATGAATTACTGGAAATGCGTTTTGATTGACCCTTCGACCTGATCGGCAATCATGGTGCGTACCCAAATCCCAGTAAACACAGGTGAAGGGCCCAGAACAAGGATTTTAGAGCTGTTTCTCAGACTACCTTATTCATTAGTTTAGTTCCGTTGATCTGTGGAGCAGGCTACGAACACTAGCAGGTTCCAGATCAAGTCTGCATTTCAAAAAAGTTACCTTATAGCTACCTTTTGCTTCAGTTCGCAAAGAAAGTCGTGTCCAATCGCCCGGGGCTTTTGGATTTTGCTGTCGGGCTGGTGGTTTTTGTTTTTAACTTGACCGATGGGCAGCTGCTGTTTTTTGGGAAATTCAAATTACAAAAGGATTGTAATCAATCCTGCTAATCAAAAAGGGTTTAATGACTTGTGGGCTTAGTACATGCTACCTACAGCTTGCCCAAATGGCAGGCTGTAAAACTGACTTCCTTTGCACCCTGTGCTTGGATGTTGAATGTTAGCTTTAAAAAATTATAATGACCTTAAGAATACCATTTTAGCATACTGGTTTTGCTAGGTGAACATGCTTGCCCCATAGTTGTATAAAAGGCATTCCTGATTTCCCAGATATGATAATGGCTTTACCATTCTACCCAGTAGCCTACCCGTTTTTTCAGGGTAAGAGGCAATCTACCTGTAATTACCGCTATGCATACAGGTTACTAATTTACCCATAACCATACATGGAAATGGTGAATCTCTATAGGTCTCTATTATTAATTTGTATCGTCGTTTCTGATGAGTTTCCAACTTTATGTTACAAAATTACAGACTGGCCAACGCACTACGTACAGCTGATCCTAACCACAGCTGTGGTGGTGAAGTCAAAGCAAATACAATGAATCAACCATTCAAAAAGGTACTGTCTATTATAGCTATCAGTAATTGCAGATTTTTGAGTGAGTTTCTTGTTAGGGTTTCTCTTGGTCAGATGTGTTGTTACCTCCAAAACAAAAACTTGCATTCAATGATAGCGCCAACTTTAAAAGATACGTACTCCCTAGAAAAAAAGGGTCTCAATGCAATCTTGGCTGAATTGTTATTGTTAATATGTGTCTCACAGAACCTCTTAAAGCGTGGAGGAGATCAAGAGAGGCAACGGGTTGTAAATAAAGGAAAAAGGCAGTTCAAAAGGAAAAGCCAAACAAGAGAAAAAAGTCAAACTAGAGATTTATTTTGGCTGTGGTGACAATGATGTCAGTAACTCACATTCCACCAAATTACACCTTGCTATGCTTTGACTGAACCGATAACGGGATTGTGTGTTGTGTAGTGTTAAGAAAACTTCACATTGCCCTTTTCTTTTGTTGGAACCTTCCAACTCCACGTGACAAACAATGTATACATACGCACAGATGATTTGTGGGTCATATTGTCTTTGTATAATATTTTAAAAGTAATTTAAGATGGCACTGAATATACACAAATGGTTTAATGAAGGAGATCCACTTATGTGTAGTAGCACAGGACACCCAAGATTATGAACTGCATCTTAAAAATGTCAAATTGCGGGTAGGGTACTCCTGTTAAATTACTTTTGGGGTGTAATGCTGAGTCTGAGTCTCTTAAACTGTTCCAAACAAAAAGAGATGAATTTAAAACCCTGTTTTAGACAATACTATTGCCAAAAAGAAGAATCCTGTACTTTTCGCTGGCTCAGTAAAATAAGGGGAGTCACTGCAGTTTTGGACGTAAACTTAAACAAGAACAATCAAAACACTTTTCCAGAGTCAAACTGATGTATAACACACCCCTCTTCCAGAAATAAAGGGTGATTTTCATACCTTGTTTTCCAAAGTCAGGAGGAGAAATTGCATACCTGTTAAGCAGTATGTGTACACCCATATATGGGAGTATCACCCTTCCACACCCATCCCCCCTCCGCATCAATTGCAAAGGATTTTTTGGGTCGCTGACACTGGGAAAGAAATGAAAAGGGAATTTCTTTCAATGTTGAAGTGGTTGGGAAGTAAGAAGCAATGAAATTATTTTTAGGTGGTTTTGAGATGAACAAAACTGGTTAAATATGAATCCTGCTACCATGGTAGTCTATTTTTTAGCCATGAAAACCTGATCATGGTGTTAACAAACTGATGTCATCATAAATTTACTTAACCTTAAAAGCTGAGCCCCCCCTAAATTGACAATAAGACAATATCCTAGCATGAAGCAAACTCTAAAAGATTTCAAGCAAAAACAAGATGCTTTTGGAGCGTAAACTTGAGTGTCATTGTACCGTGCGTGTGTGAGGACTTTTTGTGTTGGGCACATGTGAGTGCTCCAAAAGTGGGTGAAACAGGAGATGTGGAGTCATAGTAGACCTTTCTTAGCATATAAATAGCTTGAATTTGTCCTTGGAGTTCTAATGTAAACTGGCTAACCATTAATAGCAAATGTGTATGACTACCAAAAAATGTTATTGACTGAGAGCAACCACTCTGTTTGGGACTGGCTAGCCAATGCGTGATTGAGTGGCAAAGCCATGAGGAGCAGAAGAAACGAAGAGCTCTCACATTCTTTCCTGCACCTTGATGCCCCCTTCCCCTCAGAAAAAATCAGGGAGGGAGTTCATTGTTGCAAGCTACAAGCTCTGGTTTCGACCACTTTTTCGAATTCCTGAAGTGTTTGCTTACGAGAGCTTATTTGACTGTTATTTTTTGTTTGCTTCAGATGGAGAACATTGGTAAATACTTGAAATTCTGTGAAGAACAACTTGGGGTACCAAAAGGAGATCAATTTCAAACAGTGGACTTGTATGAAAAACAAAACATGGCTAATGTGAGTATTAAAAATAATATATTAAAAACCAAGTTGCAATTAAAAAATGTTATAAATAATCCATTTTATTCTGTTCAAGATTGTAGTTTTTCTACTGTCATTGTTCAAGGGTCTTTTGTACTGGTGACCAAAAATCTATTTTTTCTATAGTTAAGGCGAGCTCATTAAAAAAATTCACATGGGTCAAAGCTAAATAAATGCAAATGAGTGAGAACAGTGGATTGTCCTTGTTAGCATTTAAAACTTTACATGTTTTAAGTTTGGCATTACATGACAAATGCAGTTACATCTGCGCAGACCTCACTTTTCCAGTATGTAGCAAACAAGGAAATAGGAGACATCTGCACGCAGACTACTTGACTGACTAACTTTACCCTTCAACTGTTATATTTCAGGTGATTTGTCAGATTCATGCTGTTGGACGTAGGGTGAGCATTATATTTTTTACTTTACCTTTTTCTTATAAAGAACTTGCATTAAGTTGCTTATCCAGCCTTTATACTCAAAGTTCCCACAGACAGTGAAAGTTTTGAAAATTGAGTGAAATGCATAATTTAAGGCCACAAACAGTGAACACATGTATGGTTACCTAGCACTTAGCTTGAATTGTATTTTGATCTCAGGGATTAAAAAGAGGTTCGAAGATTTTAGTCTTCACAAGGGAAATTTAAATTTGACTGTGCTGGTGACCTCAGTAAACTATTTAGTTCCTGGAAAAAATTAAGGAAAGATTTTGGGAGGGTAGTCAGTATGGGGGTGAACTAGGTCTGGTATAGGCTAAGGATTCCAGTGTCCTTGTGGCAATTTAATTTAACCCCCCTCCCCCCTCCCCAAGCCTCAAGAAATCAAACTTTGGTACACTACACATACCTGAACACACGACACGCTGGGCATGATATAGAGATGTGTCAACCTGCCCTGGATTTCTTTTCTCATTCTTACATACATGCACTTGCAAGCACACAGGAAAGTTTTGTAATTTGTAACAGCGTTCATACTCACGATCATTCAATCATGTGTACTCATGGGCAGGCTGCCGCAAAAGGTTTGTCAGTTCCTCCACTGGGACCAAAAGAAGCAACAGCAAATAAACGGGAATTCACAGAGGAGCAACTCAAGGAGGGGCAACATGTTATAGGCCTTCAAATGGGAACCAACAAGTTAGCTTCGCAAGCTGGTGATCACTTTGGCCGCCCAAGGCAGGTGGCTGGAGTAGATGCATACAAATAAACATCTGCGAAGGTCATCGCCAATTGACAGCACATGACGATCATAAACATACTTATTATTTTTGGTTGGAATGATATTTTTTAACCACTTTTTGATCACTGACAGAGAGTAGTTCCATTAGGTTGACCATAAATTTTCACCCTGATTTTCACTCTATCAACACTGATTAACACTGATTTGTGCATTTCTTGTTTTAATGATCTTAGTAGGTGATTTAGAAATGCATGTTTTTAGTTAAGTATAAGTGAAAATAAATTCAAACGAATATTAAGCATAAACGTTAGAAAGTTGAGCTAATTAGGATGGGCATTTGAAGTTAAAATAATCCCTGATTATAATTTTGAAAGGTTTCTTGATAAGGTCCCAGAACAAACTTTTTTCAAAGACTCAGTGAGAGTTTTTGCTAATGTTATTAGCAGATCGGTTTGTGCCTGTACTGTTCAATGTTAAAAGAAATCTTAATGAAACTGAATACTTAAAACATAGTACAACCTTCGAAAATGTCAGTAATAAGAGTTTCATTACAATGATACTTCATTTGATCGGTTATATGTTAATGTTGACTATTGACATTGTTATGCATGAGTTAAAATAGATAAATTTAATAACGTATTTGTTAGTAATGCTTTTGAATTGTCATTCAGTCGGTTTTGCTGGTTTTTGCGGGAAGGCATTTAGTTAGCTATGTTGTTAACACAGTATTTGAATACTAATGCATGCCACTTTTTTATTAACTTATTAAAGCATTGTTACTAGTAATCTTTATACTTACAGTTAATCAAGTGCAATAAAGTGGGACATAAATATACTAGTGTATTTGTATGATCATTCTTTTTAAAATAAGAAAAAAATGAAAAGCAATGAAAAGACTGGAGGGTTTTGTTTGAGCTTGAGTTGTGAAAAGTGCATGCTTGTGTTTGATTTGTTAAAGATACATAAAGCCGCTCCAAGTTTTACATACTCATGACCTAAAAAGTGATAAATATACAAATTTTTATCGTACACCAAGCTTAAGTTTTTCATCTGCTTATCCTGACCGTTGCGGTATGCCCATCCTCATTATGTCACGACATGATCAACACTGATGACTCGGTCATTTTAAGGTAAGTCATTCTTTTCATTTCATTTCATTTCACTTACTGGCAGGTATTTCTGCCTATAACAACATACCCAACTAGAAACAGCATTTAGATTTTGTCACACTCTTGTTTAAGGATTTCATTGCACACCAAATTATGACATAATAAAATGACATATATTACACATTCAATTTCTGATGTTTTGAAACTATTCAGTTTGACTTTATATCACATATGTTAACAACTTGGCTTCTGTGATATGGTGGAACCATCAGTAGCTATACACTTAAGTAATGCAAGCCTTTTAAGAGGCTTGCATCAACTATGAAGTCTTAATTTAGACAAGCCAAAAGTGTATAGAGCAGAAGTTCCAATGATACCACAAACTGCCACTTATACTGCACTCTTGGCTTATACATCTTTGTAAGAGGTTTTTGGAGGGCTTATAAATAGAGGCTCATATCTGAGGGGGGCTATAAGAGAAATAGAAAGAGCTCTTTCAAACAGGCTACAGTAGGGCTGATCAAAGTACCTTTTGCATTTAGTTGTTTTTAATTAAGCCTCAAAACGTCAAAATAAATAGAATTTATATCAATACATTTGGAGGGGGCTTACAGTTATATTAATTTTTTGTTTATAGGTAGATTTAGCCTCCCACGCAGACATTTTTAGGGGAGGTTGTATTTTGTTCCTCACTACAGAGGGAGCAATGAAATATGAGCTCCCCTAAAAAGGAATGCATGGGAGGCTAAGGTAGATGGTTCAATAACCAGGGGTGCTTATGAGTGGGGGAGCTTATTAGCGGCAGTTTATGGTAATTACATAGCTTAGATTTTGATTTAATTGATTATAACTCCTTTTTTTTTCAGGCTGGTGCCAAAGGCTTGCAGGTCCCTTGTCTTGGACCCAAAGAAGCTGACGCTAATAAGCGTGAATTTACTGACGAACAACTCAAGGAGGGTCAAAACATTATAGGCCTGCAGATGGGAAGCAATAAAGGAGCATCGCAGGCTGGAGATCATTTTGGTCGTCTCAGGCAAATCGCTGGTGATAAAGCTTACAGCTAAGAGAAACATTCGTAGGATGATGATTATGGAAACAATCTTTGACTTTCATGAGCATTCAAAAATCATGGACATGATTGCTTTTTTCTGACTGACTGTGAGTTATGCATGATCTGATTAATTTGATCATAAAGGTCCAGAATAGGATTCATGAAGCTAGGACATAGTTAATTGTTCAAGGTAATATTAAACCTGGAAATTAAACAAAGCAACAGTTTAATTTTTTGTAAAGTAGTTGTACAATGTGACTTGTGCAGTGCGTGAATTAAATAATTTTGCATCCAAAATTGACTCTTATCTGTTATTACCGTTGGTGCAAATGTAGGAAACAAACATTTTTCTTAGGTAACAAGCAGCGAACGCAAGGGACATCAGGAACTGTTTAAGTCCTCCGGGGTGGCGGTGTGCAGTAGGATTGGTAAAATCATTTTCTTCTTATTGACCTACATAACAAAAAAATTAATTATACAGGGTAAAAAAGAAAGGAAATAAGACAAAACATTACAAAACAAACAACAACAACAAAAACTCGCACCCCCACCCACCTCGAGGAAGTAATATACGAACAGTCCCTTCCCCCTTATTTGCTGCTTTATCCGTTTTGTATGAGGAGCGTTGCGTGACGACACAGAGAAAAGAACAACCGTATTTCTCTAGATGAAAATCTACAGAACTTTTTACTTAGTACAAATAGTAGTTCATCATATCGGGCTTAAACCAGTTCGAAAATGTGATCAGAAAATTAAAACAGGCCAACGACACCCCACAGATACATGTTTTCCGATACAAAGTGCTTTGCAACAATAGTTATTTATTAGTTTGTGATTACGTGATAATGAATAAATTCTCCCACGTATACTCAACCGTTGTGAAAGCTTGCGTCGATTACAAATACGGCAAGACTTATGTCAGAAAAGGAAGGCGATATTTCAAATTCTTTCACAAAAATGTTCACGGAAATACGTGAATGAAAAAAAAACTTAAATCTGGGTAGAAACTGAGGCGTGACTGATGACGTAACGAATGTCACTAGGGAATCATTTTTCATTCCTGGCAAAGCTTTATAAAACCCCGTACATGCAGTAGATTTACTGGTTGTGTTTGTCTAATCACAAGTTAACGTCCTCCTTCAAGTAGTATCAGTTATTCGCGAAAAAAGCTACAAAATGGCTTCCCGACCCAAAGGTTTTGGACTTACCGCTGAGCTGCAAAGAAAGGTACGATGACAGGCAAATTGTTGATTTTCGTACTTGATTGTTGTGTCTCCGCGAGCGAAATTCCATTTGCGTGCGATTGATTTTGTGCAAATGATAACTTTGTATCGGGCAAAACGGACAAGTTATTACCTTGAAAATTTTTTACACGGACTTTGCATTTTCACGTTTTGTTAATGATTCTCTGGACCGCGTAGATCATCTTGCCCGTCTCAAAATTATAAGTCTTCTGGGCTAGTGGTTTTGTTTATGGAGGGCGCGGTTGATTACGATTACATTTGCAATTATGCCGTCTTGTGCAAGTGATCTATATTGCCATTAACGTTGGTTAATATTAGCCTTGATTACAGTGAGTTTTTTACAAGTCTTCTATGAAGACAATGATGAATAACGAGGAGAATGTTAGAGAGAAAGTTATCTAAGAGTCTACATATGGGATGTGAATGTTTAGTCAAATTAAACAAGCTCGGCCGAACTTGTGATCCAAGCATGATTAAATACGGCGCTTTGTTTGCAGTTGACTTTTTGTAAGTGTTAAATATTTCCGTCTAATACTTGTAGCTCTTGGAAAATGTCATGTCTTAATCTGGTTTGCATTTATTTTTATATTTTGAGACCATTGTTGATTTTTTATCAGAAAATGATGCATCCCTGCAAGGTATCTTTATTTATTTTTCATTTTCATGATCAAAGTTGTGTTTATATGCCGCTTCTGGGTAATTGGTAGTAAAGAAACGGACCAATTACTCTTGGAGAGTTGTTTTCAAACTGTCATTTATCGTACAAGGGGCCTCTTTCGCCAAAATTGAGGCTGCCGATACTATCGATAAAGACATGACCCAGACGTTTTTCTTGGCAAATTGCATGCGTCTCTTGAATTCCATCATTTCGATTATTTCACATCACACGTCACGCAATGTTTTTACTTGCCCCTTCGGTTTTATAAATATCGTGTCTAAAATTCTTCTAGAAATTTGTAGTATTTATAATGTTCCTCTAATTTCTCTTTCATAAAAAAAAGAAGTAAATTCAACGAAGTAGTGAATTATGTGCTTAGGGGAATTTGAATGTTTCTCGAATATCAGTTTTCCGGTTTTACCCCATGCTATAAATACCAATCCGCATAGAATTTTCTAGACCACAATTTTTGGTTTCTGTGATGTTCACTCCCATATGCTTTTCCTTAGATGGCAGTGTTTTCCGATATAGAAAATCCGGAGTTATAAAATATGCATGGTACTTGTGGATGGTTAAGATGTTTTACAAAGTTAGATTTTTTCATGCTTGAAATTTGTAAAATATTTTATCTTTAAAATTCTTATGAACAGAAATTAAAAGAAAATGTGAAACTTTTGTGTCTTGATAAATCCCTAATAAAATCGAAATAATCCAATTATTGTGAAAATTGTGAGATGAAAGGCAAGGTAATAATTCAGGGTTGTCACTAAGATTTCAAGTTACTGGGTAAATACAACAAGTAGGTGGGGAGTCAAACAGCTAGGGATTTCTTTTGGTTCTATTTTTATTCTATTTTCCAATAAAAGTAGCCGGGGGCCACTCTCTTAGTAGCCGGGGAAAATCCCCGGCCCCCGGCTCTTAATGACAACCCTGATAATTTTTGTATCTTGACAATGTGATAAATTATTAGATAAATAAGTACCAGTGGTAAAGGAGTTATGTCACTAATTTTTTTCAATACTCAAACACTGTGATCTTCCACCAAACTGGGTGAAACAAAAATAACTGCTCTAAACATTCAAAGAAAGTATGAATAACCCAGCTAATACAAAAGGAGGCATGAAAGAAGATTGAAATGGATTGCAATTGTGGTTTTTGTGAGGTTCTTTTCTTTTTAATGTTCGATTCCTTACGAAGTGCTCTTGCTAAAGTGTGTTATGATTTTATCAGAATTTGCAATATGTATGACTCATCATGATCGCAAGCCATTAGGGTGATAGTCTCTTTGCTTTATGTCTATCAAGATAATTTGGTGGTTGGTCAGTCCGCCTTGATGTCATCCAGACTGATGTCACAGTGTCCGAAATTAACTTTTTAATGCGGGGGCCAACTGGCGATCAAGTATAAATTTTTGGTCGCCAGAGGGCAAATTGTGGTCGCCAAAAATTTTCCCTCCCTTTTTTTCAAATAAAAGTCTAAACACGAACAAAAAATGCATGATATGGACGTTTTTATGCTCAAAAGTTGCACCACTTTTGCTCCCGATACCAGAAAGCAACCGTATGTGTACCAGTGAAGTCTTATTTTTTCCACAAATTACTTCTTGGAGATATAAAGCTATCTAACCTAGAACATAGGAACAGAAAGCTGTCTGCCCACGACTGCACTGATCATATCAAAACTCTATTTTCTTCCGATAACTACCACGAAACACGAAACATAAAACACGAGTCAAGCCGCCATGTTGCTCGTACCAGGCCACAACTGTGCCACATTACTCGTACCAGCTTACAAAGTACATAACGTGCTTACCGTATTTCAGCTGAAAACAACATGGCGGCTTGGAAACGTTCAACTCGTATTGATCGTAGCTGTTGTGAAGGTATTATTACAAGAAGATTCGTTTCACTTTTAATCAAAAAATATCAGCAGGTCAAAAAGGAAGAGACCTGTTGGCAAATAGCTTCGAGGTTTCAATTCTTAATCAGATTCTCCGAAAGTTAAAGTCCACAATAACAACCAGCTTTACAAGTCGCTAGCTGACGACCAGCTATGAAATTCTGTTCGCCAGGGCTAAATTTTTAGTCGCATTGGCGACCAGGAAGGCGCAATTTCGGACCCTGTGTCAAGGTGCATTGTGGGTTTCCAGGCAACCAATTTTGCGGCCTCACAAGTGAATGCGATAAGGCTTGCCTTTTATCTATTGTTTTTTTTTAGCAGCTGTCTTAGGAGTCGATTGATAAGTGTTTTTTACCATGAATTTCGAAGACAAAAGTACTTTTAAGCGAAAATGGAAGCAATTTGGATCATTAGCCTTGAGATGTGAGCAAAAATCAAAGTAGCAAAACACATGTTTTGCATCCCACTTCGCAGACAAGTTTATGTTGTATCGGCTTAGTTGGGCATCTGTTCTGTAAATGTGATGAAATGCGTTTAAGTTGGGTTTTTTACTGTCAGTGTGTCACTACCCAGATGTGTGTAGTGCTTCTGCATGATTGGTTGAAACAAATTTCCCTGCAGCACAACCAATCCGAGGTACCCAGATCTGGGCTGTGACGTATGTCATCAGCATCGAATTTCTCTGCTTTAAAAAGTTCCTCAGACATCATTTTGCTGGGATGCTACATAGTCATGGCATCATGAAATGCCATCTGTTTTCTTACGCCACTGGTATCCAGATACAAGTACTTCAATAATATTATTAGTCAGGCCCAGGGCTGTCAACTCTCCCAGATAATCCGGAAGACTCCAGATTTTGGACCGGTTCTGCTGGTCTCCAGATTAGAGTCTGAAATCTCCTGGATAATCGCCAAAGTTTGCCATTTCTTGTAGAATCGACTTTCTGACAATATAACTTCAAATACATTGTTTGTTTGAGCTATTTTACAGTTAACATCGAACGTTTCCTCACAAGCTTCCGTGTGCCATTGTTATGTAATATATATAAGCAATGTTATTGCTGCAAAGTAAGCCAATTAGGTCAAATGTTGCAATTCCAACAACATCTTTTTCGTTCGTTTTTTTCACAAATGAGGTCATGTGCCGTGTGCATTATGATGTCATTTATCATCCCTCCCCCATCAATTCTCAATATTTGACGACGTGGGGGGTTGACAGCCCTGCAGGCCTCGGTTGTTTGAAAGGTGGATAGTGCTATCCACTGGATAAATATCTACCCAATGGATTATAATACAATTGCTTTTGGTAATACCTATCCTCTCTGGATAGCGATTAGGATAGCACTATCCAACTTTTGAACAACCGGGGCCAGGAGTCCGAACAAAATTACCACTAGGTGGTGGCAGATCATTACAGATGTACTTTTCTGGGAAACTGTCCACCTACCCCTCCCCTAAGTCAACATTTTACTTTAAGTGAATAGTAAGTGTTAATGTTGGCTTAGGGGAGGGGTAGGTGGGCATTTTCCCAGAAACATAATCTGATCCGTGGTGATTCACTTTCCCACCACCATCTGGGTATCGAGCAAACACCTCAATCTTGTGTTTGATGTACATTTGAAGCTGGAGTCTGTGGAGTCAGAAAACATGTCCACAACCACACCTCATGGCTGCTTTTCCTGCGCTTTTCAAAAACGCATGAACTCTGAAGTTCAAAAGCTGCCTTTAATTCACAGTTGCGTTTTCCGCTGCTGTCAGTCATAATTACAATTCCAAGCAACAAACCTTGAAACAAAGTAACTGACACAAAACGGATCAAAATCCACCAAGCACAAATCATAAACTGTGACCTTTTGAACCTCTTGAAGTAAACTTCTCTTTCCTAAGAGTTTTGCTAAGATGGTTGATCAAAACAAAGAACGCAAACATCAGTTGGCTTTTGAACTTCAGAATGTGTGTATTTTTGAAAAGCTCAGCAAAATTATTTTGTTATAATTAAGGGAGAGTTAGGATTTTGTATTGTAGGCTGTTAACCCATTCGCTCCTGGAGATTTTGCCGAAAAACGCGTTTTGAAGCTAGTCGAGTGGTTTTCTGGTCACTGTCGTGCTATGAAGAGCTAAAACTTACCACAAACTGGTTTACAGGTCGTACACTTCGCGGCCTTCTGATCCAGATGCAAAATGTCAGCTTGCGAAGTTCGGGCATGTGCAGAAAGCAAAATTTCGAGATAGTTTTTGGGTTTAAAAGTTACACAGCAGTCTTGACTTTTACTTTTCGCTTTCTCTCCTCCCTTCTTTTATCGCTTTTCTTGCCTCATTTTTTTTTTCTCTTGCTGGGCATTTAGTTCCGAAGTAAAACCACCCTTCTCAAAAATCCTTTCGAAAATCCTAGAATCCTAATCCACTTTCCTTTCCATCCACCCGTTACCTACAAGATTTTCATGGAGATTTTCAGGTCAATGTCACGTGGTTTTTTGGTTCTTTCTCCGGTGTCCTTGACTGAATTGTGCTCATTCTGGTATGGTTTGAAAGATCTCTTCACTCTGCACAAGTTAGCGAAGAAAGTTGTCCTTGACCGTTAAAACTGATGACGTCACAATGCATGGTTAGAAAGGATCTGGATCCTTACGGGTGGTTCAGGGGCGAATGGGTTAAACTTAATTAAGAGCAGCTAGTGTCCACTTGAGAGAGCCTATGTTTTTATTGTTGTCTGTTGAGGGATTTTTGTTTGTATGACTGGAATATCACAGGTATGACAAATACAATTATTGTAGAACTGCATGAACCTTTAAGAACCTGTGGTTAATCACTTCTCTGTTGATTATAATAATAACAAAAATACAGAAAGATGCCAAATATGACCCTGAGTTGGAGGCGCAAATCAGAGATTGGATCAATCAAGTTCTTGGAGGACAAGTTCTTAATCCCTCTCCTGATCCGAAAGACTTCTATGAAAGCCTAAAGAGTGGAGAAGTCCTTGTTGAGTAAGTGCTAGGAAACGTTAAAATTAATATTTATCGCTGCCTATTTGTATTTAATCTTGTTTTAAAAATGCCTGTGCATACTTCTAAGCAATTGTTTTTGAGGAAGCTATTGAATGACCAATGAAAGTAATAGTTAATTAAATTATATTAATTTTTGTATTGTCTATTGCAAGTTGCAAATTACTGTTAATTGAACTGCTATCGTCATTTAATTTTATTGATTCAATTTCATTGAGTCACTGAGACTTTACCAGAACCATATAACCCGGAAGCATCTAAATTCTCCTTTTTTGTTTCGAACCATGCTGGGACTTTTTAGCTGTCCAATAAAGAAGCACAGAAATTTTTTCATGAATAGGGAATCAGAGCAGTGAAGGCATTCCAGTGTCTTAAACAATAGCTAATACTGCATTCTTCCAGTCCCTAACTGTTGTCCTGCAAGTTCATCCATAACAGCAGGCGCGAGCAGAGCCCCATACCTAAGAAAATATGGACGTGACCATTTGGCGTCTGTCCGACATGGTTTGTACAATCTTACAAAGGTCTCGAATTTTACTATAGTTGTCTTGAAAAGTCTTTGAATTTGGTTTAGGTCCTTGAAAAGAACTTGATTTTTTCGTTTGGTCTTGAAAAGTCCTTAAAACAAAAACCTTGTCTAAGCCAGAGACCTTTTTCTATTAGATTATTTTGCCTTGGAAAATTTGGCTCATCCTCGGTGCATAAGAACCCGTAAATATTATTAAACTCATGGGTAACGTAAAAACATTTTTTTGCATGAACAATATTTTATTTCTGTTTCTTTATTTCAAATGTTTATATAATTTTCAATCTGTACCACAGATGCAATATTGCAAGTCATACCCTGCAGTTATTTTGCCAAGTCTTGTTAAGGAAAGAGTATTAAAATAATAATGTGATCATCGCGATGGCTGAAGAAGTAAAAATTGTAAATTAATGACTCCATAACATGTTTTAGCCAGTAGGGTGATCATAGGGGTTTAAAGAATGCTGATTTTAAAAATAAATCTTGGTCTTTGATAACTGTACTTTGTCCTTGAAAAATCCTTAAAAAGTCCTTGAAATTTGTTCGTCTGGAGTTGTACAAACCATGGCCCAACCAACTGTTCATCCACACCACAGGGAAACCAATGTTAATTGTCAAACTTTATAGCTAGTTTTGGGCCCTGCAACCTGATATTGCACATTCATTTTGTGGTCATTTAGAGCTGTCAAAACAGGGCATCTGCTGACCAGTATCACATGACCGTATTGCGGGCTCACGTGTCGACCCGTCGAGGTTACATGTCTTTTTGAAGTTATTTGCTGACAAGTTACTTAGTTTTTGATTGATTGTGGGCTCAACTTTAAGTGGATGTCTATTAATGAAAGCTTCACCTTTAGGCTTGGCTAAATTTATATAATTATTATAACATGATCAAATGGTCAAAAACGTTTACATCTACAAGAAGTGGTGCTGAGGGGTCAGTAATTCCATATTAGGAAGTAAATTTTGACTGGTTCTCAAAAGAACTTCTGCATTGGAACATTTATACGCTTCAGGGTTATTGCTTCAATCTGTCTTTATTCAGTGAATTATTTGATCTTCATTGGGTGATTCCAGAAAATATCCATTCCTACCACAGAAGGCATCGATCTTCTTCTTTATCTTCATCTTCACAGAAAGCATCTCCCCTTGCTATCTGAGTTCCAAAATGCTCAATCACCTTGCCCTCAGAATTGCAGCTGTATTATTCTTAATGAAAACTAAAAAATAAAACAAAATTGACATTTGCCCACATTAGTCCAATTGGCAGCATTGAGAACACCCCAGGATTCCATTCCCAATACTAATGCAAATTGTTTATGAACCGTGAGAGTACCATGAAATCTATAGTGGGAAAAAGCTGCAGAGATTGATATCTATTTGGTTATTGTAAGTTGTCAATCTCACCTATCATGCAGTGTGAACATTTTATAGCCTTGCTAGTGCTTTGTTCACCTTGAGCATATGATCACAGCATGATTTGCAAAACTGTAATTTTCTTCTGGAAGTCAAGACCCTTGAAACCCCCTGCCCTGAGTATGGATATCTTATGGAACCACCCATTCTTTTGTCCATCAATGCTTCTATTCATTAAGATTTGGACTTAAAGTGTATTTATGTCCTCTGGTGAGTTTTTCCCCCTGATAAAAATTTGTTTTAAAACTCATTTTAAAAAAGAATCTATTTAATACCTGCACCCTTAGCTTCATCTTTAGTTGACTGCGACTGCAAATGCAATACAACTAGTTTAATTTTTAATGATTTGGATCGAATTGGAAGCTTGAAAAGTTGGTTTGTGAGAAGAGGGAGAAAGTGGACTGCCTGGAGAAAAAGCTCTTAATTAGAGCAAGAGCACATAGTAACCAGTAACAAACTCAACCCACAGTGGCATTAACTCCAGGACTTGAACCACTTTGGTAGGAGGTACATGTAATCAGTTATAAAAATATGTCACTGGCCATACTGAGAGTGTTCCTTCAACAGCGCAGTGCAATATAGTAAAATAATAAGAAAATAAAAATAAATAAAAAACCCTTCCCTTATAGACCTGCCTATTTCTCTTTACCTTAGCCTAGCTAATGCTCTTGGTGGGAAGTACAAGAAGAACTCCAGCAAGATGGCTTTTAAAATGGTTAGTACCTGTTGCTATTGCCGTGAATCCCAGATTTGTCAGTGGTACCCATTAATGATCAGCATGTCAAGTAATTCTGTTCTTAACCCTTTAATCCCCAGTATTCACCTACAAATTCTCCAAACTAATCTTTAAACATTTCCTTAAATAATTACTGCAAATCCTCTATTAAGCCCCATCCCTCTAATAGGCCCTTTTCAGGGAAAGACTGAGTTCATAACCCCCCCCCCCCACCCCCCCCCCCCCCCACTTTTTGTTAAGCACCCCCCTCTCCCTTCCCTCTCCTAATTATTCTTCACTAATAAATGATAGACTTAATTAATCAATCACTACTGAAAAACTTTTGTGTGGACTGATCTGGAATGGTTTATTTACAAACTGGAAGTTCGGATTTGATTCTGATCCTTGGCTGCATGACCTCCAACCTTCTTGTACTTGAGCTTTTCCACTATGTATTGTAGTTCTTTTTAGAGAACTGATACCATCATCTTTTCTAACTTAAATAAGCCCCACCCTCTCCAATAAGCCCCCCCTCCCACCCCACCCATCTCTATTAAGCCCTCTCTCAAATGAGCTTGAAGTAAATAAGCACCCCAGGGGGCTTAATAGACGATTTACAGTAGCTGAGAAAATTTGAGAAAAGATCAAAGCATTTTTTCGGTCATGATCAGCTTATTAATTCTCCTAACCCTATCATTAAAGGGTAACTTGACTAACGCGCAACTGAAGTGTTTTTGGGCGAGATCATAGTACATACTTAGGCAAATTGAAAATTCCTAATAAATTTTTTGTGGACCAAAAGTGAAATCTGCATGTTGAGATGTCTCAGTTTAACTGACACACAGCACATTCTTTGCATAAGCCCCTTCAACTTTCAGTTGTCTTTTCAATATCTGGTCATTGTTTAATGATTTGTTCCTTTCTTGAATGTTGTAGATGGAGAACATTGGATTCTTTCTGTCCTTCTGTGATGAAATAGGGGTACCTAAAAGCGACATCTTTCAGACCGTCGACTTGTATGAAAACCAGAATATACCAGGGGTAAGTGGTGACTTTTGTTGGAGGACAGAGTGTGTGATATCTTTGCCCCTGGATTGACCAAAGCTCAAGGAAGTGATTGACAAAAATCAGAAGGGTTCAGTTCATGCTTCTTTTTCAATAGTTTGCTAAAAAAGAAAATCCTTTATTACCTCTAACTGCTCTAAGTGAGACCAACATTTAGTTTCTCCTTATACTACTCAATCCAAGATAAAGGTCATGAGAAGAAATGAAATGATCAACAAGTGAAAGAGATCTTGATAATAGGCCATTTTACAGTTGAGCGCTTGGTGTGCTAGCCTTCGAGTGATCTTGAGGCTGATGTTGACCTTGTTTTGATACAAACCTCCTTCCTTTTCTAATGGGAATTTTGCTTAAAAAATACTAGTTAGCATACAACAACAACATGATTATTATGTACATAATAAAGCAAGAAGGGTTGTATCAAAACAAGGTCAACTCTAGCCTCTTTTCCAACGGTAACTGTAAAATGGGCTATTGTTGAACAAATTTTTCTTATATATCTATGGGAAACGCTGAGGGAAAGGGTTCGTTAGTCCATGTACAGTGTAAATTTGGTTGTATCGATGGTGTGGGGACATGTTACGGTCAACTTCCGTTTCTGTGGACACTCGGAACCGCCGTCTAGTGTCCCTAATAGTGAGGGCCTGTTTATATGAGGTAAGCTAGCCCACTAAGGTGATGTTACTGGAGACGATTCGCAACGACGATTTTTAACGCAACACAGCGTTGTAACATTGTTGCGACATTGTTTCGAATGGTTACAACATTGTTCCAACATTGCAACTCTGTGCTGGGCTAAAAATCGTCGTTGCGAATCGTCCTGTGTAACACCCCTTTTAGCCGGGCTGGCTCGGCTTGTGCCTTGTATTCTCGTAAAACTTTTCGTTGTGTGTATATGAGGCGGGCTATCACTCTTGCCGAGATCTCGGCTTGTGCAACCGGGATCTCGACAAGCCGGGCCAGCGCGCCTCCTCATATAAACACAACTACATAAACAATTATAATTTGAGGTAATTCTGTCTAAAATGTTGAAAGTTGCTGATTGATGGCCATTATAACGAGAGTTAAAACAATAAAATTGTGCTGCTATGACCGAGGAAAGTGTTCTTTAAGTCCGTTATAGCGAGAGTCCGCCGTAACAGCGAGAGGTTGTTTCAGTCAAATGTCTGTAATTTTCGCCGACGGGGATTTTGCTGCTGTCCGTATTAGCGGGGTGTTCGTAAGAGCGAGGTGTCCGCAAGACGAGACTTGACTGTACTCAGCTGTACTTGGTAGCCTTTTCTGATCTGTAATAAATGAATTCTTCAACACGGACTATCAGTCTTAGGTTTTTCTTCCTCCTCCTCTTCTTCCTAACCTTATAAAAATGAATCTGATGCCAGCAAGAATCAGTTTTTAAGATAATGTGTGATTGTTTTGTTTCATTAGGTCATTTCTGGTTTGCATGCTTTTGCCCGAAAGGTAAGCTCAAACAGTAGCTCTTGCAATTTTCAAGTTGAATATTATGGAATTTCATTGCTATTATTGAGAGAAATTGAATTTTAAATATGCCCAGGTTACTATACGTTTTAGGGCTCAAAATAATTTTCGGAAGGTGGCCAGACACGATGACCGGCCAAAGAAATTTTTGCTCGGTTAAGTTTCGTTTTTGACCGGCCAAAATATTGGGTAAAAGTTAATTTACCCTTGTTTAATTTTCTATTTGTGAAAGTGATTGTATTTTACAAAAAGACCAAATCTAAGATTTACAGATGAGGATTTAGCTGATTGTTCAAGAATGAAAGTGTGCATGACCGGTCAACATGACCGGCGAGTGAATTTTGTGGCCGGTGAAGTTGCCGTTCAGGGCGGACGTTGTGCGTTGACCGCAAATCTTCAAAATAAGTGAAAAAAGGCGAAAGGATAGATGCTATGATATTGCATCAACTGTGATTCATTATTTTACTTTATGCGGCGATTGTACAGCCTTTGAAATCTGTTTCTCTCTCCGATAGTGCTCTGCACTCGGTAAACCAGTACCCCAACTGGGTCCTAAAGAAGCCACAGAAAATAAACGGGAATTCTCAGAGGAGCAACTCAAAGAGGGACAGAATGTCATAGGCCTTCAAATGGGAACCAACAAGTTAGCTTCGCAAGCTGGTGATCACTTCGGTCGCCCGAGGCAGGTGGCTGGAGTAGATGCATACAAATAAACTCTAAAACACGATGAAAGCTAAAACGAGATGAAAGCTTTCCAAGTCGAAAGAAGAGATGTCATGGTCAGCATATCTTTAGCGATAGCGGGGCTTATCTTGAAACATGTAACTAGAAATTTGAAAATATCATTTGTAAGTGCAGTAGCGTCGATTTGTACCTTTTTAATTAAATAATACACAATTTGGTGGTTGTAATAGGTGTAGTTTTCTATGGCAATAAACGCTCTTGTCTGGCACTAAAGGTGTGTTCGATGCGTGGATCATTTTCCCTTACCATTTATATGGATGGTTTCGGCTGGCTTTCTGGTTTAATTTTTTCCTTTAATACAAGGGGGGTGAATGGAAAATTAAAGAAAGTAGGCAGGAAAAGGATTATCTGCACATAAACCAGATAGTCCTCGACGAATCTTAGTGCTTTGCCTCGCTATTAAAGTGGACACGACGTGAGTGAAGGCAACAATGGGAGAAAAATTTCCCCCTTTCCCTCGAGGCTTCGGCTTTTAGGCCGAAGACGTGTCGGCCCCTAAGGAATCTCGCAGCACGCGAGGAAAAACCTTTTCTACTCAGGATATCTGCGTTAGGTTCCATCATACCACGCTCGTATCCAATACCCCGCTTTCAAAATTCCCCGCTCACCGCTCTTAATCACCGCTCCGCCCTGTGAAAGCCTGGGGATGAGGCAGCCCAGGGACACCCACCCTCGGGGACCCAAAGCCAGCTTATCCGGACTATCGGATTTTCATGGGCGATACCATATTTTGTAAACTTCTCCTGTGCAAATCTGGTAGTCCCTACCAGCTGCCCTTGGATCTCCGATTATAATACCTGATGGTGGACTGTTTGGCATTTCTCTATTGATTACTCATGTTAATTTTAATCTTTAATCAACGTCATCCCCTTCCCTTAATTTTAAACAAACACCACCCCCAATTTTTCCTCATTAAAAACATTTTAAATTTAAGAAAGAAATTCTCAGACATCTATTGTGCAAGGACTCGCATGAAATCTCCAGGTATTCTCAAATGACAGCTGAGTGTCAGCCACTGAACTTCGGCAAGATTGGCCTTGGCACGCTTATTTGGCCGTCAAAGTTCACTTTTGAAAGTTTATTCCTTGTGCATGCGCACTGTAAGACTGAAAACAAGCGAATGCACTGTTAACTGAGGCGAGTGGGCGGGGGGAGGAGGTATCCATATCTTACGCGCAATTTCTCATCGGTTCGCAGTACAATTGACTCGGCGCCGACTTGTCCCCCGCCAGTCGGCTGCTCTCATTCAAAGTTCGGCGCAAGGTAGCCTGCGTGCAAACATGCACTATTTTTCCCTTTGTGAAATTGGAGACGTCTGCCCACAGGCTAGGCGCAGGGAGCTATTATATATGCTTGCTTTTTCACTGCTGTAGTGACGCCGTTTCCCGAAGAACTATTATAATAACAACAAGGTTCTTCGTGCTTTGACTATTTTAATTTTTTTTTTTCTGATCTGCTGGCGGTCCTTCGTTCCTAGTATACCGACGATTTCGTTTGTCCTTGTATACACTAGCTCTTTTTTGTCTGTCACAATTTTTTTTTCGATCTCCTTCGCTTCTCAAAACCTTCTAAGTCAATCCAGTTTTAAATTCGTTTTGTAAGGATTTCTTGTATTCGTCTCTTCAACTGCAAATTTTCTTCATCTTTTAAGTGCTTGAGGTCGACTCTGTCGAGAAGCGCATCTATCCAGTGGCGGGCGTTTTGTTCGAGTTTAGCTTCACTTTCCCCCTGAAAAGGTTCGATAAAAGAATTTTACAAAGTTCTTCAATCATCTTTTTCGTCAAAACCAGAGTGACGGTGCGGCTAGACTACGAGTAGTCCCCATTTTTCCTCAGGGATGGTATAGCGAGTGAAACGCGAGCGCGCGTGAAAATCACCTCACGCGAGAAAGGCGAGACGCGGTGCGGAGAGAGAAAAATGAGGGACGTCCATGTTTCTCTCTCACCGTCTCCTCTCGCCTTTCTCGCTTGGGGTGACTTTCACGCGCGCTCGCGTTTCGCTCGCTCTACATCCCTGAGGAAAAATGGGGACTACTCGTAGGCTAAGGTGCGGCTACAACATTCGTTATTGTATGGACAGTCCACTTGCTACAATGAACTACTCTCCATTTATATTTTGAAATATTAAAAATAATAGATTTCCTCCCATTCAACGCCAGGGCCAACACCCTGCGTCCGGGTAAAAAAAAAAACTAAAACTTCATGACTTAAGCTTTGAACTTGCTCAAACAAAAGCATAGATTGAAAACAATTAAACACTGAGACAAGCAAAAAAAATTCGGCTTCAGCAGGCGAAGTTTGTGTTTGCATTCAATTTTAAAAATACAGTACGAATTATGCACAGTATACGTAATTTTCAAGGAGTTATAATAATTCCTCCAGTGGGGTTAATTTAACTCCTTACCGTAGAGTTATTCTATCCAAGAGGAGTTTAAAGAACTCGTTTTCAGGAGTAAAAATCACTCCAGATTTGGAGTTAATATCGAGGACCGCAGTTAAAGTAACCCCCCAAAAGGGGTTATCCTATACCTAAAACTTTTTACTCCATTTAATGTAGTTATAATGATTCACTAAAAATTACTGTGTGGCGATACCTTGGGTGCGTTTTTATGAAGCGAGCTTTCCACAACCAATAAGCCAGTTATTAAGAGAACTGCAATGGTGTACTTTACAACCTGCAACACAAAGAACCGCCTCTGAAGTCAGGTTATACAATTGCAACGAGTTAGTTAACGTTCATATAGCCTGTTCATGGTATTCGACACCCAAGGAAGAAACGAAATAGCTTGAAATAGGCCAAAACATCAATTAGAAAGTTTGATTCTGCCCGGCCCAACCTCTGGCTCTTCCTTCCAAGAGCCTTTCTGCGGAATGGTTTAGATCGTCCTGCTTCAGCGACTATAGGTTATTGCATCTCACCACCCGTTTGTTTAACAATGCATGATATTAGTTGACTAGACAAGAAACGACGGATTTTGAAAGCTTAATCTTCAGTGTAGGAATTTTAAAATATAGCTTACCTTTCTTTGCGTCGCCATTAACATTAATTCTGTTCTCTTTTTTTCTCTGAAGTTGTTTCTGGCGATTGAATTACGATTCCCCAGTTCCTCACCACTCTAAGATGTCAAAGATACTACCGATAAGGCTTGTGGCAAACTCTTGGAGGTGGCGGGATGGGGGGGGGATAGTGTACTTTTTTGAGGGGTGGTAACCTCCTGAGTATCTATAATAGTCTGTTCATCAGCTGCATTTCTGTAAAACATATTCCAAACTAGACAAAATTTTTCCTTATTTCTGAGACTCTCGAGTTTAAATTGCAGCTCATCACAGGACTGTGGTTTGTCGATTGCTCTCCAGATCTCCTTTAGAAAGGGATGAGTGCACCGAAATCGCACAAGAGAGCAACAAGTCTAGTGTAACGGAATTACGAATGCAGAGCAAAGTTTTTCCAGTCAATGGCCAATACGTCGGCGATGAGTGGATCAAGTCTTCTACATGGCCAGAGTTGGAGTAAACACAGTAAACGGTAGTGCACCGACAGAACTGCACGTTTTCATGGCAGACAAGTTCTAACTGTCAAACAATGATGAATCAGGGTATGAATGGTAATATAGATCCCAATTCAGATCTCAGATCTCTAATTCTTACTACTAATGGTTTTTAAACCCTACACCTAGAAATAGTTACACATCGAGAGAGGAACAATAAAATTTGTGTTTGTGAAGATCTCCCCCTCCCCCCGCTCTTCAGTAACCCGAGAGAGCAAGCTTTGTACCAGGCAGTTACCAGCAGTGGATGAACTAATGACGACTGGTTGTGAAACCCTAGTCCTGTTGTTTGTTAAATTGATGACACGAACGGTGACCAGCCTAAATCCCAGTATCAAGATTTCGCTCTAGGGTGATTTACTTGACCCATAAAAGACGACCGTAAACTAGGGGGGGGGGGGGGGCTTATCTCCGGGGGGGCTTATAACCGGAACAAAAAAACCCCCCCAAACCGAGCTGCAGAAGTACTGAACAAAATACGGCTTAAAAATAATAAAACATAAAAACTCCCTGATAAATCGAATTATTTTCATTACTTTTGGGGGGGGCTTTTAGGGGGGGGGGGGGGGGCTTATCTCCGAGGGGGCTTATAACCGGAACAGAAAAAGCCCCTCGAAACGAGCTGCAGCAGTACTGAACAAAATACGTCTTAATAATAATTAAGCATCAAAACTCCATGATAAATCGAATTCATTTCACTACTTTTGGAGGGGGCCTTTATCCGGGGGGGGGGAGGCTTATAATCGGATGTGTTTTTTTGTTTATAAGGGAACGGGCCTGCAACTGGGCAACCTCGTTCCCAGCGCGCTTTTCTCCGGGAAAAACCGCCTTGGGGACGAGGTTGCCTATTGATGGGCCTATAACTCGGCAACCTCGTTCCCAGAGTCCCCCCCCTACCCTTCCCTGCGGAGCAGAACGTTTTGTGAGTTTCCCCCGGCCCTGAGACTGGGGTCTGCGACGGAGAACAAGCTTGCATGCTGTCTTTGATTCATGATCAGTAGAGAAATGATTAACCTTTTCGGCACGTATTTGTTTACTTGAAGCTTTCACTTACAAAAAATTCGGAAAACTCGTCTCATTTGTCTTGTCAGTCATTCATAAAGGTTAACTAAGCGAAAACGTTTATCTCCGCTTTCCATATAAGGACCAAAATTGTAACGCCAAAGTAAAATTTCTCGATCTGGCATAAATGTGAAAATTTTTTTCCTTATAGAATCACAACATATCTATAAAAAATTGCTATAGCGTATATCGCTAGTGATTATCTACTGAAATAACAGGAGAACAGGATTGCTTACAAACCGTTTTCACTGAACATGAGAAAACAGACTTTTCAGTTTCAGCCGGTTGCATGCGTGTGTATCAAGCGTGGCGGAATAAACTTGATTAAATCTTTGACAATTTGCCCATTCTTTGCATTTGGATCTGTGCTTTCTGCTTCGAATTCAAGTGAGGACCTGAAAAAGACACTTGAAGGAAACCAACTACAGTTATACCAGAAACATGGCGGAAAATAAAGCCAGAGGGTATGGCTTATCTGCAGAAGTGCAGCGAAAGGTAACGTTAAATCTAGAAAGCAATTTTTGTCCCATTTAATACCTAGAATTTGTAATTAATTTCCAAGAGATCATGCAGCTCAAGATTTACACAGATTTCGAGAAAAACTTGCCACCGAACGATCTTGTAATAACTGAATTTGTACCATACAGTTACAGTTTCAGTTTTGTCGCCATTTCAAGCGAACTTCAAAGAGAAAGCTATTTTTTTCGCGATTACATGTCTGATGCATGTTCCGTTTGATGAGCTGTCCCTTCATCGCCGTTGTTATCTTCAAAGACGTGGCAAACCTCACTGAAAACTGATTAAATACTGATAATATTCACAGTAAATGTTTTACCAAGATGAAGTCTAGCCTCTAAATGATTTCATATTCAACTATCCCTGGACTCTCTTGCATGGGAGTTTCGAGATGTGTCTGTTTCCATGAGTTGATCTTAAATAAAGCATTGTTTTCATTCTTAGATTACGGTCTAACTTTGAGGTTTTCAGCACATCTAGCCAAAACGGTTAGGGTAGCTAAGCCTTCCTACTGTGCATAAGAGGCACTGAGATCGATCTTCCAAAGAGATGTCCGTACACAGAGATTAAGGATCCCATTCGGGCTTGCGCAACAGCTGGTGGCGAAATATATAGTGACAAACAAGAAAGTATACATTCGAGTATTCACCAAAACTCGCGAAATCGTTCTCTGCCTTTTCCAACTGAGTCAGTTCCCGGCTCGATATCAAGAGAAGTCTTTTAAAGTTCGAAGTAGGATAAATATTTAACTCAGAGGAAACAATAGGCTCTTGTGAAAATAATTGGCGTATTGTAAGCCAAACGGTATTAACATCAGGGAAAAATGCAACAAAGTACTGCCCAAAGACGAGCCAAGTGAAATTGTTACTTGAATTGTTAAGAAACTTTTAGTGTCAAACACTGTTGACAAAATGCCCAGAGAAAGTCCAACTCAAGGAAATTTTTACATTCGCATATTTGATAAAAATGGAAACAATAACCTTGAAGTTTGTTTTGAAAACTTTCAAGGCCACCTACGGAGCAGGTTGTGGGTAACCTTTTATTAAAAACGTAAATATTGGAGCGAGACGTAGTAACCGCCTGTGAGTGAGCTATAACTAAGGAGCGACTGTTTTGCGAAAGCCCAACGCAAAACTGCAACGCGACAGCCCGCTCGAACTGAAAGAAATGGAGTATAGGAAAATGGAAATTGAATAAAAGGGCAATCTCGTCCCCAGGGTCTTCTCGTTTTCCAATACGCCGCCGCCATATTGGAAAACAAGAAGACCCCTTGGACGAAGTTGCAAAAAGGGAAAGTGAATAAGAATACAACGTCAACGATAAACTGTCAAAGGCCATCAAAGCTTAGGCATACGAGAGCAATCTTCAGCCATCATGACCGAACAAGCTTGGTCGATGAAGGATTGATTCCCGGAGGTGGGGCATACTACCATATATGGGCTATATAGGTATGTGCCGCTGTGAAGGGTATGGTTTTCAAGCATTTTACCCTGGGATGGAGTATATAAATCGGAGAGGAGAGAGTTTGGGTCTAGAGTAGCGTATCATTTTCCAGAAAATTGATTAATTGGTTGAAAATTTTAGTCTACTCTAGGGAAACCGGGAATTGCCACTCAAACATATAAAAAGTGAAAATCAAATCGGTTTTGTTTTGGCTGGACTTTGCTAGAGACCTCAGTAGTTTCTGGAAAACATCTACTCTAGGATAGGGGGATTTGGGGAGTTTAGTCTAGTATAAGGAAGGAAAATTCACTTGAACTAGCTCTGGTATAGGCTAAGGGTTCCAGGGTCCCATGCCAGCGGCACATCCCCACTCAAAAATTCCTAAACTACCCCCCACCCCCGGGGGATTAATTACATAGCAAAAACAAAAATGTTTTCTTGCGGGAGGAAGCGGGATATCCCAATCTTGCCCGATCGGGTAGCCATTGAGAAAACAGGATTCGATTCATCTTACTCGCTTTTGGAGCCAAACTCGTAATAAATAATGTAATTAGCATATGAACTTGCTAATGGGGGAAGTGTGGTTGTCATTGGGGAAATGATATTGATTTGGGAAGGAAATAAATTAGCGGTAGACAAGGTATGCACGCCAGTTAGTCCCCTAATAGGCTCAGAGGCACCTTGTTGTGGTGGTGGACTATTCATCTATCCGTGGTGGTATTGATCTACTAATTATTCACTTCATATTAACTACTCCCCAAATCCAAAATTTTTCCCTTTTCCAAAATTTTAAATACCCCCCAACCCCCCTACAATTTTTATACATTAAAGCATTCGAAAAATCACAAAAAAATTCTCCAAAAATTATTGAACTCCAAAGACTCCAAAGTAATTGAGTCATTTTGCGATTGAATGAAAAAAAGGGGCGGAACTAAACGAAACAAAATACTTTTAACCAGACCTCCCCATCAAAGACCCGTTTAACATCACGAATGAGTGGGGTGCAGAGCAATAAGAAGAAGAGGGCCGATACAATATTTCGTAGATCGAGGGAATAAACCTTCATTCCGACGGTTTCTTTGTTATCAGATTAATGCCAATTACAACAAAAGAGTTGAGGAGGACGTGAGACGCTGGATCGAAGATGTGTTGGAAGAACCAGTGGAATGGGGAGCAGAAGACACTGACTCTCCTGGAAGTGGTTTTGCCGATGGTCTCATGGACGGTGAAATTCTTTGCAAGTACGACATTCTGTAGTCTGCGAACGCAGACGAATTTCAGGTCGTCGCTTCTCTCCAGCTTAAAAATTACTTTTCTGGTGGAGAGAGGAGACGACCGGAAATACGTCGTGAAATGATTCTCAAATTTGTGACGCAGTGAAGAAGATAAGGTTATAACATCATTTGAATGTCCCTTGATCATCATTAATAAACAGCATTTTCCATATAAATCCAATGGTACTGTTTATTGAGCTTTACAAAGTGGATCTCGGCTCAGTCTCCTTCCCAGGGTCCTCTCCTACTCGCCCTATCCCCCTATGGTCTGGCAGACGAGATGGAGAGGAGCCTAGGGGCGAGGTTGGATCTAACTATCTATTCTTTAATAAAATCGATTCTTCAATGTGACCATTCAAATAAAAGCTACTGAGCAGTACTTGCCTGTGATACTCTTTATTATGCTGCAGAAGAGAATTAAACCTTTTTTTATTGTTAGTATGAACGCGAGAGGAGGCTTGTTGAATGAAATCCTACCATGAACCATTCTTTCTTTCTTTTCAGACTTGCCAACAAGCTGCAGCCTGGAGCGGTGAAGATGAACGACACTAAAAAGGTCACAAACGCTGCTATGAGAACAAATAAAGAGGTTAGAAACTATTTCGTTGCAAACAATCATCCTTGCGCTCAGAGAAGTTTACAGACTGGTGTTAAAGAAGACAAGCAAAGTTAAAAAAATCAAAAAACAAAAATCGAGAGCAACCAGAGCTTGAAGCAATTTTTTAATGTCGGTTTTGAGTGTGGGAAATTCCCGGGGGATGGTGGTTGCTCTCAAGTAGAAGTACAGGGAGGTTCTCTCTTAAGAAGTGCAAAGCTGACGGGAAGCGTGAATATCGTCTATAAAAATTAAAAACGTAGGATATTGAAAAACTAGAATTTATTTTTCACAAATAATGTAACGGAAAAAAGTTCGGAATTTTCAGAGAGTAAATAATAAGAAAAACGTGTGAGATATTGTACTGTATATTAATTATCATAAAAAAGTCAGTATACTTTACTTTTTATTAACAGAAAGAAAATATTGAGAAGTTCTTGAAGTTCGCCGAGGCTTATGGCGTGAAGGACCGATTTACCACTGCTTACCTGTACCAGAAACAAAATGTTATGTCGGTGAGTTTGAATTCTTGAGGGAAAGTATATTTTCTCTTTATTAAGACGAGTGTCTGCTAAATGCACCATTAACAAGGATGGGCCGTCTTTCAGTAAGAGAATGATGTCTGATTTAAGAGTGGACATCTCGCCCCAACTTTAGCGCCTACACTGCTTGCAGCTCTCAATTTTCTCCTGTCTACTTCTGACTTCTGTTTGGTAAACTCGCGAACTGACGCGAATATCAAAGCGAAGAGCAAGGTGGTTGTCTTACACCTGGCTGGCTCTGCATTGTAGCGTTCTTTCCGGTTTGCACGTAAAAAATAGAACAGACGGAAAGGCTGTGGACAGTTTACTCAGGCTCCCATGTGAACACCTGCTATGCATGTGCAACCTTATCCAAAGCTTATCATTTTCTTAAAATATTAGCTAATTTGTGGATAGCATGCTATTTCACTGTTTTTATGATTCTTAAAACTTCGTTCCAAAATATTTCGAAAACACTCTCATAGAATTTGTTCAAACTTTGCCATAATTGAGGCAATTATGGCAGGTACATACTCCTTTAAGCGATTTCTTAAAAAAACTCCTGGTACAGAGAAACTCAAAGATAAATAAAAAACGTAATGCCGTCATTACGTTGCTATGGCAACTCCGATTTCAATAAAACCCAGATCATAAGAAATTTTCCTCTTTATATAATACTGTTGTGGTAACCTTTTTTCCATATCTTTACTCATGCCGACGTAGTTAATGCTCAAACTTGGGAGGTATCCCCCCCAAAAAAATCCAATCAAGCCACCTTAAGGTAGATACTTTCTATTTTTTCCCCATGAAAGAAATCAATTTCTTTTTTCCTGAAAGCGCTACCTGCATGGGTAAAATTATTTTAGCGAATGAACATTTTATTAACTTTCGATACCTTTCATTTAGTAAACTTTCAACAAAGGTTAGTAAATCGACAGTGTATTTGTAGTTTAAGTTTTGAGAAGTGAAAATGACAACTAAGTACAATGCTTATGTATTTTATATTTCCCTCGTTTGACGGTAGTCCAATACGATCAGTTTGGAATTATCAAAATTCGTACTTGGCTCGCGGCTGAGGAGTATAAAACAAAAGAAATGAATTATGAATCCCTGAATCGAAATGCGATTTCTTTTGTTTTGAACCCTCAGACTCTGAGCCAAGTATGAGTTTTAATAGTTCGTAACCCACCTATCAAGGCCAGAATTAGATGTCATGGGATCTCAAGAAAGCCAATCAGTAGGCGCACCGTTGGGGAAAAGATTTAATTCCCCATTNTCCCTGAATCGAAATGCGATTTCTTTTGTTTTGAACCCTCAGACTCTGAGCCAAGTATGAGTTTTAATAGTTCGTAACCCACCTATCAAGGCCAGAATTAGATGTCATGGGATCTCAAGAAAGCCAATCAGTAGGCGCACCGTTGGGGAAAAGATTTAATTCCCCATTGCGGAAACTATAAGGGGCATGCGTACAAGATTTCGGGGCAGGGGCGGACAAGTGTTACTTATGATTGGTCGATGGTATCCAAGGCAACCATTAACCAATCACAAGTAACGCTTGTCAACCCAAACTATCCCAGAGATCGTTGGGCCGAATGCTTCAACCCATTCTTCTAATAGTTTCTGGAGTGAGGAATTCCAGCCTTATCTTTTGTTGTTTTTGGTTTTTTTCATTTCAGGTTGTTAATTGCTTGTGCCAGCTAGGAAGCACAGTAAGTATTTCAGGCGTTTTTGGCCGATGCACTTCAACCGGAAGTGAGGCGGTCTTGACGCTATAAAACTTGTCTTGCTTCGTTTCTTAACTGTTATGGAGACGATTTAACTGAAAATTTGGTCTAAGCCACTACTCAGGAATGTCCACTTTCTCCCTCTGTCTCCCTATTCTATCCGGTGGTTCGAGAGTCTCCGTAAGCGGACACTCTCGGGTAGGAGAAAAAGGTTCCGTAAGTGGAGCCAGCCACTTCTGGGAATTTTTATGTAAGCACCCACACATGGGATAGGTGGACGTTTACGAAAACCTATACAAGCGCTCATAACATGCTTCATTCACTGTTCATCTTCATCCAATTCAATACCGATCATATGGCAGAAGTGCTTTGTACTGTTACGACTGAATAACGTTTTTTCTAGTACTTAGTCTTCAAGCATGTCTTAGCGGGAACTTAGAAACAAATTAAGGGAAGAATCAGTCACACAACTTCAGAAGTATCTAAAGCCATGTTTTCGACTGAGGTTAAAACGGAGATTGTCGTGAGACTATCGTGAGTATAGTTGCCATGTTTCCATCCTCTGGGACTCAGTCGTCGTCCCGTTTCTTCCCGCCCGACTGAATGCCCTCGAGTCTTCAGTGATTTCCACTTTATACAAGAATGTCCGTTTTGTTAGCCTTTAAATTGAGAGGTAAATCATTTTAATTTCGCAGACTAAGCCCATAGTGTGTAAAGTTCGCGGGGCAGGAACGCTTGGCGGACCCTTATAAGGACAGGGTGGCAAAGGGGGGGTACCTATCGGCGCATCACGCCGCTTTTTTTTTTAAAGCTATCACGCATCTCGGAAAAATAAAATAAAATATTGACAAGTACCCTATTATCATTTGATCTGAGGAAATCAGGTCGAGGTCGAGGAATGAGGGCAAGAAGTTGGTGTCATAACTATCTATTATTAATCAGTCTCTGCTTCTTGCTTCAAATGACATTAACCATCACGGAAATTTCAAAGGAAAATCACGCGTCACGCGTTGTGAAAATAGTAAATCACGCATCACCCTGCTAGGCCAAATCACTTCTCACGAGGCTAATTTGGGCCCGATCACACATCACGCGTCACGGAAAACCCCTTTGCCACCCAAAGAACGTCTGCGTGACAGGCCACGTAGTGTGGCCATTGAAGCGAAGCCCCATTAGGTATTCTAACCACAGGGTTAGCTTAATTGTAGCCTGGGACCAGTCCCTTTTTTGCCTTTTCCCTTACTGCGGAGCGGAGCCCGGAGCCGGATGTTGCGATCGAGTACTTCAGGTCAATACTCAGACCAATTTTTATAAATCTTACTGCCTTTCCTTGGCAACAAGCTGAACGTTCACAACGTAGGTACAACAACATGTTGTTCCCAATAAGTATATTTGTGTTATTGTTTTTTTGTGCTCGATACACATTGATAAATATTTTTGAAACATGACACTTGTGCGCTATTTACACTTTCTCCTAATTACCACTGCGTTTATCACGAACAGTTTCATGAAAATATATAATTTAGACTAGGAATGTATTTATCTCTTTTAAAAACCAACTGGAGGTCCAATTTTTCTTAAACCGATTCTTAAGTTTAAATGACTGGATGCAACTGTTTGCAGGCACAAAGCAAAGGCTTTAGTGGCCCCTGCTTGGGTCCAAAGATTGCCGAGGAGAATAAAAGAAACTTTACAGAGGAGCAACTGTGCGAGGGGAAAAAACACATAGGCCTTCAGATGGGAACCAACAAGTTAGCTTCGCAAGCTGGAGAACACTTTGGTCGCGCAAGGCAGGTGGCTGGAGTAGATGCCTACAAATAAAGAATAAAACAAGGAGAAATGTTTCTTTGACGAAGGGGATATGTCAAAGCCAGAAGCTAGTACAATAGGAAAATGTACTGTAAGCGCAATAATGTTGACCCTTAGTTTAGTAAATGGCTTGCAAATATAGTCGTCTTACAATGTAGTTGTAGTTTTTATGACAATAAACTTTCTTTTTGTTACAGAAAGAACTGCATTTGATTCGTAGAACATTTTCCTCTTGCCGTTAGAGTCCAATTAAAGGTATGCCAGGGAAGCATTTCCCTACATGAGGCGTCATAATTGGCTATTAACCCCTTTTGATTTGAATTGGACACTTTATACAGTCGTTCGGGTGGGTTGAAAAAGAGTTCTGTGCTCTCTGGACAACAGAGTTTTATCAGTTGTTGGGACCAGATCTGTAATGGGTAAGGGCTTAAAAAGGATACCACACCCCGCACCCAAGGAGTTAGATGTTGTAAAATGATATTAGATCATCAAGTCAAGAGAGGATATAATAATGTCACATAATGTCCTACCTTAACCAACCCCTCCTGACTCGTAAAAGAAGAGGTCTTTCAAAACTACGGCCTTTTTTGGGAGGGGAGGCGGGGGAGGGAGGGGGGGAGCTTATTCTGCTGACTCACGTCTCTTGAATACCACAACAAAAACCTGTTTTAGCCATTCCCGTTACAAGTAGCCTGTTCACAGACCCTCTATTTTCTCTTCAAGCTCTGTCGAGTGCGCGTGATAAAATATAAACTGCGTGGGGTTTATTGACCCCCAGCGCACGAGGGTAGTGGTGGGGGAGAAGAAAATAGTTCTTTATTTTTCTTTCTCGCGCGCTTGTTTTCAGAAAAGAACGAAAACAAAAACACAGTCGAACTTCCTTTAAGCGACCAGTTACCAGATGTGTAGTTCCATGTTGTCACGAAAGTTCTTCGTATATTCTAACTAGCATAGTGCACACAGCGAACATAGAGATCAGAGAATGCGTCAGTGGTCGCTTGCAAGAGGTTAAAAACAATGGAAAATAATTACGCGTCAGGCCCAAAAAGTGATCGCGGTCGCTTACAGGAGGTGATCGTTTACTAGAGACTCCAACTGTAAGGCTTTGACTCCGAAAATTTTGGTGTTTTGGATAGACGGTCGCTTATGGTTGTTATGGGAGGTGGTCGCACATGGAGGTTCGACTTTACAACAAAATCTGTGTACAGGCTAGGTTACAAGTCTCACCCAGACGCCGTAGTAGCATGGTAACCGTTACTTTACGAACACGATTGATCCTAAGCATTCATTGGCGAAAGTCTTCCAAAACAGGTTTTAGGTGTAGTAGTATTCCAAGTGTGTTCACAACAGTCGCTGGAAGCAATAGAGAACTAACAGGTTGAAAGCAAACCAAACTTACAGTACATTTCTTTCTAAAGCATTAAAAGTACTAATAATTGGAAAATTTTATTGGGCTCTTGGCTTTGACTGATCAATTAAATTCCCAATTCTATTATTCGATCTTCAAAGGTTAAATAAACACCATCAATTAGTGTGATGTTAAATGTTTGTCTAATTTCGTTCTTGTTTGTGGAATGGTTAGACAAGCGTGACAAAGGTATGACGTACGCCCTTAACCTCGTGAAAGTAAACTGTTGTCTCGTCGCAACAAGCATAGAACGACGTCTGTAGCTGTCTGTCACGACTCGAGGTTCTTCGGCTGAAACTCGACAAAAGAAATGGCTTATCGACCGTATCACCCGTCTTCTCCCGGCTGCGAAATGAAGGTAACAGAAGAAATTTCCGTTTTAAAAATCTACCCAATTCCCAAGCATGCTAAAATTGATAAAAATAAATTGCTTATAAGAGGTTAGATAACAACAGATGTGGACCTGCTAACTCTTCCATCCACTCCTGTGCCAAGAACGTTATCAAGGTCGTCACGTGCACTAAAAATGATGCTTTAGTTCGTCGGCTTATTGTGTCCTATTAAATTTAAAAATCTGTATGAATATGATCACAGCATGTAGACGTTAAATATTGTGTTTGTCAATGGGCTTTGGAAATCTTAGTATTTGTGCAAGAATGATTTGCGCAGATGACCAGCTGAGTGTTATGGATAATATCTGCTGAAAAGTTCATAACATCAGTCGCCCTGAAATACAATCAAATGATAAGAAAATAAGGTTTACTCTAATGTATGCAATTTACAGCAACAACACTTACATTGATCAGCATTGCTGCTCAAGAAAAAATGGCCCTCAAAGCTAAGGATAACTTACGCCATCTGCGAAAACATTTTATGCGGGTGTTTTATGAGATTTCGACTTCGCTCTTTTCGATGTTTTCGCGTTTTTGCGACATTCTTCAATGTTCGGGTTCCGTACAGAGTCGTGCTTTGTGATTATTCCGCGCGATCGGTATCATGGAAGGTACTTTGCATTGTCTAGATACAGACTGGATGTTACATGGATTTACATCTAATTCTTTAAGTGTACTTAAAAGTCATGAATTGAAGCCGGCAAAATAAGGATAAAGGTCCCAAAAAAGACGTCTCTTCAATATATTTGTGAAACCTTATTTGCATCATAGAATGGCTTGTTTTATTTGATTCGTTTATACAATGTTTATAAACAGACGATATAGTTTAATAAATATTGATTGAAAGTGAGTGATATTGACTCCAGGCAATGGTGATACAAACGGTTTGACGTAATAGCCACAACTGATTCCGCGCTTTTCCTGCCAATCTTACACATCTCTACCCAATAAGTCTACCACTTGGTGGTTTTTAAAGTCGTCTCACTTCTGCATACTGAAATATAGATTCTTTTACTTTTGTTGAAAGACTTCATGTAGTTAAAAGGCCACATTTTTACTCCAGTTTTACTATACAATTTCATGAATTCGCTTTATGGCATAACCCGGGGGTACTCCCGGGAATTCTTCGTGGGCTCGTGCCTCCCGGTTCTTCAAATCCTCACCCTATTTCAGATAAAAAAAATGTCATTTTCCACATCCGTTTTCAGACCTGGCTTCACGTTTACATTGGCAGAAATAATGTAATCATTGTTAGATTAAAACATGGCCGTCGAATGGCCAGCATACAGATTTCCTAATCCATGTTAAATTCGCATATTACTCTTTCGTTCTTATTTTCATTTTGAACGACAAATACGTTCGCGCAGTCCCATAGTTCCCTCCAAAAACCTTAATCCGATTCCTGTCCAAAATGGGCAAATTCTCCACCTGTTTTCAGACCGAAATGGACACAAAAACCATACCTTTTGGGGTGGCACATACCAATATGGCTTATACAAGGGAGTACCCCCCCGGCTCGCGTAATCGGCTTTGCATACTGAAGCAGCTAGACGGATTATAGAATTGTCCATATGGCAGACTTTGATAAGTCAAGGAGAGTTATCCAATTATAAACTTGACCTGAGGTGGCGATCGCCCTGCACGAAAGATCTGGTAGGGCCACTAGCTGTAGAAAGTCTGTGTCTCTCTAAACATGCAGACCACGAAATGTGTATAAAGTAGTTTTAATCAAGGTTGTTTTTTGACAAGAGAGGATGAAGGGTTGGCGAGCCTTAGTTTTACAAAATGACGGGAATTTCAAATTTTAAAACGTCGTACAGTCAAACCCCGTAAATATAGACGGTGAGGGTGGGGGTATAAAAAGTGTCCACATCACGGTGGGTACGTATTAAGCGGGTTGAATTTAGAGAAAATGTGAGGGCTTACTTTTCCGAGGGCTATCCGTGATAACCAGGTGTCTGTATAAGCGGGTGTCCGTAAAGCGGGGCTCGACTGTATCTTTTTGGTGGATAAACTTAATTTCTTTTTGTTTTAGTCGTGAGATGTTTATAAATAATTTTTGAGATTTCATGTTTTTGATAAGACATCTCATAATATGCTGAGTACTAGAGGAACACACTTCCAAATTCCTCAGCTCGTGACTATGAGCAATAACCTTACGCATGCCGCCATGGACAGCTGTTTAATTTCGTCCTTCTCAGGACTTATCAGTATGGCATGCCCCCCTTCCCGCCCCTAGGCAAATGAGTCACATCTCAGACCCCGCCAACATTTACTGCCGAAGCGAGCGCAAAAACACTCTATGTTGTGGCTGTTTCTTGGAAACAACGCAAAACAGTTTTAGACAAGCTTAAAAATATGATCTATTTGTTCCCAGGGATCAGCTTGTAAGCAGATCGGTGTCAGAGAGAAAGTGTATAGATTAGACCGAACTCAGCAAGAAACACACTCTAGCAAACCCCGTGGCATGGCCAATCTTCAGGTCATTTTCGGGCAAAAATTTTAAGAACTTAAGAGAAAAAGTTAAAAGTAAAAAATTATAGGAAATAACGATTTTGGAACAGAACTAACTTCTCAAAAGTCACATTCACCTGGAAAATTTTCCCGTGGGAGAAGCTGAGAAAAAGAATGGTAAATAAATCACATAGCCTGCTAGCAAGCGTTTCCGCTCGAGTTCGTCTAGAAAGTTGGGACAAGAGCAAAAAAGAGGAATATTGGAAACGGTTGCCACGCAGCGGGCTATAAATCACACGCAGATGCCTTCTAGTCCCTGTTTGTAGCCAGCCGCGGGGGACTTGCACTAGGACTGGCGAAAGGTGACTCTGTGCAGACTACGACGATTGAAGTGCAATGCAGCGAAACTTCTTACGGGCCCTGTCTGCATTAATGTGGAGATTTTTGAATCCAGATATATTTTTACCTGGATTCGTGTCGACGGGGCCTTAAATCAATCTGGAGAGCGGTTTCAAGATGTGGTTTCGTTGAGTTTCACTGGTTTTTTGCGGACGGAAGGCCAATTTGTGTAAAAAAAAAATGCCGTGTTAGGAAATATTCAGATTCGTGTGGACGCCGCCTTAGAACCAGTTCTCCGCCTCCAGTTCACTGCAGTTTTTTTTAAAATATTAAAATACCTTTATGTATCAAAAACGAGAAGACCAAAGACTGCTGCAAAGCTGATTCAGAACTACGTGTATTGTTTTTTCATAACAATATTTCGGCTGGTCATACCAGCCTTCTTCAGGTTTACAGATGTTACTGAACTTATGTAGGAATCTCAGAGGTATGCAATTAAGTAAATTAATAGGCCCCTATTAACAAGTAATAATTATAGTTTTTGTTGCAAGTTGTTCTGATTGGCTCCAAGTATAAAGGCCATATCTACCTTTTCTTAGCTGAAAGGTTCTACATTGTTATGCAAATTAACCTTTCACTTTTGAGTGTTTTACTTGGACAATACGATGCAAATTGCGTAGTGTGTTTGAATTCGATAGCTTTGGATAACACTACTAAACAAAGCGAGACGATTTCTATTTACGCGTCCGTTCACAGTGACACGCTTAAGTTAGCTTCTTCACCAACTCCTACAGGAAAACGAGCTGGCTTAAAAAGGTAACCTTCACATCTCTTGCATGAATTTTCAGTAACAGACTAAATTGGAACCGAGCACGAGGTTTGTCAGCTGATAATTTGGTCACAATTCCCAACACTTCATAAAAAACCCGACGTATTAGCACATTAAGTTAAGAGAATTTGCTTTCGACCTGTAAGTCACTTGAAAAGAGCGTACTAAGTTTATAGGCTACAGGAATGGAAGTGAAATCCACTAGAGTAGCTGTTGCAAATGATTATTTGTCTAATACTGAGTAGTGGAATGACGATTCTTTGAACTCCTCGGGGGAATGTAATTTGGTTCGAATTATCAAGCAGCTCGAAAACTCAGGCTTAAACCACGTTGATTGTTTGATTGGGAGTGGAAAGTCAGTTTTAGTTCAACGGGAGTTTTGAACTGTTGTATTTATACCTGTCAACTCGACCGTATATACGCCTTAGATGTGAGTTAGGCACCTGCTGATCGAAATTCAATTCCGGATCTCGTGGCCTACGGATCAATTTCTTACTCCTGGTGGAACAATTGGAGGTATATTACAACTTCAACTAAAACTTTTGTCGGAAAATATACAAAATAATTGATAAACTCGAACCAGAGAGAGAAAAGAAGAGTCCGTTTCTCGAAATGCCCGATTTTGGATGAGAAAGCCCTGAATTATGAAAACTTCGTAAATCTCCGAAACTTTTTCGGAAATCTGACATGATCGCGTCCTCTACGAAAAATCAAACTCTAAAGGATGAAAGATCTTACGTCGACTCAATCAAAAATAGCCCCAGGGTCGTCCTCGGCAATTTTAGGTGTGACGTGACATCACCTGCATTCGCTGTTGGTATTGTAATGTATAATGTCCCGGATGTGCTGAACATCTGCCGGATGTGCTCTGCCTAATGCTGATTTTTAGTAAAATCGAACTAGTGGTCTATTATCAATGCTGCGTTCTGATTGGTTGAGCTTCTACTAGGCCATATGTTATAGCCCACCAGTAGCGAAAAGCGCGGGCTTTTTGTCGGCAAAAAACGATTAAAGTCTAGCTATAACTAGTTAAAAGTTTTTTATTCTCGATATTTTTTACCAACTAGTTGGATTTTACTAAAACAATTATTCCTCTCGCCCTCATGGCCTCTGAGTCAGTAGCCCATTCTGCCTTCGGCCTTATGGGCTACTGACTCAGAGCCCATTCGGGCTCGAGAAATAATTGTTAAATACTCGAGTGGCTTTGGGATCGTTTTGAGGCACTATCACGTGATCATAATTTCGCGCCAAATAAACGCGGCCGCTTCCGAGAAGTGCACGGACCTTTTCTTGAATAAGCTGGAAGTTTGCTAACTCAAAAACTTAAAGGCATTAGCTGAACTGCGAAAACACTTGGATGAAGCTCGTATAAAAGATTCTAAGAAGTCAAGGAAACTGGCTATTTCAGAGAAAAAACGAAGCTTCCAGCGTGTAAGCTTTTAAAATAGCTCTTACCGTAACATGGCGTCTTTCTTGCTTTTACTTTCCTTTGAAAACAATTACACTTCACCCTCCAGTTCTAAGCCAAATATACGCGAGTTAGTTCCTTGGGTCAAATTGGCTCCTTTTTTGTAGCATTGACAGCAGCAAACAACAGTTTGTTTTTCTTTTAGATGGCAGGAAAGTGGGACAAAGGACTTGCAAAGGAAATTTGTTCTTGGATTCAGAGAGCTACTGGTGTCTCAGTACCTTCAGATGATCCTTCAGATTTTGCCGAAGAACTGAAGAACGGCCAAACTCTTTGCCAGTACGGTCTTATTATTGTCTTTGTAATTTTTAAAATGTCGTAGAGACTACAGTCAACTCTCTCTAAGACGGACACCTTTGGGACCGGCACTAAGTGTCCGTCTTAGAGAGGTGTCCGTCTTATAGAGAGTCAAATAAAAGGAGTAAAGAAAGGCAGGGACCAACTCTAGGTGTCCGTTTTACAGAGGTGTCCGTCTTATAGAGGTGTCTGTTAAGAGAGAGTCGACTGTATATAAAAAGGAACTTTTGTCTTTCTCGGGGTTGTTGAGTGATAAAGACGTTGTGACGGTGTAAATTTAATTACAAAGGGCTGACTCAGTTAGAAACTCTGTAACGAAAAAAAACGAGTGTTTCCTTTCAATTTTTTTTGTTTCAAATAACTAACAGTGAGCATGCAAAGACCTCACTGGGGTGGGGTGGGGGGGGGGAGGGAACAAAGCCCTTTTCATTTGCATAAGAAAAAAAATAAGTATTTGTTTCAAATCTAATCATTGTTATCAGATTCAATATCTGATTGAAAAAGGTTTTTTCTTACAAGGTTGGCAAACAAACTCCAACCAGGGGCAATCAGGAAAATCAACAAACTGAAGTCACCATTTCAGATGGTAAGTCAGTCTCAGAAAAAAAAAAACTGGAAGGATAAAACGATAACAACAACAGCAATAAACAGTTTAAAATAATGCATGTTTTTCTAGAAGGGGCTGTATTGTCCAGACTTGGAGCCGTGTACTAGGTAAAAACGTAACGATGTATTTAAATCTATTACGCTCATGTCTCAAGGAAATTTCATTATAAGGCATGTTTGTAATTAAGTTGAAGAAAATTTTTTCGTTTTTCACGTCGTTCGTCCGCCTTTTTTTCCCTTCTCTCTTTCCTTCCTTCTTGATTTCATTCCGGATTTATCTCCATTTTGACAAGAGTCTCTCAGTTAAATGAAGAGTCAAATACCTTGTAATCTCTTTGCAGATGGAAAATATAGGTTGGTTTAGTGATTTTGTGACCGCATATGGTGTTCAAGCTGAGTATGGTTTTGTCACAGTAGATTTGTATGAAAAACAGAACGTCCATCAGGTAAGCAATTTAAAACGAGGATCCTCACTTTTCTGCTAATCAGAAATAAAACCAACTTTTATTGCTACTTATCATGACTGAAAAAGGATCGAGCGCAACAAGACGCGTTTCAAAACCTTACAATGTTTACATGAGGCCATCAAACCAGGCACCACTGGTTGTTCAAATGTTTTCCGCCCAACCCATTTTTAAAGGGAAAAGCCCTGGGGACGAGGTTGGTACGCTGGTCATCTTCAGAGACCCAGCGCAGCCAGAGACATTTTCGACTCGTTCTTCTTACTCAGTCATCAAAAGAGAATAAGGTCCCATCATTCTCTTTTGTGCTCACTTAAGAATAGGCAGGGGCACCCAACGTCTATTTTCGGAAAATATTTGTCCGGAAGACGATTTGAGATCTAGAATTTTCGGAACATTTTTTGTAAAATTCCTTGCTTGTCTGTCTCTCCTAGGATTTTCGAACAGCTAAAAAAAGGTATAATTGACTATTTTTAACGGATTTTTACCATAAAAAGGTCACCTAGAATTTTCGGGAGCCTTTTTTCTGCTTGAAATTTTCGAATAGGTAAGTTTTGATCCCTACAATTTTCGGATCACTAGACTTTCAGCTAGGAAATCCGAACAGAGAAAACATTTTTAGGGGATAAAAATATGCCTATATCTACCGTTTAAATACTAGAATACGTTTAACAATGCTATATTTTAGTGGTTTTGAACTATATTCTCGTTGGGTGCCCCTGAACAGTCACAGCTCCACCTTGAGCGCGCCAGAAATCATTTTGCCTCTTGGACTGCGAAGGTTTAAATGGGGGCAGTATGAGTAGCGCGCACTGCGAGTTCCCGCCATTTTGCCCTGGCATTTCAATCCCCCTTTTTTCTTGTTGATGCATCTGTTAGACTGAGGGGATAGTCAGGGCTTCGCCTGATTTCTGTTGCATAAAGAACAGAAGAAGGACTTTTTCTCTAATTTCTCAAATTAGGAAATGATCAGATAAAAACTGTGCAAACTAAGTTTTATGGATGAAAGTGAAATAAAAGTACAGTTTCGATGGGAGCTATTTAAATAATTTACCTATTAGTCAAATTTGATTTTTCCCGTTTCGTTCCATGGCAGGTTCTTATAGCTTTAAAATGGCTAAAAGTGGAGGTACGTATCTGTTGTGTCTTTACGGATTTAACCAAGGATGATTCGGATTTAACCAGGATTTCACCACTAACACGCACCATTTCTTACTCGTTCACACATGTGTATTCTAATCATCATAACAGTCAATGCGCATACTCGATGATACAAGCATCGGGGGGCGGGGTGGGTACAGTATCGTCTTGACGCGGTCCTCTTGAACTGGGCATTCGCCATCTTACGTGGTCATACGAGCCAATCGTAGGGCAAAGGAAGTACATTCATTTCTCTCTTATTTTAAGACCCTGAGTATTGGTCCAGCCCCGGAAATCGTACCCACGACCTCCCGCTCTGCAGTCAAGTGCTCTACCGACTGAGCTAACCCTGCCGCGGTTACACTTGGAGATATGTGTATTTGAAGAAATATAATTCCGGCTATTATAAATGATCATGACCCCAAGAGAACAAAATGAGACAGACAGAATTTGGGTTTTTTTTCACAGTTTTATGTTGGCGTTGATTTACATTTCTCAGGTGTTGTTTTTCCACTACGTTCAGTCTCATTCCCAGTCAGTTCTCTGTTGTAAATTAGACCCAGGTTCAACAGACACAGCGCATCTTTTGCGATACTTTAAGTTTGGTTTTTCACTGGTGAACATCTGGCGCCAAATTCTCCTCCTCGTATTTTTCCCGGCCATCGCGTGCATCTTCTGCAAAAACTGAAAGCAGTTGGTTCATGGATTGACTCCGCCTTATTATTTGAACAAAGTAATAACACTGGCTTTGGCTCAACAACAAAGGGGCTGTGTACATGAAGGGAGGAATATCCTAGTACCAGGAAGATTCTAGAAGGCGGAAAAGCTTTACGTTGGGTTTTACATGCAGAAATTTAAGTCTGTGTGGCGTCCACTAGAGAAGGTTCGGGAAGGAATTAAAAATGGCGGGCGACAAAAACAAAAATGCAATTTGGGCCCTTCTGCTCTCTTTGCCTCCGTTAATGACCACCTTTTAGCAGAACTATTACAATAATCAGCTTGTGGTATCGCTGTGATTAGCCACTAACGTTCCGCCTCCATTCTTCTTTGGTTTGTCCCTAGTGTTAGTATCTTCATAGCGAAGGTAGAGTACAATAGTGCCAAGGTCTTCCTATTACTAGGATCTTCCTACTTGTTAGCTAGGAAACCCGGGGGGGGGGGGTAACTCCGCATATGAAAGGGGTGGGGATGCGCGTCGGAAATTTTGAATTAAACCCCTAAAGGCCGGACCGATCTGGGCGTGGCCCAAGCTTTTTTTGACCCCTAAAAGAGCCCATGTTAAAACACAGACAACATATATATTTTTATATTTTTTGGCGTGCAACTCTAAACGAGACCTTCACGGCTAAGTATGATGGCGTTTTGCCCAGAACACCCTAAGTGAGACCAAAATCCGAAATTTACACCTCTAAGCGAGACGACGAGTATCCCCACCACTATCATTTGCTGAGTCTCCCCTCCCCCGGGCTAGGAAAATCCAAGCGTTAGGGACAAGTACAACTCTTTGCGTGTGAACTGAATACAGAAAACATATGGCGCAAGGTTGGTCCGCTTTCTAGGATGTTCCTGGTGCTAGGATCTTGCTCCCTGTTAGTTAGGAAAATCCAAGCGTTAGGGACAAGTACAACTCTTTGCGTGTGAACTGAATACAGAAAACATATGGCGCTAGGATGGTCCGCTTTCCAGGATGTTCCTGGTGCTAGGATGTTTCTCCCTCCATGTAAACAGCCCCAAAGGGTCCCGGAGGGATCCTAGCTGCCAACTGAAATCGAACTTAATTTTTCTGTTTGTCTCTTTTGCAGGCCGAAAAGAAAGGCGTGAAACTGTAAAATAGCTACTGAGAAGAAACTTTGTCTACTTAACATTATAAGCATTCATTTCTACTCTTAGCTAATATTGTTTTATGAAATATTTAAGTTGCCTCTTAGTAAACGCAAACCGTCACATTCAGTCACCCTCATCAGTGCCTCCATCATTAAAAAAAAGTGGATAGGCGTTATTCTCTTAGCTCTCAAATAAATAAAATATTTAAACCTAAATGAAGAAAGTTTTAGTTGCTGTAAATAAAGTGGATGATTAAGGGCGGGATCATTATATGGGTAATATAACTCTCATTTCTCTCGAGGACGATGAACAGGTAATGACGTCAGCGAGAGAGATGGGGAGGAGGGAATAATTTCGCTCGGAGAACATTTCACCTAACATATTCCCTCTCTCTCTGTGGAGCATTTCCGAACGTGCTCAGTAAACGAGTGAAGGCCGGGTAAGATTATGTGTTTACTTTTAAACCACGGTGAAAGGGGAATAACGGAACGCTCGTACTACAAGCCATCGCGCAAATGTCTGCAAACAAGAAACGTTTATGTGGCCACTGACTTAGTCAGTAGCGATGAGCCTTGTGGTCCGTTTGTTTATTTTGTGATTTCAGTGCGATTTCTTCTTTAAAGGCATTGATTGACCAGGTGTTGAACACAAGTTATTTGTTACTGACCATTTGCCTTTTCAGTTACTTCGCATTGGACAGAATTACGTCCGTTTTGGTGACACTTTATGATGACTGGTCATGAGGTTCATTCCCAGACATTTCAGCCCCAAAACGAACAGTTTATTAGTGCATGTCTTAATTTTCTTGTTACTGTTAATCCCTATAATTAACCAGTACTATTTGGAAAAAAATGTCTAATTACAATCTGTGGTTTAATTTCCGTCTGTTGTTTACCGAAATGGCTAAATGTGTGAAAAGAGTATAGGTACCAGTAGTTTGCTCAGAATTCAGAAATGGCAATAAAAAAACAGGTCATGCGGAAGTATCATGATTATCACCTATCATACTCATATAACAGAGCAAAGGAACGGAGAAATTTAGACCGCGCGTGCGTATATATAGTTCGTCACGGGCCACATAATATGAATTATGCATGTTTAGTCTAGAGCGGTTTTCACTTGACTGTCGTAAAACCAAAACCAAAGTAAATACACTAGCCAACCAAAGGGCGTAGTAAAACCAAAACCAAAACGAAAACCAATCCCTTTCGACAGTCAAGTGAAAACCGCTCGAACGGGAAACATGTATGAAAACGCCCTAGTTGTACAAAAGTTGGATAGCACTATATTTATCCACTACATAGCAAAATCCAGTGGATAAGAGGTAGGGAAATAAATTACGTCATCCAGCTAGTTAAGGATTTATCCAACTGACCCAAGTTGTTCAAAGGGTGGATAATGCCATCCACTGAATAAATCTCTATCCACTGGATGGCGCCGTTATTGGTTTCTCTGATTCCTATCCGCTGGATAGCCTGTCCAGGCATTTGACTTTAACTGGGGCCACGTGGCACTACTAGCTGGGAACAGGTGTACAATTGAAATCATCGAACCGTGTCTTATGGACCCCCTAAATACAAGTATAGGAACACATCCCGATGGCGATCGAACCGTTTTCCTTTTCATTTCAACTATTAATCGTGTAAAGAAAAGACTTTCTTCGCCCTTTTTTATTTTGTAAGAAACATAAAATACAGATAATAGAAATGCCTGTTGAAATGTTAAGATCAGCTCAAGTTTGTTCTGTTGTTTCTTAAGATATAAAGAATGGGAACAAACTCAGCTCTATGGATGTATAAGAGCCACTGGACTGCAGTTTTGCATTTTTATTGGTTTCAAACCATACAGAATGATTGAAACAGGGATGAATGAAGGTTCAACTGCTTTAATGCAACACTCTGAAAAATAAAGTGATACAAATATAATGGGGCTTACGATTACAAGAAGAATGAGCTTTTTAAAGTCGTAAATGCGACGAAAATTACTTTACATTATTAGGATTATTTTAGTACTGGGCGAATTTAAAAGTCATTCGTTTGCTCAAAAACGTTTCATTCCAAAAGGATACTCATCTGTGTGCATTCTATTGTCCTTGTCTATGGGAGGTAGTTTATTTGGCTTTTTGAGGCTTTTTAGCTCAGATAGTTCACTGAATCCAGGCATATTCTCCTTACTTTTCCGTGCAGGGATGGGATCCATGTTTCTGTAAGGCGAGTCCATAACAAAATTAACTCCATTTCGGGATGGCGGTCTCTCTAAAAACGATGGGTATAAGGGATGGCTGTAATCCTCATCTAACTTTAATCCTTTCTTTTTCTTTTTTGAGCGCTTCTTCTGATAGCTTGACTCTCCCACATGCGTCTTTGGCGCGGGAAGTTTGGATCTTTTGCTGTGAGATGCTGTGCTTTCTCGATTGACACAACCCATACCGTAAAATTCTTCACCATCACTGTATTCAGATTCGTAACCACTATGAGAGGAAGAAAAATCTGGAGAATAGTACTTCCTACTTCTGTGCCTTGAGGTCGGTGGGCTCAAAGCCCTCGTGCGCTCTACGATAACGGGAAATGTGGCCTGCTGAGGTTGTTCCCTGCGACTCGAAATTAGTTTTTGCGTTGTTTCTCTACGACGTCGTCTTCGTGCACGCTTCCTTTCTTTCCTCTGTTCCTCTTCAAATGGTTTAGGAAAATGGTACATTGCGTATTACAGCCTCGAATGAGTTCAAAAACGACTTGTTGTTTTCCAAATTAAGAAGTGAATGGTAACATCCTCTCTCGATAATGGTCAAGAGCTGAGATTAGAGTACTGACCAGCTTTGTGACGAAATGACCTGCGCGCGCATCTCATGTACCCGCGAACTCTATATGATGGATGAGTTTTGAGGGGTTTACCTCGCTGTAAAAACCTATGAAGTTTTTCTTTGTTTTCTAGGTATTATTTTCCTTGGTTCTATTGTGTTGACTTCTCGGTGGCTTCTTTGTACTCCTTGTTTCACTTAAATCGTGAGTTTCACTGGTTTTTACACCGAGGATGAACCGTTTTGAGAAATGATGTGATCAATATGTCACGAGCATGAGACAAAGAAAAAAAAAACTGAGTCCCTGACAGGAATTGAGCTTCACCGAGCTTTAAATTTACCATCTTTCTTCATATATCACACGCATGACCATTTTGAGATTGCTGATCCTAGCAGTAGGGTGGACGCATGTCATACATGAACCTTGTATATGGCCCAGCTCACCACGAGTCCTTCGTAGCTCAGTGGTTAGAGCATCCGAAGCGGTGAATGGAAGGTCATAGGTTCAATTGCTGTTGGGTGACTCAGATTTTTTCTTTGCCCCATGCTCGTGACGTATTGATCACATCATTTCTCATTCCTTCACCGAGCTTAAAATTAACCATCTTTCTTTTTTATATCTGATGAGTTTTGTATTTCAGGTAGTCATAATTTTAACCAGAGGTTACAAATTATAAGTATAATGTAGCTCTCATGAAATAACTGTGTCAATAGATTCTTATAGTACTTTTGGTGGGGGGGAGGGGGGGTGGGGGAGATCGGTCAGCGTTTACAAGTTGCGCCAGTGGGTAACTAGCAGCCTTTCCAAGTGTAATGACAGGTAAGGCAAACTGCTTTGACAATACCCCAATTGAAAAAACCCACTTGAAATTTTGCAAGCGTTACCTAGAAACAAGCAATAAAGCTTCAAATGTTGCAAGTAGAAGTGAATTAGGACGGTTCCCATTAATTATTAATATTTATAAAAACATCCTTTATTACATATTGTATCTTCTGCGTAAAAACGAGGATACTATTGTTAAACAAGCCTTTCGTACTTCGCTTGAACTTCACTGTAATGGTAAAAATAGCTTTTACCATAATCTTATGAAAATATCTGAATATTATGACCTCCCTTATTTTGATCTTAATAATTTAAGTGAAGCTAAGATCAAACACTATATAGATATAATAAAACAAAAAATATATTGCATATTGGCAACATACAATCCATCATTCTAAGAAACTACAATTTTATTGCTTATTTAAACATGATTATAAAATTTCAAGCTATCTAGACTTAATTAGAAATTCTGCTAATAGGAAAGATTTAGTGAAAATTCGTATAAGTAACCACAAACTCATGATTGAAACTGGAAGATATAATCAAACTTCCCGCAACGATAGATTCTGTCCTATTTGTAACTCTGGTATAATTGAAGACGAATTTCATTTTCTCTTCCATTGCCCAAAATACTCAATCCCAAGGGAGAAATTCTACAATCAAATCCAACAAAATTTTTTCGACTTTAATCAGCTATCTTACACAGAATTAATAATTAAATTGATGAATTCACAGAATTTTTCCGTAAATTCACATCTGTTGAAATTTGTCTCATTATGTAATGATTTACGTAATAATTTGTTATCAAATCATGCTGATGACACTTGATTGACTATAGTAATCATTGCATTACATTATCATTGTTATGATTTGTTTGTTTATTTGTTTGTTTGTTTTTTTTTAAAGGTTAAAGCTTTTGCAATACTGTAACTACATAATTATAGTCATGCAAATAAAGCTTATGTTGTTGTTGTTGTTGCTTTGAGGAGTCAGGAGCTCCAGACTTTTTTTACACTGTGGAAAAAAACAATTGAAAGCTTAGACATTTGCATGTTGTTGGTGATAACCGTGGCCGGAGTACACTCTATTCAGTCCCAGCCAGTCGTCGGTCTGCAACTGCCTGTGTTTCCGAGCCGGAGCGTCACTTGCACATCTCCCAAAATGCACCTTGTTTAACCCCAAAATTTTTCATTGTTCTCAATTTCTCTTGGGACGTCGGCTGCAATACCCAGGAGAAATGAAAAACAAAAGTTATGCAAAATATTGGGGGGCAAATAGCCTGGGCGAATTGGGCATTTGTACGTACGGAGGGGTTGGACCAAACAAATACCGTAGTTTTCGAACCTGTGATCATCACGAGATGACGTGACTGTCAGACGGTCAGCACATTTTAACATCTCTCGATGACGTTGCCGGAGATCGCATGCGCAGGTGCAACATCCAAAATGGCGGACGGACTGAAACGCTTTCAAGCAATTCTTTGGTTGCTGTTTCTTCTTTGCCCGTCCACTGTCGCCAACCTTCCATCGAAATGCACAATCACAGTAGGAAAATCTGAATACTCAATCACAAACTGGTGAGAATTTTTGCCAATTGATTCATCCTTTTCATATTTTCAAGAATCACTGGACCAAAACAAACATCGTATCGAAACCAAACTTCCTCATCATGCGGTAGTTTTCCTTCTCATTGCATTTTAACTGAAACTCGTTTTGCACGTTTTCTTTTTATCCTAGGACGTGGAAGGTTGTGGAATATAATTCAAAGAAGGAATTTTACATTAATGTCTGCGGTCGTATTGATGTTGAGAAATGTAAAGACTATGCGGTTTGCTCCACTTCACTAGATTCTTCAAAGAACGGGGAAAATCTAGGTTCTAAGATTCCAAACAGAACGAATGAAGCTGCAGGCTTTAGAATAGAGTACAGAGGTGGAGACTGTTCTGGTCGAAGCGCTGCCTCTAAACCTTGGAAGACCACGATCTTCATGAGATGTGGAAAATTTTTGGTGAGCTTGT